TCTTCAGACAAGAGAGGTCCACCAAACCGATCCAAGGGCAACACATACACTCCAACCAAAGCGAAACGCCTTCGGAACGATATGTCATCAACGCCCTTGCCGTAGGGCCCTGCCAAATCCAAGCTTATACTAAACGCTTCAGGAATGCGCACCCTTCGATGCGGGCGCTGACACGCCTGTCCGAGCACGCATTGCGGGCACCCGCGATACGGTGGCCAGTGACCCCGTTTAACGTGTGCTTCGTAGTCAAAAGCCGCCTTTTGAAGCCGATCAAACCCCAACACACAGACAAGCTCATCGGCTACATGTTTCAAGATTCCCGGAGCCCACGTATCCGAGGGTGCTGAAGCTTGTGTTGTTTGTGGCTCCAAGTTTGCTTGAGTTCCGGGTCCACGAGAAGTAAAGTGTGGAAGGGGCTTGTTGGATGCCCACGTGGTGGGCGTTGTACTAGCATGTCCATATGGGCCTTGATCCCCATGTGTAAGAACCAACCCTAACTCCCCCGCAGCATGCGTGTACACAGGACTTGCCCACAACGTTGGGTATCCCTCAGGAGCCTCACGCTTAGCAATAACAGGGTCAATATAGCGACTGGGATCTTCAGGAAATGCAATCAGAGTCCAAGGATCATTGGGAGTGGGATTGGCAGTCTGGGCGACAAGCATCAAGATGAACATGCGATACACCAATTCGTCTGCCTCAAGAACCTTCTGACGCTTAGCACAGGTAAGGTTCATCAGTGGTTCCCCGCAGCGAGTCCTAAGCCATGCACTCGAGGACTCCCCAGACGCATCCCGTGAATAAGTAGAGCATGGGGGGTTTGCCAATATGGCCTTGACCTTACCCGTGCTACACAACTGCAGAAGATACCAAAAAGTGGCTGGAGCTAGCAGATCATGTTCTTGATCAACAGGTACCTGCTCTGCTCTCCCATCCACGCAAGCTCGGTCTATTGGCTTGCGCGTCGCTCCTGCAAACAAGTTTAAAACCAGAGCCTGAGCTCGTTCATACCGCTTCCTTTGGCTACGATTGTAGGGTACCCCATGGTTGTTTTCAGGACGGCACGTCCAAGTAAGATTCAACACCTCTTCAGGTGCTTCGGGCCAAACCTTTGTAATCAAAACCTGAATCCACGGCTCAACCCGACTCCCATCGCGAAAGGCTTGAACAACCTTTTCCAACACGTCCCTGATACCAAGCCCCTCAACGGACACAGCGAGTCTCCGAGCTTCGATTTGATGGGCTACCTGCTGCAACCGATGGCCCTCAATGTCCTCGATCAGCGCATAAGCGGTTTCACGGCTCACCTTTGGACACCCGGACGTAGTGGTAACAGCAAGTGACCCCCGCTCCGGATGTATGACGGTGCATTGTTTGCCTTTCCAGGCAACCCGGCATCCCAAGTGAACCAAACACCCCATGGAAACGATAACTTCCGTCCCAATAGGGCCAATAAGAGTCCCTACCGGAGTTACGCGAAGGCTGGTGTGACCAGAAGCAAGCTCGACCCGCTTCTCAGGATATTGACTCAAGTCTTCACCCGGTAATGGGGGCCTCAAACAAGTCGTCGCTCCGGAATCCAACAATCCCCAACCACTTGTTTCAGCTTCCTCGAGACATGCGCAGATGCTGCTGCTAACATCGGCATTGATGCTCTTGGTCTGAAGGGATCTTAACAGTTTAGCGGTTTCCTCCAACAGTGCAGCCTGGGGAGATGGGGTGGTACTAGATGCACTCAAACCCACGGTATCTGCGCTAGCGCTGGGTTCTTGAATCTTCTTCGCAGCATCAGCAGAAGCAGAAGCAGAATCTTTCACACCTTTCGTGTTAGTCGGGCATTTATCAGCAAAGTGACCTACGCTAGAGCACACGAAACATCTCTTACTCGCTTTCGCTGATTTCTTAAGCGCCTCCATGTCATGATGAAATTTGCACGACTTGCCGTATGGGCAACCAGACTCTTTCAACCAATGAACGCATGGTTTCTGATCTTTCCCATCCGATTTAGACCCACCCTTCGACCCCTGACCCTGACCTTTGCCTTTTCCCTCACCCTTAACACCTCCACCCCCTTTATCAGCTCCGTCGTTGTTGAGTTTCTTCAGTTTGGGTTTTTTCTCAGCTCCACCGTCTGCGAGACTCGCCGCCTCGCATTCTGCGAGCAAGAGTTCGGCGAGCTGTAGGACGGCATGTTGACTGGGGGCCTGGTCTAAAAGGAGATGTGTTTTCATCGTTTGGAGTCGAAAGATGGCAGTGGGCGAAAGACCGACGGTGGGCGTCAAATCCTCTAGGGCCTGGGCCTGTAGAGAACAATCCGGAGGGGTAACGTTGATTTCACGAGTTCTGGTCAGCCACCGTTTCCACTGACGAATCAAGCGGACCGCTGTGGCAGGCCCGTCTGGCTTTTGAGGTGTAGTGAGAAACACAAGGAGCTGAGCACGCTCCCCAGATCCTCCGGGTTGATATTTAGTCATTATCTTCAAAATGATGCCTGATGAGCACATGAGACGATTGGAAATCACATCCTCGCGAACATCACTCGTAACAGCCTCTAGCAAAAGTGCAACCGCTCTCTGCTCTACCCGACTATACTTCCCTTCCGCGTACCGGGCCCTGAAATCCTCCACCTTCATACGGGTACGATCTAGAGGTGACGATCTCACCCAAACCTGGTACCACTGCTCAGCACACCCCAAGCTATCAGCCCACCATACCGCGGACGTGGAGCTCAATGACCCCATCACTGGAGCCAGCGAAGTCAGCCAATCACCGCACTGAATAGCGGCATTTTTGGGGTCAAAAGCGGGTAGCTTGGGTACGTTAGGGGTGTATCTAACTGGGTCTTCAGGCTCTTGGGAACCCCACTGCGCTAGAACATCTGGTCCTTGAGGTTTCGTGCCGAAGGGGGACGGCTCGGATAACGCAAGATCTACATCGGAGGCCCAGGGCATGCTCAGACCTTTTCCTGAACCTACGCTTGGATACCCCACAGTCCCTCCGAAAACACCGGTAAAGCCCCAAGGGGTCGCAGCTGGAGGCTCGGGTGGTGCAGATTTGGCAATTCCTGGTAGCGGCGGTGGTCTGATTTCAGTTCCTCCGGGAGTGCGGGGATACACGATACTTGGTCTAGTGACTCTGACTGGGGTTTTAGGGCTTTGCGTGCGTCTGTTTGGAGTTACACTACGGCGTTCCCCGGAGGGTGCCACTTTACTCGTATCGATTCCAACATCGACAAACGCATGTGTGTCTGACCTCACCCTAGACTCAACACTGACTCTCCTTTCCGAACTCGAACCACCGACAACTTGACTTGACTCTTGAACACCGCAATCCCTGACAGGCGCAGTATGGTGAGGGGGTGTAAATGGGGATTTAGCACGGGGTTTAAGCACATCAGCGACAGCAACAGACTGCGGAGCAATACACTTAGTCAGTTGCAAGCCCTCAGGCGTAACAAGCCAGGCGTGCGGCACCCCATCAATGTCCACCGTCCCCTGATTCAACACCCTCCCCGGGACCCTGGCATCATCGTGGCTAGCATCACTGAGCATCCTCCTCTCCCCCGATCTTGGAATGGTCGCAACATCGCGCTGTGAACTTTGGGATTGTTCCAACTGGGGAGCCTCAACTAGCTTCGGTCCTAACGCAATGGGAGCAGCTTGTGGTGAAACGATGTCATTCCTACTGACGTCTACCCTCTGCTCAGGCATGTGAGTCACATGACGGGTGTTTTGTCTCTCCAACCTCTCCAGTCGACCAGCAAGTTCTTCATTTGCCGTCAACAAGGTTTGGACGATTGGGGCGATTTGCGTACTCACCACTGTTTGCATGAGATTGCCCACTTGTGACATGAGCTCTGCTTGAAAGCTGGGTCGCAACAGCTGATCCTGAGGAGCACCGCTGGATGGCACTTGCATTCGACTTGGGTTCTGTGACTGTGGTACCGAGCATGCAGCATAGTCCGGCATCAATTCGAGTTCATCACCTTCCCTTGCTGCAGACAGCCGTCCACGTTCCATTCGGGACAAATCACTTTGCCCATCCCAGCTCTGATGACCTGGCGAATGTTCCAGTCGCCTGGCTGCCACCTCACCTTCATTCTCAAGATCAGGTAAGGTACCAAAGGCTACATCCAGAGCAGCCGCCATATCTCCCATGTCCAAAGTTTGCCCGGTTCTCGCCGGAACCGGGTCGCCTTCCGAGGACTGTTCCACTGGGTCATGAAACACCTGGGGCTCGAAGTACGGCGGATGCAAATCCCGATCATCAACCTCCCTTGTTAGGCCCACGACCTGATCGCCCTCGCGATTCCTCACCTCCAACTCGGCCCTCACCGACTCGCCCCAGGATGAGGACGGGTTTACAGAGGTTGTTGGACCAGCTTCATGCGCTAGCTCCACTGCGTTTGGATTCATCTCGCTTTCCGAAGCCATGCTCTGCCAAGAGGTCTACACTAGCCCACGGCCCAGGCCCCTCACAGGCGATTTGGGCTCGTAACCCGCGGATGCGAGTTCTAAGAGTCTCTGTCTTTTTTCCGTCAGGCTCAGCAGGTGAGCAGCTTAAGAACGAACGAACACGGAACTATACAAAAGTCGGCGTCCGTAGCTACGCGCTGAATCCGATCAGACTGTCTGTTGCAGGTTCATGCATCATTGAAATCGTAGGCTGATCAGCTGATCTATGCTGGAGCTTTCGCTTTAAAATGGTGGGGCCCACCCTGCCACAGCTTGAGCCACCGGGGTGGGAAACGTCGGTAGCAAAAAGTAGCGAACATCAACACTGCCAAGTCCCTTCGCAGAGCAGTCGATGCACGCTGAGCTCCGTACCTGACGCGACCCTAAACCCCTCTGCCCAGAACCGCCTAAACCCTAAACCCTAAACCCCTCTGCGCTGAACCGCCTAAACCCTAAACCCTAAACCCCAAACCCTAGACCCTAAACCCCAAACCCCAAACTTCCCGCACACTGCGAGTCTGCCTTGAACTCGAAGCCTTCAACGAGGCAGCGCATCACGTCGCAGATTGTCGTGGCCTCCCGCATCAGGACGCAAGAGAGACTGCCAAACCCAAAGGGTCCTATGTACTGTTATGGGGGATACTTCCCTAAGCCATAATAGTAATTCCTAATATGGAAACCCTACATTCTACTATATCGGTACATAGGACTTTTTGAGAAAGGTATCCAAAGGTTGTTTGGTTCAAACAAGACAGTTTGCGTCTAAGCACCGATGTTGTATGTATTCTTGGGGGCCAGAAAAATGCACTCTTAGTCCCGTCACTGAACATTAAGCCCTGGACCGGATTGTTTTACGCCACGACTCATCAGGAAAGGATACAAGTCTCAGGCGACTCAATGATCGGAGCATCTTCGGGTATCTGAACTTTCGTTGAAACATAAAGGTACCATCCTCGTTGCCTTTGTTGGGGCTCCTTGCATTCTCGGCGAGCCTTCAAGATTGAACCCGAAGTGCTCCTCTAAATCTGATTCACGAACCTACGCTCTTGTCCGGGTCTTCGGCTTGGTGCTTAGGCTTTGGGGTTTGCGGTCTCACATTGTGTGCGGAGAGTCCTACCTCAGGGTGGTTTGAGCGTGTAGCGGAGGAGAACTGATTCAAAAGTGAGGTTTGCAGATCAAGCCCACATCCCCAAAACCACAAGCATAAGTACCTCCTGAACTGCAACTGCACGAATGAACTCTACACCCATAGCCCGAAGAACCAACAATGACCGTCAAACCTGCACATTTGCACATCAAGTGTCGCGACCTGACACCCTAACTAACCTGAACAACCGGAATCCAGAAATCCAAGCCCCAAACACGCAAATTCTACAGTGTGAGCCCTGCCCTAAGCCCTAGATCCTAAACCCTCAACCCTAAACCCCGAACCCCTAAACCCCTCAACCCCCCAAAACCCGAAACCTCGAGCCGAAAAAGCCAGAGCCCGAATTGCCAGTGGCCTGACGCCGGCAACGAGAAAGCATCTCGAGTCCTGCACCACGAAGCAGCAGGAGAAGTCCATTAGGAGTTTGGAGTTCAGGGAGGGGTTTAGGCGTTTTTGGGGATTTAGGGGCTTAGGGATTTAGGGGTTTAGAGTTTAGGATTTGGGAGTTTAAGATTTTGGGCTTTAGGAGTTTAGGGGTTTGGGGTTTCGGATTTAGGGTTTCGGGGTGTTGGGTTTGGGGAATATGTTGTGAGCTTTTGCTGAACCCCGAAGACCGAGGCCTCTAATGTCAAGCGCCGTGGCATATCACAGTCCCAGCGTGAGTTGTAGCAGCCCTAAACCCTAAACCCTAAATCCTAAAAGCCAGTTGCCGGATGACCTTCCAGAAAGCTAAGAACCTTGAAATGATGACTGCAGATAGCTGGAGGAGCTACATCGCAAGGTGTATACCTCAAAGCTAAAGCCTGCGCTGGAGTGTTTAGGTGTACCTTCCGTCAAGGGTGTAGCATTTTCGGTCTACGGTGTAGGGTAAGGGGTTTACGATTAGGACGATTATCTTAGTATTATACATACTCTTTCTCATGCCCCCCTTTTGAAGCTTATTATACCTATATGTCAGGCAAACCTGAACCGTAAGAAGCTGTGCAAAAAGCTCCAATCTCTGTACCCTAAACTCGACAGTGCTACCCCCCCAAAAAAAGGACTGCAACCCTAAAGTAAACCGCCATCATCCGTAGTCAGGTTTCAGATTTCGATTTTTCTTCGGAGCAGCCGAAGGTGAGGCTCTCGGGCTGATAAAAAAGGATGTCCGAGGTGGGACTATGATTCCATCATACCTTAATTCATACTAGGGATATTACTACTATTATTATTAATATTTACGGTATATTCCTTAATTCATGGGCAGGTGAAGGTGTAGGGTTCAGGGTTTAGGGTCTTTGCAGTAATGAGTGCGGTCTAGGGTCTAGGGCTCCATGCACCTGATTCCAAGGATCCGGGTATGACAGCTTCGGAACTGATTTACACTGGAGTTACGCCCAACTTACATGTCCAGGGCCTGAGAAATTAATTGCACATGGTAGGCTTCTACCTAGGTCATAAGTGCAGCTAAGTTTCGAGAAAAAGTGCAATCTCCCCGTGGCCAGTCCAACACAACTCTAAACTCCTAGTCCTACTTGGAGGATCAGGGGACTTAGTAAGTAAGGTTATAAGTCCCCCAATTGAGGTTATAAGTAATTATGAGTATAGTTACCTTATTTATAACCCTAGTTACGAAGCCCCATGATCCTTTAAGTAGTCCTAGTAGAATCAACCCTGCAGGAGGCGCGCCAGGGCATCATCCGGCGCCACCTGGACCAGCAATGGAGTCCAGAAGACGATGCTGCAACTAGCCCTAAGGGTCCATGTACTCATATAGTAGATACATTGGCCTTAAAGTACTCCCTATATGGGTACACTGGGTCCAAAGTATATGCTATATGGGTACATGGACCCTTAGGGTAGGGTGTGGCATTTGGGATTAGGGTTTAGGACAGTATACATACATGGGGCTTTTCGACATAGTCTTGTATCATAGTGTCAACACACACAGCGGGTAAGAACATGTTGGGTTCACTGCGGGCCAAGATCCTTCTGGTAATGCCCTAAACCCTAAACCCTAAACCCTAAACCCTAAACCCTGAACTCTAGAGGATCCCATCCTTTTATCGTTTCATGTAATATAGGGGCCTTAATAATTAGACTAGGGTTTTGGGGCCCATGAAATAATCTTGGAATAATGAACCACCAAAATAGTATTGGTAATTCTTTAGGCTCCTATGTTAAACCGTAAACCTTTTTGGCTCACTGAGGCCTGGACCTTTATTGCTCCGTCGACGGTGTCTTAGACAACGTGCTTCGGCCGAGTCATTGGGTGAATTCTGGGTTTGAGCTTCTTCAAACTGGGGGCTTTCAGGCTTAGGCCAGCCACAATCACCAATATCTATACATATATGTAAACATATATATATATATATATATGTTTGCGTGTGTATATATAGATATACGTATACATGTGATGCCTATCTATGTATCTATATATATATATGTATATGAGGCTGCCCACTGCACCAAGCTTCCAATCTCACCTTCGAGCGGGGTTTCATGGTCCACCCATAGTTGATTCTACTTGCCCGCGCAACCCTGAGCCCTATATGCCTTGTCAACCCTGAGCCCAATTTTTGTCCGTAAGACCCTCCACGAAAATTCGACCGAACCCTCATAAGCCCTAACTCAACCTAAACCTAAAGCTAAACCGACGAAACCCGTTTAAGCCCTAACTGCTCTTGCGGTGGTGGGGTTTACCTGAAATTCCTAAACCCTCAATCTTAAACCCTAAATTACTAAACCCCAAAAACGTAAAGCCTAATCCTTGCACCCCAGAACCCTCAACTCTAAGCCTTATAAACCCTAAAGCCCTAAACCCTAAAGCCCCAAAACCCTAAACCCTAAGCCTTCAACCCCAAGACCCTGAACCTTAAACCTTATAAACCCTAAAAAGCCCTGAGCCCTAAGTTCGGATCTGCTGAGGCAGCGAAGGAAATCCGGACGACCTGGGATAAATCCGAGATCGATCCTCGGCGTGCTCTGAGGGCCCGGGATCCTCTACGGGCTCCTTTAAGGGTTCCTTTCAAGGGTTCCTTTCTAAGGGTTTCTTTAACGGGTTCCTTTAAAGGGATCTAAGGATCCTTAAAGCGCGCGGCCCACATGTTAAGGAAGACACAAGGGTGGTTGTCAAAATTAGGGTACCCTAAGTATTAGGTGCCATATCAAAATAGGGACCCAAAAAGGGACCACAATTTTTTGACAACTACCCACAAGATCCTTGGGGAGATGATTTTCTCACTTTAGGGCTCCTTAATCTGTGTAGAGTCCACCCAAAAAATGCGAGTCTAAATCCTGAACCCTCAACCCTATACCTTCAACCCCCAAAGTCTAAACCCTAAGCCCTAGACCCCAAATCCTGAACCCTAGTAGAAACCGAAACCCAAAGGCCCTAAAGGCTCTACTCTACTGATTTAGGGCTTCTTCGTTCTTCGAGCGTCTGCGTCTCCGCTCGACTTTCCAGACTTCCGGCTCTTCAGCCGCTCCAGTGGTCCCTTAAATTCTTACTTTGCCAATTGGAGAACTTTAAACTTTTTGGCTTTACGTACTTGGCCTGTCTTCAGAAGTTTGAACTTTTTTTGGGCCTGGTTATTGGAGAAGAGAGAAATGGGCCCACAAAAAAGCGCATAAGCAAAGATTAGAATGGGGATCTCCTATATAAACCCCCCCTTACAATGAAGCCCAGTAAGGTAGGGATATCCTCATAAAATGCTTATGCTTATGTGCTTTCCCTATTAAAGAGTTCCTTCAAAGGTGGCCTCTAAAAGGGATCCTTTAAGAGGGTCCTTTAAAGGGGCCCTTGCAACGGGCCGTTCGAAGGGTTCCTTTTGAAGGGTCCTTTAAAGGGTTGCTTGGGTCCTGTATAGGGATACTTACTGTGGGGGTTTAGTTTATTGGTTTCGTATCGGGGTCTGAATATGTGGACTACGGTTTTGGTGTATTGCCCTTACGGAGCCCTACCTAGTGTAGGAAGTACTACTCTATTCTCAACCTTTTATCCGACCTCCTAAACTAAACTCTAAACTGTCCAAATGAAGGGGTCCTTTAAGGGTTCCTTTAAGGGTCCTTTAAACGGTTTCTTTCAAGGGGACTCTATTTTTAACCTCAAATCCTACATTCTAAACTAAACTCTAAGCTGGAAACCCTGAGCCCTTTATCCGACGTGAGCTCGTAACCAGGGGCGCCTTCCCAAAAGACACATACATGAACAGAAGGTGCGGCCATAGTTTCTTATGATTTCTAATTACCTTGAACTACCAAGACCAAGTTTATGGAAGCTATTTTGCTGGTAGATTAAGGGTAGATTTAGGTGGCTTTTGGCCCCCTGTTGTAAGTCTCAGCACATGACTGCTAACCCTTTAAACTCTCACAGTTGGAGTCCCCTGGGGTTCTGCCGGCTTTAGTGTGTCTTGGGGCTTTAGAGCAGCACCCTGAGTCATACAGCACCTCTACTCTTCCTTTTGGACACGCGCGGACTTCTTACCCTAAACGCCTAAACCCTGTACCCCTAAACCCGAAAGTCCTAAGCTCTAAACCCCTACATTTGTGTAACAGCTAAGCTGGGCCGAGGAGCTTTCATCATCGGTGCTGAAGGCTTGGGGTGAGCTCTCCGGCTCTGGAGTGGCACCTGAGACATTTTTGGATTCAGGGTCTGGGGGTTTGTTTGGTCCCGTAAACCCTGCACTCTGACAAAAGCCTGAAACGGTGAGAGAATCAGCTCTCAGGCCCCTCCACTCCCTGAATCTTCTAGAGCATACTTGGAGGATCTGGGGACTTAGTAAGTAAGGTCATAAGTCCCCTACTTGGGGCTATAAGTAAGTATAAGTATTGTTACCTCATTTATAGCCCTAGTTACTAAGTCCCATGATCCTTTAAGTAACCCTTTCCTTAACCATGCAATCCTGTCCTTGAGGACTTCTCCCAACTCCGCGCTTGAAGTCCCGAAATCCTTTAACACTCTTCTTCGGAAAGACATTCTAAGAAAAGCCAAACCCAAAATCCTTGAATAACTAAGCTCAAACTCCAAAATCAAACCCAAAATCCCCGAATAACTAAGCTCAAGCTCCAAAATCAAATTCCCATGCCCTACCTCCTAAGCCCTAAACCCCTAACTCCCGGAACAGAACAGCAACACCAGCAGCAACAACGACCGCAGGCGACCCATCACGAGTTTTTGCACACGGGAGGCAACCCCATACTGTTCTATTGCAAAAAGTCAAAGCAGTGGAGGCAACCCAGTACGACATCAATGCCTTGGAGGGGATTCTCCGTGCTCTGATTCCAAAGGGAGAGCAGTTGGAGGAAGCGGAGACCCTTGGTATAAGACAGGGGTTGGGGTTTAGGGTTTACCATGGTTTACAGAGTTCAGGTGTTGGACTTGAACTCAAAGTCTAGATTCTAGAGTTAAGGTTTTGTGAGGGAGCCCATACAGGTTCTATAGGGATTCAGGGTTGAGGTTCGGGGTTAGGGTTTAGGGTTTTAAGGCTTCTAGAGTTGACAGAGAGTCTCGGATATAGGGATCTCTGAGGAGCATCAGGGCTGACATGATGTTGCTCTCGGGTTTGGGCGTTATGGGCGTCTGCGGTATCTTAAACCCTATGCCCTAAACCTTAAACCCTAGACCCTAAACATCCTAAACCCTAAACCCTGTACCCTATACCCTACACCCGTCTAAACCCTCCAACCGGACCTAAATCCAAGGGCCGCTATCGCCCGGTGTACTGCCAAGCTGGAGCAGTTGCATCATACAGACTTCCGCCCCTTGGCATGGGAAGCTGTATCCTTATAGGCCCGTCTAAGGTTCCTTTTAAAGGGTCTATAAGGATGACTACACGGTGTACTATAAGGCTTTAGTATACGTGCCTAAATGATTTAATTAGCAATACTATTTTGGGAGGTTCCTTATTATGATTTTGGTATAATGGCCCCGAAACCCTATTCTTCTCATGAAGGACCCTAAGTTAGGGGTACCCTTCGGCACTTCTTGCGTTGTTTTGGGATCTCATCGTTAAGCTTGACTGATGGAACAAGTTCCGAGAGCTGGGGAATGCTTGTTTTGATGGTTTTTGTTAAACAAGTGTCAAAGGGGAAGAGGAGGGACCCTTAATGGGGACCCCTACCCTACAATGGGCTATACAATTGGTATATGATAGCTATATTGAGGGTATATACCTCGGGGTCCTTATTCAGGGTCCCTCCTTTTACCCCTGGAAAGTGTGAAGGGATCTGCCAAATAGGCTGCAGATCAAAGCTATCATCCCAGTGCCGCGCTTCCCATGTCATAGCTACCCAGAGACTCCAATAATCCTTAATTAAGGAATATACCTTAAATTACAGTGGGATCCCGTATATGATTTAAGGAATATTCCTTAATTAAGGGATATTGGAGCTCTGGCTAGGAGACAGAAACTGCACTCGGCATAAGGATCATATTCCGCAGTGTGCTTTTTCAAAGCGATGGCCGACAAGCCCTGGGATCTTAACCTGAAGGCCTTCAGAACATTGGGGCTTCAAAAAGAGGGGGGTCTGCCTACTTGGAGGATCAGGGGACTTAGTAAGCAAGGTTATAAGTCCCCTAATTGAGGTTATAAGTAATTATAAGTATAGATACCTCATTTTTTACCCTAGTTACTAAGTCCCATGATCCTTCAAGTAATTCCTTTAACTGCAGACCTTTGAGACTCAAACCCTAAGCGGTCAGCCAAAGCTATAACCGGTAAAACGCTGCGCCAGAGACCATGAACCCTCAGACCTTTAAGCCCGAAACCCTTAAGCCATGTTCCTAGTTCAAGGCACCAAAGCCTAAACCGCAAGTCCTGACGCCCCCCCGCAAAAAAGAACCCTAAACTCCGAAGCCCTTCACCCGTTAAGCTATCTGCGTTCACCGTACTGTACCTTATGCTACCCAGAAGCCGCAAAGTAGTTCCATTTTGGGATTACCTTATAGGATTCTATATATGAACCCCAAAAAGGAACTACTCTGGGTAAACCCTAGGCCCCAAGCCTTGAACCCTAGACGTTGAACCCTAAAACCGAAGGCCACTTCAGCCCTGGAGCTGAAACGATCCTGCTAACCAGTAAAACATTGGGGGTACTTAGATGTTTTTAAAATTTTTTGGTTATTATAATCCCTGAGAAACAGAAATAGTTTTGAATTTTTTGGTTATTAGAATCCCTAAGAAACAGCTAAATTATGATTTTTGCTAGGGTTCTAAGTTCAGTATAGAAACCCCTAAACCCTCAGACAACCCGAAACAGTATACGTAGAGAGCAGGTATTCCTTTCGATCCTTTCAACTCCTGATTGGGCGCGCTTTTGTGACCTCGGCTCCTCGACAATGACTGACTCTCCAAGCAGCTGGGTTGCAGAGGGTTTGTGGGCCTTAGATAAGCTCTATGGGGGCTTTGTCTAGTGGTGTTTCTGGGGCTTGATACGGCTTTAAAGTCTTTTTCATAATAGTTTCTGTAGGGCTGCCTGTTTTACATAACTTACTTCAGGTTACCCTGCTTGCAGTAAGGCTCTGCAGGGTTTGATGCTGGGGCACACGGATTCAGAAGCTTTCCGGTTGGCTTTTAGGAAACAGGGTTTGGGTTACCATATTCCAGCAAGCACATAGTGTACAGTATTTCCCTCTGACTGTGATAACTTCAGTTCAAACTCATGAATTAAAGTAAAAGCCAGAAAGTTGGACTATGATTATCCTAAACCCTTTATGGTAAATTATAAGGTATCCTACCCTGAAACCATATTCCAACTTTCTGGAGTTCCCTTTAAGTAGCCAGCACCGAGGCAGAAGCACTTCGCCGACCTGGACGTGAGCCTATCCCCAGAGACTCCAATAACCCTTAATTAAGGAATATTCCTTAAATTATAGTAGGATCCCTAATATGATTTAAGGAATATTCCTTAATTAAGGGATATTGGGGTCTCTGGGTCCGGCAGCCGCCTGGTAGGAGCTGGAGGTGATCGACGGGACCCAGAGACGAAACTGTTTCCGATCAGCCTTTCTCAGAGAGCCCAGCACCCCTTAATCAAGGAGTATACCTTCAATTGGAGACGGCTGAACAAGGTTACTTCAGATGTTTCTTAACTACAAGGAATATGAATCCTATGATAGGAGGAGGAATAGCACAATTTCAGATACATGTCTGGATCTAGGGCCATTGGGCTGTCTGGGTTGCTCAGTCTTACTCCCACCGCCACAGCCTGCGCTGTCCACGGAGACGCCATGCAAGGACTGAGTCACGCAGCGGAGAAAAGCTGCTTTGAGCATTGAGGTTTAGGGTTTAGGGTGGCTGTATCAGGACACCGTATGTCCAACTCGAGCACCTCGCATTCTGCTTGGCGTCTTGCAGTTTGCACGCCGTTTAAAGCATCGGATCTTCAAGCTACAGTAACATCCTGTCATATCGTTTGCAAATTCAGTCACTTTCGCAAGGCTGTCGTTACATCACATGCGGTGAAGGGCCCCGCCGATGTTCGTAGGCGATTGCTACGGCACACGGGTGCCTTGCCAAATCGGACGGAGGGCCATCCCTCGAGAAGCAGTCCCTAAGGGTCCATGTACCCATATAGAGATACATGGGCGCCAAAGTACCTATATAGGGACTACATTAAGGCCAATGTATACATGGACCCTTAGGGAATGCAAGTTGAAGATTGGAGGGCCCGGCGTGGCCTGCTTGCTCCATTTGTGCTAACATATGATAGAGGCCCAAAAAAGCGGATACTTGTCCTCAGGAGCTCTTTGTTATATAACTATGCATATGATGCCCTTCCCTTTTTCCCTATTCTAACCGTGTAGGCCCCTGTATTTGAGGATGCAGGCGGTCTGCTGCGCGCAGTTCACATAGGAACTTCGTGGCAGGAACATAATACCGGGGGGCCTCAAGACTTCGAACTGGGGTTTTGGGGCTAACATATCCCTAAGGGTCCATGTACTCATATAGTAGATACATTGGCCTCAAAGTACTCCCTATATAGGTACATTGGGCCCAAAGTATATGCTATATGGGTACATGGACCCTTAGGGTATCATCAAAAGAAGGACCCCGAAGGAATACAATCGGTAATCATCTCGGCCAAAAATTGTTTGGTACGTTTGGGCTCCTGCAGCTCTACTGGCGCGGGCTCACAGGAGTCAGCATAGTTGGAGCAAGCCGGCACTGAATGCCAAGAACCCAGCTTTTGGAATTTAGGTTATGGTTTTAGTGTTTCGTACATGTGGTATGTAATTTTCATGTGGACCAAGTAGCAGCTTCTGCAGCATGGACGTGTACAGGATTGGCCAGGGACCTTTTCGTGGGCTGATCTGCGTATATTCGGACGACGACGCCTTAGAAATTTTCCAACGGGCGAAGAATCTCGCGTGCGAGTGTGCTGGCTTGGCTTCGACCTCAGAGGCCAAGGAGTCACACCCACATGAACTCCAGCAGTTGTTGAAAACAACCGATTTTTCCTCATGTCACTGGCAATATCTGGAAGCCAGGCCGTTCTTGAGAATTCTTTGCCGGTATTTCGATGACAACTCTAAGACGTGGGAATGGAGATCATAAATGTGAAAACGGCTTCCCTCGCAGCCCAGGAAACAGCTGATGCGCGGGGCTTGGGGTTGGGAAGCAACAAGCAGAAGTACCTGGACCCTTTTCAGGAGTTTTAAGCTGAACTGCCATAAGCCATAATCAGGATGTATTGTGGTTGACATCTTTTCATCATGGCAGCTTAAAAGCTTAAGTTTGAAGTGCCTTAGCAAACATTAATGACCGGGGCCGAAATAATTACCTATACTATTGTTTGAGCTCCTTGTTATAGTTAAAATATATTGGGCCGCAAAGCAAAACCCTACTCGAATCATCAAGGCCCCTTCCCTATAGTCTCCATTGTAGTTCCTTTTTTTGGTTAACCAGTTTTATGGTTAGGATCCTATAACAGAGAGTTTGGTTAACCAAAACAGGAACTACAATGGAGACTATAGGTCTACTATACGATGAACCGAGGTACTCCCGAGCCGCTTTTCTGGCCTTGGCCCTGGACAAGGCTCGCCACGCCCATTCGGCTCCTTCGATCTTGCGGGAAGCCTTGGAGTCGCTAAGGAGCGCCGCTGACCTCGAACCTGGGCTCTTGTTGGGGAGTTTAACCCTAAGGGTCCATGTACTCACATAGTATATACGTTGGCCGTAATGTACTCCCTATATAGGTACTTTGGGGCTCATGTATCTCTATATGGGTACATGGACCCTTAGTGTAATGTAAGTTACCTTAATAAGGGTTCCTTGTTTGGGAACTATAGTTCGGGATCTACAAAGGTTCCTTGAAAGGTCCTATAATTAAGGGTTCAGGTGCTAAGGGAGTCAATATAAGTTACCATAAGATAGGGATCTATAGTAAATGATATGGTTTCTGTATTCTGGCAACTTAAATTAAACGCCTTATCAAGAACCCAGGAACATGCGCGCATGCGGACATCAGAGCCAAGAACATCACAAGGACAGAAGAGAAGCCGCGCGAGCGCAGATGGAGGTGAGGGTCTGAGCCATCGAGAGTACTTTGAGCAGCTCTGGGCTGACTGTGTGGAAACTGCTGGTGGTAGGAGACTGCCGGACACATTGCAAATGCAACACATCGCTGGCATGAGGGCGCAAGGCCTCTGGGTGGGGCGCAAGAAAGCTCATTCAATACTCATGGCTGCACGAGGCATGATGCACGAAGAACTACCCAGGTCCAGCAAGGATGTCCTCGTAGAAGAGCTGGACACGCAACCATGGCAACTGGTGGTTGCAGGTGCATCTGACAAGATCCTGGAATCTCTGATAGGACCTGGGATCAAAGCTTTTAGGATAGAGATGCGCAGGAAGGATCGCTGTCCCTACACGAAAGATCCCATGTCTGTCTTCGTCGCTGAGCGGGTGGATGGCTGGAGGGTTATCCACCATCCGCATGCTCACAAAGATGAGGAGTTGCGTTTTGAAGACGATCAGAACCTCGACTATGGTTGCATGTGTTTTTGAACCTGCAGAGTTGTCCAACGGGTGTATTTTTAAACACGAAACCTTCAAGCCCTAACATCCGATAAGCCCAGGAACCAGAAGATGTACGAGCCCGCTTTCCCCACTCGAGATGAGATGACCAGGCAGTGTCGTGTTTAGAACTCGCAAAGGGAGGTGCAGGGTTCAGGTTTCAAGCACAGGGTTAGTAAGGATTTCGGGTTGAGAACTTTTCAGTTCGAGCAATCCATGCCTGTTTATTTAACCCTAAACCCTGAACCCTAAACCCTAAACCCTAAACCCAAACCCTAGGCCCTTTCAGCTCTTCAACTCCAACTGTAAACCTTCGACGTTCTGAACCCGAAGCCCGAACGGCTTGAATATTGCAGATCATCGAGGGCCCAACATCCTGAACCCCAAAACGCTAAGCGCTAAGCACTACAATCCGAAATGCTGAACCGCGAACCCCGAAACTTAATTAGGGTTTAGGGTTTAGGAACTTCACCAAAGCTTTATAGGCTCCGATGGCTATTTAGGTTTTAGGTTTTAGGGGCTGAGGGTTACGGCTCTAGGGGGTTGAGGGTTACGTCGGTAGGGGTTCAGGGTTTGGAGGTTTATGGGTTTAGATTTGGGAGTTTCCGAAAATAGGGGACCCTAATATAGTACCCTAAATAGTAGGATCCTTATTACAAGACCCCCAAAAAAGTACCCCTATTTTCGGAAACTCCCATTTAGACCCTGATGAGCAGGGCCTTTCGACTGGCCACAGATTGGTCCGTCAGAAACCGATGGCGCGCATTTCAAGTCAACGTGTTTCAGCAGCTCCTACACCGCTTCCAGGAGAGCCCTACTGAGGGAAGTAGAGCCCGCTTAGCACCCCAGAAAGCCAGTTTAGGATTTGGGGCATTCAGGGGTGTAGGCTGGTTTGGGGTCCCATAAAGCCCTCATAGAACCCTTCGGAGGGTTTGTGGCTTATCTGGGGCCTGAGTAGCTACGAGCATAATTGGCATAGATTGTGCATGTAGTCGTGGTACAACTTACCCCCCAAGAAGCCCCGGGACGATGATGGCGCATTCTGTATCATGGATTGCTTGCTAGGCCCTAACCCTAGAGCGTAAAGTGGCGCAGAGGGGTTAGAGTTGGTCTACGGGCTTTCATTTAGGACTGACCTTCCGGTTTCGCTGTTTTGGGTTGCAGCCAAAAAGGGAATCAGTGTAGCCACCCGGGAGAGCCTTCGACCCTATTAACTCTTGCAGCACCCGAATTGAGCTTCCAGGTGTACGGAGGCCGTACGGTTCCACATGCAGTCGGGCCCCTAATCCACGAACCCTAAATCCCACATCGGAGAGCGAGCAGGGAAACCGCTGAACAAAAACCTTACATCCAAACCTTACACAGCCCTAAACCCTAAGCTTACACCTATAACTAAAGCTTAAACCCTAAGCCCAAACCTTAAACTCTAAAGCCGAAAACAAAGCCAAAGTGCATCCACGAGGCTGGGCGGAAGAGAGCGAACGCCCACTGCGCCTAAGGGTTTAGGAGTAACGTTACCACAGCTACAGGTTCATAGCTTGGTTTCACGGATTTCTCGCGCTTCATAGGGCGAAATATGGGCTGAACCCTAAACCCCAAACCGCTATATAAACCCTCCACCCTAACCTGATTCGGGCATGAACCCCAAACCCTGCGAGGAGGATTATCGGCCCGGTGGCTTCCAGCTGACCGACTTCCGAAGAGGAGCGCCTCGGAGAATAGAAGGGAGAACAAGGGTTGTAAACGGGCATCAGAAGTATGGATTCCATTATCAGGGTTAGCTCAAGATTTTCGAGTCTACACGTGTTTAGGTCTTGGGCTGAGGGTTCAGGTGCATGGAGAGCAGTGGAGAGAGGGTTCGACGGAATCGGGCCTTAAACTCTAAACCCGGAACCCCTATAGGGTTTAGGGTTTAGGGCCATCAGGCAGCGGTTGATTCTATGTTGATTCCATTGCGCGGTTTTCGTTGCAAATTGACAAAGCTGTTTGTCAGTCCTACAAGCATCTATCGCGTTGTGAAGCCTGGGTACCACAAGGGGCTTACTGATTAGAATATGGGTTATGCAGTTTTTCAGGCCATGCTAGTAATGTGAAATCCTACAAGCGAAAATCATGATTGACTACCCATAGGCCCCAAAGTAGTTCCTTTTTGGGGCTCATATATAGATTTCTCTTAGGTAATCCCAAAAAGGAACGACTTTGGGGCCTATGGGTATTCGGACCCCCAGACCATAAACCCCGGAATCTTCATGGAAGCGCTAAGCCTGCGAACTCTGAAGCCGATCTTGCTTCAGCTTGAAGACCCACGCCCCAGAACCCCGAAGCTGTAATCTTCCAGACACCCCAAGACTGTAGTCACTGTAGTCTCCTTGAGAATTACGTTGCATTTTTGTTTCTTATGAAACCAAAGAGAATATGAAACACTGTATTCTTATTATGGTTCTAAGGGGGGTATGGAACAGAGTTGATGCCCTAAACCACAAGCCCTGGAAGCTTTGGAGCAGTCAGGAGAGGGTGGCAGCGTGGGAGCTTTCTGCCGCCACCGAATCCGACTTTCTGCGCTTCTTGCGAGATGGGGGAGGACGTGGTGAGGCTGCAGCCTCAGCAGCTGAAGCTTTGGACTTTAAACTTCCGGGGTTGCGAGGTCCTTGTGGCTGTACTCAATCCTGGGTTTCGATAAACCTTTATTGATTCAGACCCGGTGCCCATAAATCCCTTGTAAGACCCCGGCAGAACCGAACAATGCAAATAGTGAGCGAACAGAAGCACAAGACGAGGCCCTGGAAGACCCCGTAATTCCCATACATCTCAAGACCTAGACCGTCTAGACCCGACACTGGCAAACCCCTTAAAAGCCTTGCAAGCCCCAAACTCGAAGAAACCCCAAATCCTAAACCCTAAACCCCAAAGCCTAAATCCTAAACCCCAAATCCTAAATCCTAAATCCCAAATCCTAAACCCTAAACCCCAAATCCCAAACCCGACACCCGAAATCCTGAGCTAAAAGCTTCCCGAGCCCCAGGCCGAAACAGCAGAGCAACGCCAAGCATCGCGGCACGATGACGCCTCCCGGGTTCAAGAAGATTCCTGGGAGAGTTCATGGTGGAAGCCTTCGTAACTTGGCTGGGCGTTGGAGTACCATACTCCTATAATACTTTTTCTTCAAGGAACCATTATGAAAAAAGTTTATACTTTTTCCTCCTTGGTTATATACTTAGAAGCCCAGTTGGCCTGAAGGACAGGGAAGACTTTCGATTTTGGGGCCCTCCGGGGGTAGAGTGTATCAGGGTAATACATAATCCTCATTTGGGGTTCCTTATTATATCAGTATAGAATACCCGGACCCCAAACCCTATTCTAAGTTGTTAAGTCCTCTTTACTTTTTACTATACTTTTTTAAAACCCCTTTAACGGAGCCCTTGTAGATCCCTTGTAAAGGCTAAGAGTGTCTTGGGAATTGCAGGTCTTGCCTTCCTTCTTCGGGGATAATATAGGAGCTTGAATAGTTAGCACGGCATTCTTCCTTTAGCGTTACACTATAAGTATGTATACTATAGCATGCCACCCCCCCCCCCCTGCAAAAAAAACCATCGAAACGCAGTTTAAGAAGGCGTATGATTTCCTCCTGCTATAATGTCGGATAGGTACGGTGTAGAAGTACAGGTTCGAAAGCTTGCTTCTCCTCCTTTGCATTGCCACGGGTTACTTAGCATTTTCGGAAGGTGCCAAGGTCTTGGGTCCTAAACTCAAACAGGAACCTAACCCAAACCCTAGACGCCCCTCAACCCTAAACCTAATACCCAGAACCCTAGACTCTAAACCCTACCTTAACCTACCAAAACCTACAAAAAGGTAGGGTCCCTATAAATTCTATATTAGGGTTTATAATAAGGACCTACAAAAAAGTAGGGTTTGGTAGCTTAAGGTAAACCCTAAATCTCAGACCCTTTAACCCGAAACCCTAAGCACAAACCGCATGATCGAGCCTCCAAAGAATCTCTGGAGTTGACACAAGGGGACACGGTGAGGAAAAGGCACACAACGCAAAGCAAAGCAAGTTACAGAACCCGAAGCCTCAATCCTAAGCTGGGTTCAGTGTTCAGGAAATTTAGTTCAGTTACCATAAATAGGGATCGATCTAGAGTACATAATATGATGCATTTACTGTGGGAACGTAAATTATATAGGATCCCTTAACAAGAACCCAGTATACCACAAAAGCACAACCCCACAGCCTCAGACTGCTCAACAAAGGTGGGAAGAGGGATGGCAGTGGAGATCCTGGGATGGCTGGTCGGCTTCGACTTGGCATGGCCCCGATGCTTAGCTCTCCAAGTCTCCAAGGTTTTACAACCGTTAAACGGATTAGGGTGTATAGTGTTTAGGGTTTAGGGTATGGAATGTTGGTCTGCTTATACCCCGGTAGTACTTGGATCCATCAATACCCCAAACCCTGCCCCTCCAAACCCTAAACCCTTACGCCACCTGACTATGCCGCGCCCATTTTGGGAATCCCAAGTACTTTCGGGGAACCTTCTTGTGAGTTAAGGTCTATTCCTTGAGAGTTTGTGGCACGGGGTTAGAGGTTCCTGAGTAGTACCCTTTTACTCTTTTTATTTCAGGGCCCCTCATTAACACCGAATAGTAGACCCTAAACCCTAAACCCTAAACCCTAAACCCTAAGCCCTAAACCTTAAACCCTAAACCCTAAACCCTAAACAAGGGTACCCTTTATTATCAAGGGGCTGCTCAGAAGCCCAGGGTTTCGGTGTGTCTGGGAGTACCTGAACTTACAAGTGGGTCCTTATTGGGACTATTCCTTCGGGGTTTTGGAATTCCTGGCAGAACCCTAAACCCCAAAACCCTAAATCCCTAAGCCTGAAAACCTTAAATCCCTAAACCCTAAACCCCAAAACCCTAAATCCCTAAACCTGAAAACCTTAAATCCTTAAACCCTAAACCCAAAGCCCTAAATCCCTAAACCTGAAAACCTTAAATCCCTAAACCCTAAACCCAAAGCCCTAAATCCCTAAACCTGAAAACCTTAAATCCCTAAACCCTAAACCCAAAGCCCGAAATCCCTAGTAAGGATCTATGGCAAGAGCGGAGCTCGAGGTCCTCCGCAGAGTCTTGGGACTCCCACGAGCCGGCGCCGCGGTCAAGGATTAGAAGGATCAGAGGGTTTGGGGCTAAGGGCTTAAAGTAGGCTTTAGGGGTTTGGGGTTTATATAGGGTTCAGGGTTTATGACAGGGTTTAGGGTTGATAATAGTTAAGGTTTAGGGTCTAGGGTTTATGATAGGGTTTAGGGTTCATAAGAGGGTTTAGGGTTTAGGGTTCCGGGTACCCAAAACCACAATGGAGATAGTCTGGGGGTACATGGTAGTGCTTATCAACTTTCGGGGGCTTTGTAGGATTGGAGATGGTCTTTTCTAGGATGCCCAGTGGTACCCTTATTCCCTTTTTGTAGTCCTAGGTTCCTTATAAAGTTACCCAATACCAAAAAGAGAGGCCTTTTTATTCTTAGGTTACTGGGTATCCTAGTTTTCAGGGTTCTGATGTCACAATGGGAAAATGATGGTACATGCGGACTTTCTGGGGCTTAGTAGGGATAGGTAGGGTTTGGGGTCAAGGGTTTCAGGTTACAATTAGGGCTTTATATGCGACAACCCCATCCAATTAGGGTATTCTAGGTATCGGTTTTAGGAAAGTCGTTATGTAATCTCTGAGTGGTCCCATAGAGTCACCCTTTCGAGGACCCTAGCACTACAAGCCAGTGGTCGCTCCATGTAGGATACGGTTGATGATACAAATCCTGCATTACCCATGATCAGGAATATACCATAATTCCCGTAGTTTAGGGTCCTGAAGGTAATGCAGGATTTATATCATCAACCGTAATTATCAAGGTCTGGCACTCAGAGCTTGAAGGGCTTTGCAGCATAGGGTTGAATCTGGTAGACCGATTTATGGCTGTTTGGTATACAGTTTAGATCCAGGATCTAGCTTCGGACTCCGAGAAGAATCGTCCTGTTTTTGACGTGTGGGATTAGTGGTTTGGTCTTTGGCATATGAAGCCCAAAGGGTCCTAGGTACTGTTATGGGGGATACTTTCCCAAATCATAATAGTAATTCCTAATACAGGAACCCTGCATTCAACTATATAGATACTTTGGACCCTTTGGGAAGGGATTTAGGCTGTGAGGTGTAAGTTTTGCAATTGAGGCGCTGAGTGGTTATACCAGACAGGCGCTGGATGGCCTCGGCTGCCATGACGGACATATCAAGGGAAGAGCTGTAAGTTTTGTCTATGTGTATTTATATTGGCCGGTGTATGTATATGTACATATGTACAGAGTTAGTAATTGTAAGACAAACACATTGAGTAGAACCAAAACAATAGAATATACGTTTGCATATTCAATCTAGCTAACTACTAGTCTATCTAAGCCTAGAAATGCAACTGTAGAGCAGCTTGAGCTTTTGCGTGCCGGATTTTTGGAAAAACGAGGAGGCACCCTGCAATCTGCTATGATCCGAGAGTTCCTGCGATCCGAAAGCTTGAGCAAGGTTTTGGCCGGACTGGACCCGGCACGATGTCACACGGCGGAGCGAGACTATTGGCAGCTGATTGAAGAAATCAAGGTTTCAGACTTGAAATATAGCCACAACAACATTTCCAGAAAGTTCCTGCATGGAGATCAGGCGGGCCGACCTGTTGAGAGTTTGGCCGAGGACCTGTTCGCAGGAAGGTTGCAGCCAACCGACGTTGCGGCACTGGTGGGGGTGAGATGGAAGGGCAAAGTCTTCGTGATCTGCGGCAATCGGCGCTGTAAGGCAATGAAGCTCTTCGCTGAATGGTCCGCCTCCTGGCACAGGCAGGAGCCGAAGGCGCGGGTCATAGTGCACGATTTCCCCCGCCTCTCGGGCATAGACGACCCCGACGTTCGCTGGGCATTCATGCTCAAGGCTACTGAATCCATGTCCACCGTCACGGGCGGGGAGTCGGTTCAAGTTGGGCGAAGATGCAGACATCGTTAATGAAGGCTTGTGCCGTTAGTGCACGCTCGCGCCTGCGAAAAGCGCGCTTCTGAAGCCGCCGCGTAGTATAGAGGTCCGAATAGTTAGTGAGACGAAGCCAAAAAGCAACCCGAAAACACCTAGAGAACCCGTAGATTAAAGCCGTATAGAACCAGTCAAGAAGCCCGTAACTCCGATATTGCCTGCAGGGATTGCTGCTGGGACTCTTTTCGATGTTCTTGCGGCATTTGGAGACGAAGCCTTCAAATCTCAAAGCCTCCATCGAGACTTATGCGTTCTAGGTTTGCGGATTTAGGATCCTTGAAGGGGCTCCGTTGCGGGTTCTATGAGGTGCCCATAAGTGATCTAAAGGGGATTGGTGTTTGCACAGGAACCGCTAGGCCTAGTTTCAGAACCGCAGCACAAGGAACCGAAACCCTTTGATTTGGGTTTAGGGCTTTAGGGTCTACGGTGTTGGGGTCTAGATTTGTCGGGCGTAGGGTCTAGGCTAATGCTTACAGCCGTTGGAACAAAAATCAAATCCGACCTGGAGCCCTTAAACTCAAACCTAAACCCTGAAGCCTAAATCCTAACCTCTACCCAGAGGCTCCAAAGTAGTTCCTTTTGGGGGTTACCTTATAGGGTTCTAAATATTATCCCCCAAGAAGGAACTACTATGGAGCCTATGGGTAGCCCCTGAGTTCGTTATCGTTTTGGCTCCACCTGAAAGCTGCACGGACCCTCCAGCACACCTGCCGTGCTTCGCGACCCTCCGGGAAAGCTCCAGGCCCCGTCCGATATAGGGTTTAGGGTTTAGGGGTAAACCCTAAACCCTAAATCCTTTGAGGGACTGGGGTTTCGGTTCAGGGGCTAGGGGCTTAGGGTTTCGGGGATAGGGGCTTAGAGTTTAGGGTTTGGGGATGAGTGGCTTGGGGTTCAGGGATTAGAAGCCTAGGATTTAGGTATCAGGGGCGTAGGGTTTCCGGATTTGGGTCTTATAGGGTTTAGGGATTAGGGGCTCAGGGTTTCGGGATTGGTCGTTTAGGGTTTGGAATAGGGGTTTGGGGTGTAGGATTTAGGGGTCCGAGGTGTAGGAGTTCAGCGTTTAGGGGCTGTTTCTGTCAGGGTTTGTACGGGGGTCGTCGGGGTATTGCTATCGATATATTATGCATGGTGTTGGGTTTCGAATCCAGGAATTGGAGGTGTCATGAGGTTCTGATTGGACTTCTCACGATGCTGTTATGGGGTGCATAAGTACAAGCTAAGGTTGGAGGATACCAGGTTTCGTGTACTTACAAGTACGTTTCATGCTTGGGTTTCGGTGTTTAGGACTTGGCGTTTAGGGCTTAAGGTCTGATGGATTGGGGGTTTGGGGCTTGATGTTTGGGGGTTTAAAACTCATAGTTTGCCCTATACCTTAGACCCCATAAACCCTCAACAACTCAGTATGGAATTAGGCGTTTGCACTAATAACACAGACCCTGGATCTTGCGAAGCACCACTTGCTGTTGCTTGTTTTCAACATGTGTGTGCGTGTGTCTCTGGCTCTCGCTGTGTTGAAGTGCGTGTGTATTTAGTGTTCCACTGTTGTTGTCTTCATTATTCGTATTGCCCTTTGACTTCTTGGCTGACGTGTAAGAAGAAGAGGACGTGCTATTGTAGGAAAGTTTGACGTCTGTTTCTGTCAAAGAGGACCCTGACCTGTTTTTGATGCAGAACATGATGACATGACGGATTATGTAATACCTCCGGCACCTGTGCCTGCCCGTCAATCCAGACCAAGCTGCAGGCGCGATGGTGGTTGCTCCGTCCTTAGCTTCGGTTTACCTGTTGAAAATCGCAGCTACATGGTCTTCCTTGCGGGCTGCTTTCAGGGATCTGCAGGATTGAATGGGGTCTAGACCTACGACTCATTTCTCAAGCTCAACGAGGCCATTGTTGGATGCAGACGGGGCGCTTCCAGCACGTTTTGGGCTCAAAGTTTTGTTTTGATTAAGCCAGCACGAGCTGCTCGGCATCATCTCAGCCTTGAAGCCATGTGCTCTCGATATCTTTTTTCATCAGCCATGCCGCAGGCAAGAGAATCCAAGATTATCTTTCCCTGCTCGATGGAAGCATCTTAAATCCCAGACCCTTCAAGAACTCCTTGACCCACATCGCACGCCCTAAATCACAGTGGATGCCTTGAAGATCCTTCATTAAAGGAGTTTCCGAAAATAGGGGACCCTAATATAGTACCCTAAATAGCAGGCTCCTTCTTATGAGGACCCCAAAATATGGTATCCCTAATCTTCGGAAACCCCCCTATAGAACCCCAAAAAGACATCCGACTGAGGCGATGAAAGCCGGAGCATCGCAGGTGACCCCTGAGAAGCGTCCTATGCGCTCCGTCACAGAGCGCCTGGCCCAGCCAGGGTTTGGTCGCTGTAGGGTTTAGGGTTTAGGGTTTAATATCGGGGCCTTTATAGGCTTTATAACTTCCTATACTATTTTGGTGGTTCCTTTTATAATTATGGTATAATGGGCCCCAAAACCCTATTCTGAATATTGAGGCCCCATTTATTGTCTAGGGTTCGGACTCAGGAATTAGGGTTCAGGGTTTAGGGTGTAAGCACCGTTTAGGGTTATTGTTGTTTAAATGGGGTGCATGCAGGGAGAGGGGTATGGGTTCAGTGTAATTTCGCTGAGCGAGTGGTAATCGTATCCCTTATAATCCCTACATCAAAGAAGTATACTATCATGTGCAGCAAATTTCTATGGAGTTGCTATGGCACGTATATTAGCAGGATGTATGCTGTACATTAACCGGGGCCTATATATTCCAAGTTATAAGGGTTTATAGCAAGAACGGCATATGAGGAGTGTTCAGGATTCATAAAGGCTTCGGGTTTCAGAATTTGGGATATAATGATAGTGATTGGTCGGAATCATCATAAAATTCTTCGGGTTTCCTCTTTCTAGTGGTATAGTGGAATATTACTCATATTAGGTTCTGGGAGGTTGGGTTGAAAGCTTAGTGCTTAGGATGTAAGGATTCGTAACAGTTCTTAAGCGGATTCCGTAAATCCAGCCCCTAAACTGCTTTCCATCTAAACCTACAATGAAGCCTATCTTCCGTTTCCAGCAGGCGGAGTTCGGGGATCTGCTGTAAGCTCTGCGTCGTTGGTAGATGTGCGGGAGTGGGAGTTTCGGAAAGCATCGCAGGGGTGATCGCTTTTTAGCAGCATTCCGTACTGCCCCTTAAAGGGAACTCCAGAAAGTTGGAATATGGATTCAGGGTAGGATACCTTATACTTTACCATAAAGGGTTTAGGATAATCATATTCCAACTTTCTGGCTTTTACTGTAAGATTTTGTAGAAAGGACACCCACTCCCGACAAGTCTAGTCCAACTATTCAGGCTTTTCGAGTTTTGCAGCCTACTCTGAAGATTGCTGATAGACATGGTTCTCTGACGTCGAGCCTCTGCACTTGTTGGGCTCTTGTACCTTTTATTATCATTCATCATCGAGATTTAGCCGTATTTTCTCGGGTCTTGGCGAAGTTCGCCGAAGCCGTGTATAGAAGCCGTATCAATTTGTCATACCATAATTATTACTCCTCCCAACCCTACTTGAATCATCGAAACCCTAAAGCTTAAACAGCTGAACCCTAAACCCGAAGGCCCCTATAGTATGGACAAGCTAGCCCGGCTTGTCGACCTAGTCTACAGGCCAGTGCTCCAAACTTCAAACCAAGCCTCAGCCGCAAAGCTCTAAGACCCTAAGCCCTAAACTCTAAACCCTATAAGCCCTAAACTTCTAACCCCTAAGCCCTCAAACCCCAAACCCTAAACCCGCTGCTTGGATGATCAGGCAGGTGCAAAAAGGAGCTCAACAAAACACAAACCTAAACCCTCAACTCTAAACCCTATAAGCCCTAAACCCTAATCCCTGTAAGCCTTAAACCCTAAACCCCTAAACCCCTAAACCCTAAACCCTAAACCCCTAAACCCTAAACCCCTAAACCCTCAACCCTCAGGCCTAAAGCGGTCGGCCCAGGTACATCAGGTCCCCTGCACAGCTCAACCAGATCAAGTCGGAAGCCGGGAAGCAGCCTACCTGGCCGAGTTCTTTAGTGAGGGTCTGGGGGGGGGGGGGGGGGGGGCTGAGGGTTTTGTGGGGTTTAGGGTTTAGGGTCTTAGGGTTTAGGGTTTGCGGTTTAGGGTTTAGGGTTTTAGGGTTTGGGGTTTAGGTCTGAGAGTTTAGGGCTTAGGGGATAACGCCCTTGATTGAGGGGGTTTCGGAGCCTTCGACAGCCCTCGGAACTGGTTGCGTCTGATGTGGAAGTGTGGCAATCGAAGCACTTGGGAGGCATTGTCTGGAAGCCCTATTTCCTTTTGGTTCTCGGTTCTCCGTCTTGATTCCGACTACTGGGAAAAGGGTATTCCGTATTTCTAGGATGCTGCTGGGAACTCAGTTCTAGCGGCGCTGGAGGCCGAGGCTCATCACGAGTTCGTGTGCAGAGGTTCAGAAAACCAAGACCCAAACCCGAAAAGCAATCTTACATCCTCGGCCCTGAAGCCTAAAACTCTGAACCAGAGCATGCATAACCCTGAACTCTAATTCGTGGACCAACCGCGAAGGGATGTGCATGGTCTTCCTCGAGGCAGAAAGCTGGGCTGATCCTGGACCCTATAAACCCGCACCCTAAACCCAAGACCTACACCCCAAACCGATAAACCACCACCATGGCACGTCTCCTCTGGCTTTGGGCGATCGCGCTGACGTCCTCCTGCGTCGAGACGAAGAAGCCGCCGCTGGGAGAAGCAATTAGGGGCTTAGTTGAAGGGTCAGAGATTTAGATATTTAGGTTTGAGGCTTCTGGGGCTTTTGGCCTCAGGATCTGGGCACTCAATAGCCGTAGTGTGGACCCAGGCGAGATTTGAGGGTTACACCCCATAAGTTATAGGATCCTGTCTAGAATCACTAGAAGGACCCTAAATAGGGCACTCCGAACCCTATCATGTAGCGGTTCGAGAGGGGAGGGAGCAATGAGGCTCTCTGTGATGGGGTTCACCGGGAGGCTCAGCCCATGCTTGCAGAGTCAAGGGACGTACAGTAGGAACTAGGTCATACGTACTAGTATATACATCTTTGAAGTTCCTAAAATGGACCCCGACTGGGTTGTCCTACTTATTGCCTTGCCAAACAGCTGCATACTCAGTCCCCCGACCCTCCAAGTAGAGCCAAAGCCCACGTCGGCGTTGAGGTTTCTTCGTTTGTGTTTGGGATGAGTGCGGTCTGTGCCCCTTAAAAACCATTCGCTTCCACAAACCATCTTGAACATTCTCAAGTCCAGAATGGCCCTTCAATGCGAGACCCTGAGCCCAAAAAGGCCAAAACCCTAAAGGTCTGTACTTGTATAGTTGCCATGACACCATATGCGAAGCAGTCGTACTGCGCACCTCATGCACCCATGAAGCAGCCAGATTTGATGATGTTCCTGCAAAACGCAGCGGCTGACTTTAACCCTGCACAGACCGAAAATGGCAAGACTCGAGGTTAGCATGCGCCCGCATTCTATAGCAGGCTTTATAGTACCGTTAACTGTAGCATCCTCTATCTATGGTATACTATAGTCCGTATTCTTCAATATGTGAACTTTCTTACAATCTTGCCCTATTATACGAGTACTAAATCCCCGCAGGACGGTGAGACACTACAAAATGTCCATTCGGCTGATTATATAAATCCTGCATTGCCCGTAATAAGGAATATACCATAGTTCCCATAGTTTAGGGTCATTATGGTAATGCATCATTTATATCATCAACCATTGCATAAGGTTTGCCTAAAGCGTTAGGGCATCCGGGGATGGTCTGCTTGGGGGATCTTGGGCTTGCCTCCGCAAGTTTAGGGTTTAGGGTTTAGGGTTTAGGATTTAGGGTTGAGGGTTTAGGATTTAGGGTTTAGGGTTTGGGATGTATAGGGTTGAGCTCTCAACCGCGATCCGAAAACCCCAGGGTCTGCAGCACAATCACCCCGCAGCCCAAACGCCAGAGCTCCGAAACCCTAAACTCCGACACCTCTAAGCTGGAAATCGAACCCGAAACCTCAGGTCCTATGAGGAGGGAGATCCAGAACATCAGAAGCACTTAGCAGCGACTCTGATAGTCGACGACACTAGTTTTTTACTACCGCCCCTTTAAGGCTTAGGTTTCCTTTAAGGGTTCCTTTGAAGGCTCCTTTAGAGGGTTCCTCCAAGGGGAACCCTACGATAGAGCCGAGCCCTCGGTTAGGGTTTGCAATTACAGCAAGCCCCTACACAGGGTTCAGATTTTGGGGATTGGGGCTTAGAGGTGCAAGAGCAACACGTACCCCAAGTGAGGAACATCCTGTTCATCCTCGCCGACGATCTCGGCCCCGTTCTCAGGTGTCGTTTCATCTAAGGATTTTCACGGGGCTTGGGGATGCAGCGCTTAGGTGTAATTGGTGCGTAAGGTTTAGGGTTCAAGGTTGCGGGCGTGGGGTTGCAAGGTTTCGCTATGTTCGGGGATTCAGGGTTTCATGACGCGTTCAGGTTGCAGGGTTTTGGGCCTTAGAGTTTCAAGGTCCAAGGGTAGACTCGAGGGGCTGGGGATGGACTTTGAGTTGATAACAGGACCCAGGGTTGAGGGTTGCAAGCTCAGGACTAGGGTTTAGGGTTTAGGGTTGAGTGTAGGGCTTCAGCAATGCGAGTTTCAGGACTTAGGATTTCGGCAGAAGGTTCTGGACTTAGTCGATGCAGACAGCAGGGACTTGGGAAGTGCATGAGCTAGCCGAATTCTGGACTCGGGTTTTGAATCGATGATGCCCTCGGAGTCCGAGTGCCCATCGTGCTAGAACTCCCCGAAATACGAACCTGTAAATACTGTTATCCTCTGGGTACTTTGCAGTTCGGCGCCACATACGCTGTGGGGGGATCGGGGAAAGTCGTAAGGCTTTCAACGTCTGCCGGCACGCGCGGCCAGCGATGCAGGAAGCAGATGCAACCCTGCCTGGGGGTTGATAGTCCACTGTTCTCTCAAGGTTTGGGTCGACATGTTGTAGATGTTGGTCGTCGGGGCGAAAGAAGTCGGACAGAGGGTTGCTAGCACAGCTAGGGCCCATGGCGGCAGCGGCGGAAGATGAGATCGAAGTGGATGTCGAAACCGATGAGCAGAGGTTTCTTCTTACCTTGGAGTCGCGAGTCTTCGTGAAGAACCGAGCCTTCTTCTTGTTCGTCACTGCGCGCGAGAAGATGGCCGAGTTGTGGCGGAAGTCAGGCCGGAGGAAACCTACCGTACCGCTAGGGTTTAGGCCAGTTGAAGGTCAAGCCCCCGAGCTGAACCCGACATCTCACACCCCAGATCTCAGAATCTACAAAAGCCCCAATCCGCGATTCAAACCTTAAGCCCCTAAGCCCTAAACCCTAAACCCTAAACCTAAACCCCAAACCCTAAACCCTAAACCCTAAACCCTATAAACCCTAAGCCCCTAAGCAAGGCCGTGCTTTGGGCCTCCGCGTCCCAAGTGATCTCGAGTTGGAGGCGCTAGGACCGCCGCAAACCGAGCCGGTGGTGCGAGCCTTCGAGCTCTGCAGAGACTCGGCTTAGGGCTCTGAGGGTGTAGGGTTTAGGGTCTAGGGTTTAGGGTTTTCCAAGATTTTATAGGGGTTTTGGGGTTTTGGGGTTTAGGGTTTAGGGTTTAGGGTTTTCCAAGATTTTATAGGGGTTTTGGGGTTTTAGGGTTTAGGGTTTAGGGTTTTGGGGTTTGGGGTTTGGGGTTTGGGGTTTAGGGTTTAGGGGTTTGGGGTTTTAAGGTTTAGGGTTTAGGGTTATAGGCCGGCGTTTTGCATAGTTCATGGGGGTTTTGGATTTGGGGTTTAGGGGGGGTTTAGGGTTTAGGGAGCCTTCGAGCTGTGCAGAGACTCAGCTTTTCCAGTATTTTATAGGGGTTTTGGGGTTTGGGTTTTTTGGGGTGTAGGGTTTGTGGATCATCAGAGACTCAGATTTCAATTTTTCCAACATGTTCTAAGGGGTTTGGGGTTTAGGGTTTAGGGTTTGTGGATCATCCGAGACTCAGTTTTTCCAAAATGTTCCAAGGGGTTTGGGGTTTAGGGTTTGGGCTTTGGGATTTAGGGTTTGGGGTTTAGGGTTTGGACTTGCGGGTTATTTAGGGTTTCGGACAAGCTTGCCACTGTTTCGCTATGTTATGTTTTAGCAACGCGCTGAAAGGCCCGGAAACCTTTTGTGACATATCGAAGCCTGAATAAGGATCTTGTTCGTAGCCTTTCTTACTTATATGAATCAAGTCATATACAGTTTCACCGAATTCTCGTGTTAAACATAAAAATCGCCCCCCCCCCCCATGTTGCCATGGCTTTGGGGATTCGACTTGCTTCACGGACAGTTCTGACGGCTTGCAGTTCTGCATTTAGGGTTTCTCTTCCAATCTATGCAATCTTTGGACCAAGGTGTTTTTGTTGAAGGTCTTTTACGTTCATAGCTTCAACTTCTGCTGCTGGACAAGCAAGGAGAGTTCTCGGGAGAGTCCTTGTTCAATCACTGCATGCGCGCCTACTACTTTGCTGCGGCTGTGCGGTGGTTTGGCAAAGGCTGGCTGTAAGCTCCAAGATCCTTTAAACCCTACCTGGACCCCCAAAGTATGTAGAATAATAGCCTTTTAAGGGAATTGGGCCATTATTTTACCTACTTTGGGGGGTTTAGGTAAGCCCTAAACAAACTTGGCGCTTGCGACCCTAAAGCACAATAAACCCTAATCTAAAGCCCTGAAGCCTCAAGCCGCGATCCCCAAAGCCCAAGCCCAAGTCCCTAAACCCCATTCCCTTGAAACCTTAACACCGTCTGCCGAGAAACCCCAATCCCAAACCCTTACAGAACATCTTAAACCTATATAGGCTTACTGGAACCTTTGAAGTATTCTACTGTATAAACCCTATGCGCTATAAGCCCCTTACAAGACCCGAAGCCCTTTGGATGAGGCTCCCTGGATGGCCTTGACTTGGAGCAGATGGCAGTGGCGTTTGCTTTCCACGACTTTGGCTTGACAAAGATCCTGGGCCGTTTCTTGTGGCTTTGAGGGCTTTGATTTCAGGGTGTAGAACACGCTTACGGATTCAAGGGTTCGATGCTTGGGGTTGGTTCTTGAGTATTTTCGATCTTTAGTGAGAAGGACCAAACGGAATGATGGTTTCGGTACGTCCCTTCAAGAGATGCTCAGGACCAGCCAAACAGAAAGCGAGGAGTCAATGTATCCTTTTGAGGTTCGTGGGGCTCGAAGGTGCCTCCGCTTCGCCTTGAAAGAGACGCAGATGACCCAGCAGCAAATCAAGGTGATGTATGAGGCCAGCTGGCTTCATACCCAAACAGCCCAAACCCTGATTTCAGCCTCTCGAAATTATTCATAGCCGAAAACCCTAAAAATGAACCCAAAGCCCCAAAACCGTAAAGTAGGAAACCTGAACGAGGCCATCCGTCTTCACACGGCGCTCGGCTTCGACAAGCCCACAGAGCTAGCCGACCTAATTACCGTGGGTACGTGCTGTGACGTGGTGGGCTACCGCTGCGAGGACCTCTCTAAGAAGACCAAGGCCAACATTCTTACTGCATATCCGCGGCTGAAGCTGGGTTCGTTTAAGAGTTTAGCTATGGTCTCCATTGTGCTTCCGTTCTTGGCTTAACCAATTCTATATGAAGGTGATCCCCCATAAAAGAACTACAGTGGAGACGAGAGGCCGGGTTCATTCGGGGTTGCTCGACGCTTTTCCTCATAGGCAGCACGATAGAACTAAAGTCGTCGAGGTCGCGGCTTCTCCCTCACCTTGGTTAATCGAGCTGTTATCTCAGAATGCTTTTTGTTACGGTTATGAAGTTATGATGATGGCTTTGATGGTTAGCATGACTATGACTATGACTAGTAGTGTTACCGAGAACCAAGGAAATGGAAGGACGTCGTGATCAAAGCCTTTGCTGACGATGCCAAGATGCCTCACCCATCGCCCGTGATGAGGCGGTACCAGCGCGAGTACTTCTTTAACCTGCTGGTACGCATGGCCCCTTTCTCAGAGTAAGCCTCTCCTAAACGCCCCTCAAACCCGTGAGGGTTTGCGAAGATCCTCGCTCGAATGAGCGAGGTTGGTTTTGCATGCCAAAACCCTTGTTCGAATGAACGAGGTTAACTGTGTGCCAGAGAGGGCAGGCTGACAAAGGGACGCTTGCAATCTTCTTACAGGTGCAAAGGACCACAGAAACCTAAGGATCTTGCACATAAGGTTTGCGTTTGACCTTTATCATCTTCAAAGCCCTACCTAAACAATTGAACCCTGAACCGCTAAAACCGTAAACTATACCAAAAAGTGCTATGAATCCTAAACCCTCAGCCCGAAACCAAAAAAGTTCTACCCCCTGTAACTTTAAACCCTATGTAAGCCAATGTAGGCCCTAAGTCCCTCAACCCCTAAACCCCTAAACACCTACCCTAAAGCCTAAACCCTAAACCCTAAACAGCTAAACACCTACACCCTAAACCAAGGGAGGGACCGGGTAGTCCCCCCAACCATCCCTTTTGTTTAGTAGTCCCTTGGTCCTGAACATGGGAGGTTCCTTCGTAAGTCCCTTTTTGCTTCGGTTAGGTGGGAGTTTCCGAAAATTCGGGGTCCCGGGGTATCTTGTTTAGGGGTCCTTGTAATAAGGATCCTATTATTGAGGGTACTATATTAGGGTCCCCTGTTTTCGGAAAGTCCCAAACATTAAAGAATCCTATGAGAATCCTGAAACATCTCAGACCCCAGCATAGTTTACATACTTCTTATGTATATGACTGTATGTATGTATGTATGTATGTATGTATGTATGTATGTGTATATACATATGTGTATGTATATAACATGCCGGAATCCCTGCACAGCCATATAGTCTTATAAACCCTGAATAATATCCTATACAACCCCTTGTAAACACTCTAAGCAACCCTATAAGACAACTTCCGGCAGCTCGAGGTTTTAACGACGTTTCCTTCCACGGATCCCCTCAGATTCCCACTCCGAATATTGATGTCCCTCGGCCGTGGGTTCTGCTTCGTTTTTCTTTGCTCACTTTTTCTTGAGGGAAGGGTGGTTAGAGCTTCAAAGGTTGAGGGTTGAGGGTTGAGGAGGGTTGTGGGCTTAGGATCGAGGGCTTTGAGTTCAAGATCGTTTGTCCCTTGGCTGACGGTTCTTGTTTTTTCCGTGTTGCAGTCTTACAAGGGCTTCTACGTAGTCGTTTGAGGTCTCGGGCTTGGCGTGAATATTGATGACAGTTGGCTGAGGTTTCCTGCCTTCGGAGATTCAGGGTTTGGGGATTGCATGGGGCTTCGGTTGAGGAATCAGCGTCTAGTTACCACTGGACCTTAAGATTAGCGCTCGGATGTGGCAACAGGTTTTCGGGCTTAGGGTCTTTCGGCCACAGGGTTTCGAGTTGTTGGGATGTCGAGATCCCTTGATCCTACACACGGGAGCCCTGCACCCCTAAATCCCAAGCCCGAAAACAGGCTCGAAATGCCTGCAGCAGAAAGCCTCAAAGTCCATACCCTCGAACTGAACGCTTCGAGAGCTTCAGTTTGGGGGTGGGGTCTAGGGCTTAGGCAAGCGATATTGGGTTCGGGAGTTAAGGCAGACTGGCAAGGTTTACGGCCTTGGGGTGCATTGTTAGACGAGGTTGACGGCACATGCGGTTTTGATTCTGGACGATCCGAGGAACTTGCGCGCACAGGCATCACGTTGTGCCTTGGCCCCGAAGAGCTACTAGTTGTGTCGCTGGATATCTTTTCCATCTAGATAGATCGATGGGTAGTTAGATAGACGGATAGATAGATGAGGAGGGGGCTCAAGGTACGCGTTGCTTCTTGCGCATTCGTGGTGCGTGCTAATTAGGATATCCTGATCCGGTAACCCTTTTGGGGCATGAAGCCGCAGTCGCTTAGAGATAATCCTAGACGCAAGCCCTCAGCTATAACCTCTGTGGCGAATAATTATCAGCCTGTAGTTATTACTCTTACAAGACTCCTGTAAGCTCCTTCCCCAAACGGACTTTAACCCCAAGCCGAACAAAGAAAGTGCAAAATGGCATCCCAAGTAGGGCTTATATTGACGATTTGGTTGAGTGCATATACGTCTCCGATTGAAAAGGCTTTATGATGGAGATACCAGCAATAAATGCTCTCCCTCATATCATCCCCTCCTTGGCACTTGGACCCTTCAGTAACAAACACTGAAATCCAAGAAGCTTAGAGAGGGAGACCCCCTAAAACCCTGCACCCCATGACGCCTTGAACCTGTCGGGTGGCGTAAACCCTAAACCCTAAACCGTGGAGGAACAACTACCATGTGCAGCCGGTTTGCAGCCCCACGAGAGCCACGATACTCAGCGGTCGGCATGTGTCGCACACAGGCGCATCGCAGGGTTTGTGGAGACCTGAACCTTACACAGGCTACGTGCCTAAACCCTGGCCCTAAGCCCTAAACCCTATAAGCCGACGGGCTTCCTTGCACCCGAAACTCTAAACACTTAAGCTGTCTAGGCTTCAGGGTTGAGGAAGTTTTGTAGCACACTAAGCTACTATGATCCTTAGGGATTCGGGTCCAAAGGGTGCGCAGTTTAGGGTGTGGGTTTCAGGGTCTTTAAGGTTAGGGTCGTTGGGCTTTTGAGGGCTTTTGGGGTTTAGGGTTTTGTGGTTTAGGGTTGTGGGTCAGAGTGTGGGCTTCGTGGCATGGAGGCATCTACTTGCCGATTACCACGGGAAGCCTCCACCTGAATCTCTCTTACTCCACACTCCCCAAGTTCTTGGGGGAGCTTGGGCAGCTTGGCCGATAGACAAACCTTAGCCCTAAACCCTAATTCGGACGGCCCGGGTTTTTCGGAATCCATGGGATTTGGCTTCCAACTTTGGGGTGGAGCTTTTGGGTGCGTAGGTGCTGTCTCTGTTTCACTTGCTCTGACACCTTCGTGGAAGATGTAGGGCTTACTGTGGGCTCTGCACACCCTATTTTGCAGACCACGAGTGACGAGTGATAGCAACTCGCCCAAGTAAGATGTTGCACCAAAGCCCGCCTGCCCAAATCGTTTGCTTAAGCCCGCGGACCGAAATTTCAATTCCTTCCCCAATTTCCGGGGGTGATGGGTGTAATCTTACATTACAGCCAACCAGTCTCATACATGTTCAAAAGTCTTAACAGCCAAGAGTCTGAAGGCCCCACCAAAGTTTAGGGTCACTTACCAGTAACTCAGGACTGTAGGCCCTAAAATCCCAGTCCCTCTACACTGGCAGAGCAGTCACACTGAGTAGACCCTAAGCCCGCGAGCTTGCAACCCCAAGTCCGAAGCTATCCCAAGCGCTAAATCCCGAAACTCCGACCTCCTCTAGATTCGAGATCCTTCAAATAGAGGCCTCGAAGGGTTCCCTCGAACAAGGAAGCCTCTAGAGCCTCCTAAGCCGCCGAGAGCAGCGCGATTGCTGAACTCTTTGGGGAAAGCTTGGCAACGGCAGGATACATGACAGCCGGCGTTGACTTCATCAAAGTGGTGTTGAACGAAAGCATAAAGCCAACCCGGGTGAGAAGTATAAACACCTAGGTGAAGAACGACGACACGAAGGTAACACTACATGGACGTGGTTTGCACAGCAGTTTTTGAGAACGCCCTTCCACAAGAGCAGACTGATGGAAGATGAGAGCCCCCCCGTTGCATTGACAGAGGAACAGAAGCAACGCTTGATTGGCGTCGGCACGGCTGTTGCTATGGGCAAGGAGGTCAAGTCGGAGTGGACAAAGGACATCCTGACAAAGAGTCGGAACGCCAAGCTGCTTCGTGAGACGGAAGCCAAGGTGAAGGATAACATCTTGCCAAAGCTGACCGGCCAGGAGAAAACATAAGAAAGAAATCTCTGCACCCGATACGGCAAGAAACCCCTTAATTAAGCCCTACACCCCTCAAGATCCCTCACAGAACCATTAAGCAGGGATTGTTAATGGGTTCTAAGCCAGGCACGAGACCCTAAACCCTCAACCGCCAAAGATCCGTGAAGCCCTCCTGACCCTGTCCCTCTTCAGATCCCTTATAACCCTTCAAGGATCCCTTCAAAAAGGACTCCTTCTCAAAGAATCCTAAGCTCAGGTATGAACCGCCAAGAGGCCCTAAAGCCAAAGCACCTATCTTCCCTAGGTATGATGCCTGTAGATCCCTGAACCTGCAGAAAAGGATCCCTGTACAGGATGCTGAGCGCGGGTATGAGACCACAGAAGACACTAAACACAAAGCCAACCCCCAACAACACCCCAACCCCCTAAACCCTAAACCGTAACCGATGAATGCATCCCAGACCCAAGCATCGTCCAAAAACCTCTTTAACGTAAACGGAGCCTGTTAAAGGATCCTTTAAAAAGGATCCTAAGCGCAGGTATGAGACTTAAAGGGACCCCCTAAGCCCAAAGGAGGCTGTAAAGAACCCATTGAAGGATCCTAAGCCCAGGTATGAGACCCATATGGTCGGGAAGTGGCACATCGGACTGAACCAACTCGCCGCCTTACCGACTTCCCGAGGATGCAGCCACCATCATATGGGGGCCCTTGATAGTTAGAATGGGGTTTTGGGGTCCACTACATTATAATAAGGAGCCCCCAAAGTCATATAGGCAACTATTGAGGGCTCTATAGTAGGAAGCTTGGGTTGAGGGTTTAGCGGTTTAGGGGCTTGGGGTTTTGGGTTAGGGGTTTCTGGGTTTGTTTTGGGACCGGGTATGGGTTAGGATTCAGGGATTCGGGGCTTTTGGGGGCTTTAGGGTGTACTGTAGGGTCTAGGGCTTTTTGAAATTTTAGTGCTTAGGCTGTAGTCCCCTTAAGTAGCCCCTCAAGGGTACTATAAGGGCTTCTCCGAAGATTCTAGAAGTTGTCATATATGGGTTTGGCTTGTGGGGTTTAGGATTCAGTCTTCAGGCTGTACGAAGTTCCTTGCTCGCCTTCCGGGAGCAGTCGAGACAACTTCGGGGCCCGAGTAACTACGGTTGATGACATAAATCCTGCATTACCCAGAATGAGGAATATACCATAATTCCAATAGTTTAGGTGATTTATATCATCAACCGTTACCAATACTATTTCGAGGAGGTTCCTGAGTACAACTGTAGCATTGTGGGCCCCAAACCCCTATTCTAACCATTAAGGCCCTACATTAAGCGGATGTTTATTGTATTGCTTCAGAATACGGTATTCAGTTACCACGCAGTTAGAACTCGTCTAGAACTTGCTGTAGGGATCCTGGCCCAAAGCCATGCACCGCAAGCCTTAAGCATCAAACGCCAAGCCTGACACTTTCAACTTCGAAGTGTAACCGCTCTGCTCGCAGCAGAGCACGTGTTGGCGAGGATTCGACAGCTACTTCGGCTGCTCGCCTGAAAACCGTATGGCATATCCGCAACCCAAACTCCACAAATAGTAGGCCATGCCACCCCCCCCCTGATTATGTGATGTGCCAACCCTCGTTGGCTTGCCCCGAACCCGGCCTAACCTTTCAATATCCGGAACTCTGAGCCCGTAAACCTCAACTCTAACCTCTTAAACCCTGGACTCTTAAGCCTCACAACTTAACCCTAAACTCTTAAAGCCTTGAAGGATCATGCCACGGGTGCTTGGGTCGTCTTTAGACCTAGATAGTTCCCTTTAAGGGGAATCGGAGGCCCAGAGTTTTAGGTTTAGGGTCCCAACTCTCTGCAGCGTACATCCTCATCCCAACTTCTCATGGTTTGGGATTTAGGTTGGTTGGTTGGTTGGTTTAAAGACACAAGAGTGACATCTCAGGGCAAAGAGATGCGGGTTTAGGGTTTAGGGATCTCGAACCGTCAACCTCACGACCCGGGGTCGTGAACCCGGTTACCGAAGAGCTGAGGATATGTCTGGGGTGCCGAGGATTACTACACCCACATGCGACAAGGCGCCTTGGGTGATCTTTTGTTTCAGATATCGGTGGGATGAAGGTAGGGAGGGTTAATTGATACCTCATATAAGCGCTCGTAGTACCCCAGCTACCTCTTCATCCCACCTTCGTAGCCATAGGGCTTAAGTGGCTTAAGTCGATTGATATGAAGGGTTGAATAAAGACAAGTGGTATGAGGGGGTGGCTTGCTTTCACTTGCACGTCCCTAAGATTACCGCGGTTCGATATTCGTGCTTTCAGGGTTGCAGGTTCAGGCGTTTGACGGCTTTTGAAGGCTGAGGGTGAGAGTTTTGAGTGTTGTATGTTGTAACTTTGGGAGGCCATGTCCAGCAACTCCCTAGCACGCACTTGGACTTGAGATTTTCGGCTGAGAGCTGCACTGCCGACGCTACGATTGGCAGCACGGCAGGGTGCTGCGGCACCGCATGCGCGAAAGGAGTGAAGAGAATGCACCAGCATGAACCGCCCCTACGGTCGTCAGGTGCGAAGACTGAAGACGACCCGTCACGCCCGTGGTGCGCTGCGTAGAGGCTCGACAAGAACAGACAGGCCGACCGACAGCGGCCACGGCAGTACAGTCACCATCGCCAGCAGCGACCCTGGTCACGACGGACACATCACCAAGATTCGCAAGACAACTGCCACCCCACCGGAGTATTGGATCCACGGCACAGTCTTGAGCTGACTCCGCAGCATTGCTGTCGCAACCATAACCAGAAAGAGCCCCTTCGGCAAAAGCAGCTCGAGACACTTTTCAGCTGACCCTGCACCATTGTCGCCATCGGAGAGGCATGCATCAGCAGCCTGGAGTATAGTATACTATAGTATATGTTATACAATGGTACGAAGGACAACAGGAAGACTTATCATCGTCATAGTCATACGAATGGTATACCAGTAACCTCAGTACGAATGGTAAGAATAATCAGAAGACAGATGAATAGTTAGAAACGGGGACTATGAGGGCACCCTTCACCCCATGTCCCCTTACAGAGGCCCCTGGTGTCCCATTCAATCATCCCTAAGAAACCTTCATCCCCAAAAGCCCCAAAGGGTTTAGGGTTAGGGTCTATAGTTAGGGTCTATAAGGGTACTATGATGTAGGGGCCTTAATGATTAGACTAGGGTTTCATAGGGTTCCTTAAAAGGGGTTATTAGGGTTTCGTGCAAGCTGAGGTGCTTACGACCTCCTCGATGGCACGCGCAGCGCCTTCGAGTACAACGGCACGCACTCGACGGGGCTTTGGGTGCAGAGCCTTGCCTTTCAGCAGGGTTCCTTTTTGGGGGATCTATAGTGTTCCGTTAAGGGTTCCGGGTTCCTTTAAGGGATCTATAGGGCCTATAGGGTTCCTTTTTAAGGGGATCTATAGTGTTCCGTTAAGGGTTCCCTTACGGGATCTATAGGGTTCCGGTCTCGCAGAAGGCCTAGGGCTCCTATTCCACCCCTAGATAAAAGGCTCCATCGCAGTTCCTTTTTGGGATTCATAATTAGAATCCTATAAGGTAACCCCAAAAAGGAACTACTTTGAGCCTCTGGGTAGATTACAGTGCTCATTGCTTTAAAGGTTTAGGGATCGATCGAGCGGCTCGACCTTTCGGCTTTGGGGGGTTTAGGACTTGTGGTTTAGGGTTTAGTGGTTTAGGGGTTAGGGTTGAAATTGTAGGGGTTTAGGGGTTTAGGGTTTTGAGGGTTTAGGGGTTTTGAAAATGATGTCATGCATGGTTTAGCACGTAGGATGTGGGTACTTTGCGTACAGAGGCTGTGCATGTTGGTACCATTAGGCTGAACTGATTCAAAGAGAGGGGTAGGCTTTCGGGGGGGTTTGGGGTTGAGGGTTTAGGGGTTAAGGGTTTGGGGTCGTCTGAGAAGTCTAGCCGTACGGGATTTGGAAGAAGCCTAGGAGTTGTTTGGAGCTTTGGCCTTGACACGGCTTGTGGATCGTGACCCTCGGCAAACCGGACTCCTTTGCCCGCAAACAGGTCCTTAAGAGGCCGCTGTAAGTTCATACGGTTTCCACGTTCATCACCTGTTCTTGGTCTGAGCATGAGTTTAGGATCTGGAGGACTTTAGGCTTTGCCGCTCTGGAAGCGCCTCACGCCAAGGAAAGTAGTTCAACTGCTGAGCGCCCCTCGATCCGGGAAGTGACTCGGCTGCTCCATCCTGGGTGTAGTCGTTATTCGCGGACGAGGTTGAATAGTCAAGAGGGGGGTCTGCATTAAATGTCCAGCGCAAGGAAAAGTTCACGAACAGATGAAAACCAAGAAACTACCAATTAGAAGTAACTAGAACCTATGCTTTTCGATCTTTTGGAGATGAGGATTCAGAAAGCCACAGGGATGGCTCGCCCTTCAGTTTTAAAAGAGTAATGTGTTGGGTTTAGGTTCATGTAGTATATTATATATAAGGTATACTTATCATGCAGTCAGGTTTAGTCATGTGAAGCAAGGAATGAATATCTGTCTATCTGTCTGTCCATCGATCTATGTACCGATGTTACTACCTAACAGGTCTATCTAGTCTACCTAATCTATCTAACCTATAAATCAATCTATCTATCTATCTGGCTGTCTACTCACCCATATATATATATATATATATATATATATATATATATATATGTATATATGTGTGTGTGTGTGTTCATACATATATATATAGATGTATATTTATATGCCATATTGGTAAGTGCTTATTTTGGGGTGTTCTTCTGGGGAGACGAGTAAGCATAGCGCACCACTTCGCATGTGAGACGCCCCCCCTGGCATACCTTACCTTCCAATGCACTTCCTCCAGTTGAACATCCCAAGCCCCAATTCAGGCCCAAGATCTATATAATGGGTATATAATGGCTACATTAAGGGTCTATGCCTAGGGGTCCTTATTAGGGGTCCCTCCTTTGACTCTTGGATTCTCGTTTCCAAAACCCCAAGCCCATGAGTCCCCAAAGCCTGAAGCACTGAAACCAGAAACCCGAGCCAGTCCTACTGTTCGAGAACTTGCAAGCGTATCTAGGATGCCCAGTAGTACCCTTATTCCCTTTTTGTAGTCCTAGGTTCCTTATAAAGTTACCCAATACCAAAAAGAGAGGCCTTTCTGTTCTTAGGTTACTGGGTATCCTAGGTTTAGGATTGGAAGCAAGCATCAGCAAGGCGATATGAAAACCTTGCGCCCGGAACATGCAGATTAGATCTTAGAAAGGTGTTTAGTTCTAGGAGTACAGCATGGTACAGCCTTAGCTGTTTCAGGCCTTTCTTCATTTACCTTGCCTTCCAGAACGTGCACTGGCCTCTGGAAGCACCGCCAGAGTACATGAGGCCATGTAATTACCTGGGGTACTGCTCCCACTCTGGAACGGTTGGATTTATACAGATAAATCGAAGAAATACATGTGTGTATATATATATATATATATATATATATATATATAGATATGTATGGATATGTGTGTGTATATAGCCCTTCATATGACCCTAATATAGATTTGTTACAGGGTAGGGGCAGTACCCAACATATGCCCTCTGGTGCAGTTCGTTGGAAGATGTTTTGGGGATAGGGCTTCTGGTGCTGCAGCAGTCAGGTGTTTTCTAGGATGCCCAGTGGTACCCTTATTCCCTTTTTGTAGTCCTAGGTTCCTTATAAAGTTACCCAATACCAAAAAGAGAGGCCTTTTTGTTCTTAGGTTACTGCCATAGGGAGATCGGTTCCTCCCTGACAAGAAGACGGCGTGCGAGGGATCACGGTGTTCAGCTGAGGGCTTAGGGTTGGCTGCAGGGTGACATAGCTCAAAGGGGAAACTTAGGGGTACTTAGAAATATTTTTAATTTTTGGTTATTATAATCTCTAAGAAACAGCTAAAATTATAATTTTTGCTAGGGTTCTAAGTTCGATACAGGAAAAGGAGGGACCCTTAATAAGGACCCCTAGGTATATACCCTTAATATAGCCATTATATACCCATTATATAGCCCCATTATAGGGTAGGGGTCCCCATTAAGGGTCCCTCCTTTTCCCCTTTGAATAGCTGCTGTAACTTCACACCCAAAGCCGAAAAATCCGAAGCCTCGAGCCCCCAAACCTTCTACCCGAAACCCAGACTCTAAACCTGGGACCTCAAAGCAACCGTTTAGGGCTTACAGGGAACTCCAGAAAGTTGGAATATGGTTTCATGGTAGGATACCCTATAACTTACCATAGAAGTGTTAGGATAATCATATTCCAACTTTCTGGCTTTTACCTTAGGGTTTAGGGGTTTAGGGTTTACAGACTCAACAGACCCCCGAGTCCCATTTTCCTAAATCCCAAGTGCATCCGTGCGTAGCAACCCTGAAGCCTGCAGCGCTAAACCCGAAGAAAACTCTAAATCTCTTCAAACCCCCAAATCTCAATACCCAAAAATACACAAACAGGTTCAGGGTTTAGGTTTCAGGTCGAAGCCCTATAAGACCTTGCTGAAACCCCAACGCCTACTCCGGACAGGCGCTTCGACGGCAAGACCGGGAACAACTCGGTGCGGCAGTCCGCACATTGGCCGCAGTGTACACGCGGTTTAGGGCTTTAGGGTTTAGGGCTCAGGGTTTCGGGCACAGGGCAAGCAGATGTCAGCATCTTGTGCAATTAACCCATAATCAAAGGGTCCATGTGGATCCAAGAGCCTATGTTTTTGAGGGTTAGGGCAACAGCTTGTACTTAAAAGACAATCTCTAAGCCCTATAAGCCCTAAACCGTAAACCCAGCATCTATATCCTAAACCCCTAAAGCCCTAAACCCTAAACCCCAAAATCTATACTCCTAACCTTCAGGTGTGCGCGCTGGCCTCGGCCTTGGACGATGCTGTCGGGGAGGTGATCCACACACTGAAAGACAAGGGCCTCTATGAGGACGTTTAGGGTCTTTAAAGGGTTTAGGGTTTTGGGGGTTTGGGGTTTTGGGGGTCCAGGTTTAGGGTTTCGGGTCTGTAACGTAAGGAAAGGATGTAGTGATCGGGCTTGTGGGTTTAGGGACTATCTGGTTCCCGGTTTAACTAGGTTTCTTAGGGTTAAGTCGACTGTCGCTTTTTGGGGACTGTGGGCCCAAAAGCGAAGGACCCATGGTTTCGGGTTTGGGGGAACTTATGATTATTGTTTGAGGGTTTGTGACTTTGGCGTCTGAGGTTTTGATTACCCTCAAATGCGGAGCATTTTACGCTTGCAAGCCAGACACCTTCATTTGTGAAGCTGTGTTGTCGAAACCAGTAAACCCTGGCGACGCCCAGACTACCAAGGGAGTCCAGTGTCCCTTGTCGCCATTTGAAAAGGGACCCCTACTATGACTGCACCTTAACGAATGTACCTTTGTTAAGACATATTGGAGTCACTGTGCATGAAGCTTAAGTTTCACCCCGCACTGGCTTCAGCCTTGCACGCCTGTTCGGCAACCAGATTTTCTCGTGAAAACTACAGTGCAAGAAGGTTTGTCTATTCGCCTTAGAATACTCTTCAACCCTATACGCCCTAAACTCTGACTCCATCAATCCTTACAACGTCCTCCACCCTGTAAACACCCCTAAGCCCTACAAGCAGCACCCCAAGAAGGCCTAAAGTCGGAGAGGAGAGTAGACAGCCCGGCCTTGAAACCGCACTTTGCTACAGAAGCCTGGATTTACTCAGTATCTAACATTATTCCTTTGGGTCCCCGAACATGATATAGTAGTCTAGTGTACCTCAGCAACCTGTATTGAAGCACAAAAAACTAGGGCCCTCATACTAAGGCTTCAAGCCGCAGAACCCTCTAGAGCCTTAAACCCCAAGCCCTAAACCCTATAGACCCTCATCCTTAAAGTTGAACATTATTTCCAAACCCAGAAACAAGAGACTTTACGATAGAAGATGAAATATTGACTACGTATATAAGATGAATCCTTAAGATCCCCTAATATATGACAGAGACGCAGAAAATACCTAACCCCAAACCCTATAGACCTTACACCCAAAACCCCCAGAACTGAAACCCAAAACCACAAACCCCTTTCCAGAAAGAGGACTCTTTGCTACAGAAGCCTGGGCCTTAAACCCAAACCCTTGGACCCTCTAAACCCTAAGCGCTATACCTTCAACCCTAAACCCAAACCCAGAAATAGAACCCGATAGAACCCAAATTTGAGGCCCTAAACCATCCTGAACCCCCAAATCCCCTTAAAGCCTAAACCCCTTCAACCCCAGAAAGAGGACACTTTGATCATCTTCGCCTCAGACAACGGCGGCCCCACCAACGGCGACGAAGGCCTCGAACGAGCTCGAAGCAGATTAGGGTTTCGGGTTTAGGGTATAGGCTTTAGAGCTTAGCGTACGGTGGCCCACAATGGGTCCCAGATAGGTCCTATAAGAGTCCTTAAGGTTAAGGGTTTGGGGTCTGGGGGTTTCGGGGATTTTCGCGGTTTGAAAGGAGTTCCGGTCGTACCACGAGCGGGCCGATAGCAACTGCAGAGGTATGTTTCAATCCTTCCCGCATAGAAGCATGCAGGCCCGCCTTCACAAACCCTTGTCTTCTACATTACATATCCATAACATGTAAGGCCGAAGTGCACACTTATGCCTTCCTTTTCGATTTTTTTGTCAGAGAAGGCCCCCACCTCCCAAACGAAGCCACGGCAGGCAGCTGGTCGAGCAACTACCCACTGAGAGGTGGCAAGAACTCGCTGCCTCGCGGCATGCAACATCCCCCAAGTACCTGATTAGACGGGGTTGAGTGTTTCCAAATTTGCAAAATACCGCTGCTAGCCCCTGTATAATTATGCTACCGTAGTACCATAGGTATGCTCTAGAATGCTCCCCCCCCTCCCGCCGCCCCAACCACATTCTAACATTGGGATTCAGCCTCCAACATGACGGAGGCCCCGTAAAGGACCTGCCAGGCGGGATGGAAAGCTTTAGGCTGTAAGGAGAAGATGATGTGTAGGGTTCGGTCTTCACGCTTTGAAGGTGTAGGAGTTGGAGATCGACAGGGTTCAATATGAGGTTTTTAAATATTTGGAGTTTGGGGCTTCCAGTTATACTCTCTCTCTCTCTCTCACACACATCAAAGGATTTGAATGACATGAAGCCCGAGCGGAGGTGCGGAATAATCAGAGCAATATGGGTCTGTTGGGAACTCATCAAGCTGTCGCATGGTTCAGCATTGTCGGTTGTCAAAACCCAAGCCTAATCCCTCTTAGAAGGGGCCCCCACCCTGTAATAGTGGTATCATAGGAATATAATAGGGCCCTATTATAATCCTTATAGTCACTATTACAGGGTGGGGGCAGCTTCTAAAATCCCTCCTTCTTGCTTGCTACTTGTAGGTATCAGCCCCAGGTCCGACTCTCCACTGTAAAAATGTTTCAAACCCACAGCCACCCCTTGTTTTCCCTGTACCCTATGGCCCAAAATCCCGAAACCCTCCTTGTAAGACGGCCCCTGAAATTTAAGGAACCCCATAGATCCCTTCAAACGACCTCCAGTGATCCTTTAAAAGGAGCCCTAAACCCTGAACCCTAAGCCCTACAGGGAACTCCAGAAAGTTGGAATATGGTTTCTTGGTAGGATACCCTATAATTTACCATAGAAGGGTTAGGATAACCATATTCCAACTTTCTGGCTTTTGCCTTAAAGGGATCATATGGGAGTTTCCGAAAATTGGGGGTACCTTATCATGGGGTCCTTATAGTAAGGATCCTACTACTATTTAGGGTACCAAAGAAAGGATCCCCTATTATCGGAAACTCCCCTTTGGGGCTCCTTCAAGGGCCCCGTCAGGTGGGAGGGCGGCACCCGCGTGGCGGCGGCGATCCGGGGGCCAGGTCTGACTTTTCTTGGGGTCTTTAGGTTTTTGTTCTTAAAGGGGGGGGGGATTAGCGGTTTCTAGAGGTGTTTACGGGTCTTTAGGGGTTCAGGGGTTTCTAGCAGTCTAACGTTTTTCTAGGGTTTAAGGGGTGTTCTATGTGCTTTTTGGTTCTGTTTATGAGGGTTTAGGGTCTTGCAGGGTGTTCAGAGCTTAGGGTAAGGTCCGCGGAGGTTTAGGGCTTAGAGGGTCACTAGGTTTAGGGGGTCTATGGAGGTCAGGTTTAGGGTTGTGTATTTAGGATTTAGCCCATGACTTTTTTGCGCAAGGGGTTGAGGAGTATTGGTTGTTATTTCGTCCAGGTGCGTCTTTTGGGATGATGTTGGGGTGTAGGTTTTCCAGGATATTCGGCTCTACAGGCTTTATGTTTAGTCTTTGAGTAGTAATTGCTCACAAGACGGGTCCCCAAGAAAGCCAGAAGATTGATTCCCAGCATGGTCTCGGATCTCCTCACATTGAAGTACATTCCCCAACGGTCCCTCCTTTCCAACAACAGAGCAATCCCGCAGAATAGTTCCTACACAATTTTAGCTTTGGTGTTAAAGCTTAGGCTTGAGGCTCACCTTTTCATGCAGTCGAGACACGGGTGTCAAAGAAAAGAAGATGGGTCACTTCCGAAAAGGGAATTGCCAGCAAGAACCTGATCAGCACTACTGACTCGAACTCACATATTCTCACGTGCTGAAGTATATAGAACACCTGACCCTCCGTTTCAAGATACTCGATGATGTTGTTCAGACCAGGCATTTCTCCTGAGCTCGTCGGCACGGTCAGTTACCACAAGGTCCTCAAAGCTGGTGTTGGGCACAGAGTTTGTTGAAAGGAGCTCATGCTCAGAGAGACCTCGTGTGAAAGGAGTTTGTAGATTCCTGTAGGTAGCTCAGTTGGGTTTTGTTAGGAAGTTTATGACATGTCTGTTTCAGCAGAAAGTTGATGTTGGCCTGATGCTTTTTCAAGGAATTCGGGCTTCCTGCGTTTTTGGGGGGCCAACCATGTATCCCAAGCCCAACCGACTCCCAACACGTATTGTTCCAAACGGTTTAGGATTTAGGGTTTAGGGTTTTGGCTAGGATGCCCAGTAGTACCCTTGTTCCCTTTTTGTAGTCCTAGGTTCCTTATAAAGTTACCCAATACCAAAAAGAGAGGCCTTTTTTGTTCTTAGGTTACTGGGTATCCTAGTTGGTGCAACCCTAAGCCCGGCTTTTGGAGGCTTTAGACTTCTCGACCCGTTGGACGGCTCTGCGGGCCTTTCTTGGGATGATCTGAGGATGGTTGTCAAAATTAGGGTCCCTTTTTGGGTCCCTAGTATAGTATGGCACCTATTATTTAGGGTACCCAAAAAAGGGGCCAGAATTTTGACGACCACCCAAAAGGATGGTTTCGGGCTTACAGGGCTTGCCTAAGACTCCGAGTATACAACCAGGACCCACTTTGGGATCTAACGTCTACTTAGACGCTTGGACATGCCATGTTGAGTCGGTGGACTTCAGGAGAGGCACCCTGCACCCTAAGTCCTTATAACGGTCCCGACCCCGAGTTCCTAAACCCCAACACTCCACAATCGAACAATCCCAGAGTTGAAAATTTTGAAACCTGATAGAACCATTATAGACACTGCCGTTCAGAGACCTCACAGAACCCTAAATTCTAACTCTAAACCCGTGAAACCCTGAAACCTCGGTGGTTCTGCAGGTGCACGCTGCCGACTGGCTGCCCACCTTGGTGAGGCCTCTCTTAAAATGTCCGGCTGTGTCTTGCGTGGTTAGCGTTTGATTTTGGACCTCCGGATTTAGGGTGGGTGTGGTTTAGAGCTTAGCCCTTGTAACTTTTGAGGCTAGGTTATTTCGGGCGCAGCTTCAATGTTTAGCCGAACGCCAGCCTACCCCCCCAAAACAGAAGCGAATCCTAAACCCTAAACCCTGCTGGCAGGATAGCGGCCGACGACAGTACCTGGCTAGAGAGGACCCACACACAGCGAGGGGGGAAGAGCTTGGGGGGTTTGGGGTTTAGAGTTCAGGGTTTCGGGTTTAGGGTTTAGGGTTCAGGGTTTAGGGTTCAGGGTTTAGAGTTCAGGATTTCGGGTTTAGGGTTTAGGGTTCAGGGTTTAGAGTTTAGGGTTTCGGGCTTGTCGTTAAGGTGGAGGTTTAGAGTTCAGGGTTTCTGGCTTGTGGTTAAGGGTTTGGGGTTTCGGCCGGAGTTTTTTGGGGGCATTACAAATACCCTCTTGTAGTTGTGTATTGCTCTTCTGACTCTTCTAAGGCCCTGTCTGTTATTGGGCGGTCGAGGGCGCAATTTGAGCTTGCGTGTTGGGTTTGGGTTGTATGGTTTATAGGGCTTATACGACCTACTCCGTTTTAGGTTCCTACAGCATATCATGCCCAAGAGCAAGGGGACAACGGGGTGGGTGTTGTCGTTGGGCATGAGGTCTCGGTGCTGTTGAGGAAGGGTGTACCCTAAACCCTAAACCCTAAACCCTAAACCCTAAACCCTAAACCCTAAACCCTAAACCCTAAACCCTAAACCCTAAACAATAAGAATTAGGAATGGCATTTCGTCTCTCATACATTGCTGTCTTTTACCCCCCACCCCACAGCCTCTCTCTCTCTCTGTCTTTCTCTGTCTCTCTCTCGCTGTCTCTATGTCTGTTTTTTTTTTTTTTTTTTTTTTTCTCTCTCTCTCTCTCTCTCTCTCTACATACACAAACATGTTCATGTACATTTACCGTTACACATACATACATACATACAGATATGTATACACGCATCTGTCAAGGAAGCCTGGTTTGAAGAAGGCTAGTTGTAACGCCCTCTGTTCAAAACATTACCTTGGGTTAGTAGGGAACGGAGGAATGGGAGGGTACAATTGCTACTACTATTACTACCATTCTTCCCTAAAGCCTAAACCCTAAACCCATAACTACTATTACTACCATTCTTCCCCAAACCCTAAACCCATAACTACTATTACTACCATTCTTCCATTCCCTACTAACCAAAGGTAAGAAAACAGAAACCTCCAGGAATTGGCCCCGGGGGGAACCTCAGCTCATTCTCGGGGATGGCATCGATGCGACTTGCCGGCTCATGGGTTGACTGCTTTAGGGTTTCTGTAAGGGTCCTTTAAGAATTACTAATACTATTTTGTGGGTGTTCCTTATTATAGTTATAGTATTTAGAGTATAGTGGGCCCAAAAACCCTATTCTAATTATTAAGGCCTCTATCTTAAGGGTTTTCGGGTTTATAAGGGTTAGGGGTTCAGGGTTTAGGGCTTAGGGTTTAGGGATTCGTTTTGCTGTTTAGGGTTCGCCTGAGCCCTAAACAGAAGGCTTTGGCGTTGTCTGGACCCGCAGCTGCAAACATAGACAAACCAAGAAAGCAGATTGGAGCTTGTGCGTCATAAGTCAAAAACATCCCACCTCAAACGTGCTACCTTGACAAAGGCCTGACCTTATTATGCAACCCATACAATAGTCAGATAGTTTATGGGTTCCTTTTTTGGGTTCTGTGATGGGTGCGGGTCTATCTGTTAGGGTTATTTGAAGGATTTGGGTTACAGTCTTACTGGCAGTTGAAATCGAGAGCTTTCACTTTACTGCATTCTATTCGTCGTCCGGGTTCTTTTGGGCGTGGCTGTTCAATTCTGGGTGCCACAGTTGTACACTTTGCGTGTTTGCCACTGTTATTTTTTGGGGCTTCTTTCTTACAACTGAAACTGGTGAAAGAGATACCTGCTTACTGTGGGGATACCAAGGTTCTTGAAATTGAATGGGATAGTAATGTAAACGGAGGTTGAGAAACTCTGCCTTCAACCCTGCACCCTAGTTTGTAAAGCTTAACGCCTAAACCCAGACGGAGCCGAAAAGGGCACGCCCTGATGTACAACCCTACAACACCGCTATAAAGCCTAAATCCAATAAGAAACCCTTGCAGAACCCCACCATACAGATATAACGCCTGAAATCCAACACCCCTCCAAGCCCAAAAGTACCAAACTTTCAGAATTTCAATCAAATACTTTTTAGTAGCTCAATAGGGAGCATATATATATACATATATATATATATGTATATATACATATACACACACACACACACCCCTACAGCCACACCCTTTGAGCCAAACAGCTTCCACACTCCCAGCACTTGCCAGGTCTGGGACACCTTCAGCAAAGGCCTGGAAGTCCGGAAAGAGGCCAGGGCAGAGCGAAGTTTAGGCTTGAGGGGTTTAGGATGCAGCCCCAAGGGCCCAAAGGACCCAATAATTAGGTACTCGCTTTTAGGATAGTCGTTTGGATTTGGAGAGTATATGATTATTGGGTACTTGGACCCTTGGGGTAGGATTTAGGAGTAGGGTTCCTCTAAGGGTTCCTTGAACGCGATGCTGTAAGGGTTACTTCCAGGGAGGGTTTGGGGTTTTCTGAATTCCGGCAAGAGGCCGCGTGAGGTCTGAGGGCTTAGGGGTTCTGATTTAAGGGTTTAAGGCGCTCCGGGGTTTAGAGATTTTGCGGTTCTACTAGCAGGGGGGCTTTAGGGTTTGTGCTTAGGGGTTTGATTTCATGCGTGCTGTCGGGGTTCCTCAATGGTTCCGTAGGGGTTCTAACGTGGTTTCGTGCTTTTGCGGTAGGGTTAAATTCAGGGATTCAGAGCGTAGGGCTCAGGGCAGTGTAACCAAGGGGAAATTTAGAAGCTTCCGAAAATACAGGACCCTAATATAGTACCCTAAATAGTAGGACCCTTATTATTCGGGCCCCCAAAAAGGTACCCCAAGTTTTCGGAAGCTCCCATTTAGAAGGAAGGGAAGAACCTGAGTTCGAGCCCGCAATTTGTGGGTTTGAGGGCTGGGAGTTCCTTCATCCCCCAAACCCTGAACGAAAGAGGGGTTTAGGGGTATATGGGTTTATAATGGAAAACCGGGAAACCCCAACGTCCTAAACCCTAATCTTGCCACGGCATGCAAAGATCAGCCTAAGACCTGAGACAAGAGCTCCGAAGTGGATTCTTCAAGCTTCAAATGTTTAAACTTCGAACTGTATACACTTATGCCCCACAAGCCTCACTCCGACAGGTCCGAAGCCTTATAAACCCTGAAGCTGAAACACCAAAGCCCTAAAGCCTTGAACCCTAAACCCCAAAGCCTTACACCCTAAACCCTGAAGCCTAAAGGTTTAGACCCTCAAGGGGCTCTAGCATCCACTACCTTTACCAGCTCAGACTCCCAGAAGCCAGGCTCCAGGCTCGACGGCTCCCCATAGGCTCCATAGTAGTTCCTTTTGGGGATTCATATTTAGAATCCTATACGATAACCCCAGAAGGGAACTACTTTGGAGCCTGTGGGTATTGCCTCGAAGCATTCTGGCGTCATCGATGCTCTAGGACAGTCTGCACTACTGCAGACGCAGTTCGCCACAAGCACGTCTCCTACCACTACTACACCCAAAATCGAGGTGTCAATGGCCAGAGACGATTTTTGGGGCGCCTTCGGAATTCGAGCTAGAGGATTTTTCTATTACGGGATTTCTGCTCGAACCCCGCTACTAGCATCTTGGGCAGGCCCTGAGAATCTCCCGGCGAAAGCCTCAGAAAGGCCTTGCAAAAGCCTGTAAAAGATCGTATATTCATGAAAAGTCCTTCATCAAAGTTCTCTGGGGTGCACCCTTATAAAATCCAACACCCTTGCAATCCCTGAACCCATACCATCCCAAAAACCTTTAGGGTTTAAGCCCTCGGGGGAACCCTGATATCAAACTTTCTGCCAGAGTCAGGTCTTGCTCGAAGCGCACCCGGATCACCACTGGCAGGACCGGGCCAGCGTATTTTATGTGACATTATATGATATTATTTGATATTATAGTATAGTCTACTATAGTATGGTGATCGCTCTGAGTTGGCTTTTGGGCTCTGTGTAGACTCTTGAGGGTCTTTGGAGATTTTGAGGGTTTTTCTGTTGCTTTCGGGTTGAGGGCGGCTTCAGGGTTACCCGAGGCTTTCGTGGTGGCTCCTTTTAAGCTTGATAGCTCAGGGCTCGCAGTTCCGGGATCTGGGTATCTGGGGGGCAAGTGCAAGCTTGGAAGCAGGAAAGCCCTGGGCTTTAAGGGTTCGCAAAAAAAAAAGGGTTTGGGATGGAGGTTTACTCTTCCTTGCAAATGCCCTGATCCACTCTGAGCCCTAACACCCTAGACCCTAATCCCTAAACCCTATTCCCGATACCCGATAATCTTTACTGAATCCTAAACTCAGAGGTTCAAGGCTCCTTCACCCCGTATTCAACAAGTGGGCGACGCCGACAGAAGCCAAAAGCCCTTCCGCTGCCTCAACCCTTTCTAGGATCCTAAAACACAGCCCTCCTTGTCGCGAGATGCACGGCAATGCGCTCATCCCAGAGACTCCAATATCCCTTAATTAAGGAATATACCTTAAATGATAGTAGGCCCCTAATATGATTTAAGGAATATTCCTTAATTAAGGGATATTGGAGTCTCTGGGTGTCGCGAGATGCACGGCAATGCGCTCATCGTGGGCGACTGGAAGATCATCCGCTTTGGACGCAGAGCCTTCAACCCCAAGGCTCCATTCTGGTGGGGCCTCAAGAGGTTCTTATGAAAGGATCGACAGGGGGTTCCTTTAAAGCAGCCATAGGGGCTCTATAAGTGATCTCTAGGGTTAAGGAAAGAATGGGAATAGGGATTTATTATGTAAGCGTTGCTTTTGTTTTATAGTGCCTTTACATAGGGGTTTACGATCGAAAACTGTGGGTGTTTAAAGTTTGTTTGGAGGCTACAGTTTGTTTGGATTCTGGAGTACAGGGGTAAGGGTATTTTGGGGTTTTCAGATCTAGATTATTGGCGGCTGAGGGTGAAGAACTTAATTCGGTGACGGGCTTTCGTCGATAAGGTAAGGTTCGTGCAGCGTGTGCAGCTTTAGCTTGTATGGACGTGGAGCGCTTTAATTTCGGTGTAGTTTGTTGCCTCTCCTTTCCCTTGCGTAAGGCGCAAAGGTCCAAATGCCTCACACTCCCCAAGCCATTAAGTTGCATGTCTACTATCCCCTCATGATTGGGTCCTTGGAGGGCCTCGGGGGTAGTACCCTCAACCCAATCTCGGGGGTGCTTTCTCGACCGGGAACCGCAACAGGCAGATCGGTTATGAGGCACATTCTGGAACTCGGGCTAAAGGACTTCTGTACAGGGCCGTCGATGTTCCTACACTTGGCTTTTGCGCGCAAGTGTCGGTGTTTGTCAGCAGTCATCGGCAGTTGCGTGAGTGAGTCCGGACAGGGTTTACGTATGCCTATCCGTGATCCGAAGCTTGTCCCAAGTCCCAGTGCTCGAGACGGTTGAGGATTTCGGGTTTAGGGTAGGGCCCCTGCAAGATTTTGAATCAGGAGTGCAGATGCTTGATAAAAGGCTGTGGGTGACTTTAAGGCGCATAAACCCCTAGCCCCGAACGAATCATCGTTACGTCTGAATTGAACCAACAAGAGGCCTGCATCCTTCTTCCCGTGCAACCAGAAAGAGATTAGATTCGCGAATCTGTATTATCTTCCGGTGCAGAATAATGTTTCTTATCCTGTGGATTGCACGTAGTTTTTGGGTGGACTGCTTTATGTAACAGCACCTGGTCTGGTCAGGGTGGACCCCGGGGTGGACAGCATCAAAAGCGAAACACGCGAATATGCGGAAACCCTAACCCGGACCCTTGGGCACAACGCAAAATCAGCATCCGGCTTTGGGGGCTTATCCCGGTATCAAACAACTCCTGCGAACTACAAGGAACCGACTCCTCACCCACTCTCTCTCTCAAAAAGTAGGGGCAATACAACAACAAATCTTAGTGTCAAGGTTCCTGAGTAGTACCCTTGTGCCCTTTTCATTGTAGTGCCTCCTTATTAACACTGCAGATTTGCAAAAACACACATATATATGCATATATATGTGTGTATATATATATATATACATATACCCTTACTTATTATTAAGGGATTGCCGGGGAACCTAGGTGTCCTCCCACCATAGGTCCCGAGGACCCCCTGAGCACTAGAGCTCCGGAGCCCTAATCCTAATCCACTTAGCAGTAGAGGCATCATCAAGGGTCCAGCCACCTTCTTAAGGACTGATATAAGGAAGTAGTAAGGAACCCTGCAAAGGTGGATTCTTTAGGGTCCAGGTAATCCCGCATAATCTCCATCGTCAGCCGTCACCCTTTAGGTGCCAGTAGCAATGCAAAGAAGACCGTACAGACTCACTGGAAGGTCGCGTTTGGCTGGGTACCCCCGCCAGGGCAGAAAGTCTCCCGGCCGGTAGAGCTCTATCAATATACCATAACCTACCAAAACCTACTTCTTTGTAGGGCCCCTATAAATTCCATATTAGGGTTTATAATAAGAACCTACAAAAAAGTAGGGTTTGGTAGTTTAAGGTATGGCGGCCTAGGACTTAAGTAATGATGCTATTCCTTGGGGTGCTATGGTATGCTACACTCCCTGAGCACCTACAACACGTAGAAACCCTACTTCGTGCGATGTAGGAACTTAGAACCCTTACAGTAGAAGCCAGAAAGTTGGAACATCATTCTCCTCATGCCCTTAAGGTAAAGTATAAGGGATCCTAGCATTAATCCTCCTTAAGCCATGTTCCAACTTTCTGGGGCTCACTGTACGTCGTACCATACTGGAGACTGGTACGCCGTGACTGTAGATTTTACGGCTTAAGGCTCAACGACTTCTAAAGTTGGTTTCTTAGGGTTTAGGGTTTAGGGTTTCGTACCAAGTGTATGACTTGGCAGCTGAGATTTTCTAGACTGGATCCTTCCGGCCAGGGCCTCTTACAAGGAGTTTCTTGCAGGTTGACAAAGTGTGCTTTCTTCTTCACAGGGCGGCAGCAAGGAAAGGGTGCCCTAAACCCTAAACCCTAAACCCTAAGCCCTTTCTCAAACATGGTCAGGATTTCAGGTGCCTGAACTCGAGGCATAGCTTTTTGCAGCGTGACGTTCGACTGTGTAGCAGTAGCATCTGCTTCATGTTCCGTACAAGGTTGGGGCGGTTGGGGTATCTGGAACACTGCCTGAGCTAAACTTGAGCTCGAGCTTAGGAGTCGGGGCTTTGCAAAGTATAGCCGTGATTGTTCAACAGACATCCTGCCTTAAAGAACATTCCTATGGTCATTTTTACTGCGGGAGGGAGGTATAAATACAGAGGCTTGCAGTAACGCCCCGATAACATCTCTCGCAGCTCATTGAAATACGCTCAACTCTTGCAGCTCTCAGAAATACCCTCAAATGTGACCTTCTTTTTGAGGCCCAGCGCGGTTTCCACGCTACACGTGGAGCTATACCCAAGAGAGCTCTGTTTAGCGTGCCCAGGAATGTCGACAAAGTCATTGAAGTTCCACAACCAAGGTTGCAGGTTCACGTATCGAGATCTACGAGATCTATCGTTTTCGTTGAAGGCTTGGGGGGGGTAATGTACGGTGTTAAGATGATATTCAAAACAGACTCGGGTCCTAGGAACAGTAAAAGATATTCAAGAGCCTTACGGAATGACTGAGGCTGCTTCCGTGGACTACCAGATCGCTTGCAAGCTGGAGAACCAGCCTAGTCATGTCCTCAGCGAGTGGGCTTGGTGTTTTTGCTGAGCCCTTTAATTTAACTTTCTTCTGAAACACCCTCAAATCCTATCGATCAAAACCTGTGCAGCAGGCTAATTTAGGATCTCAGAGCTGAGGCTGTTGGAAAGACAAATGTCCCACTGTTTTGTTAAGCGCCCGCTACCCCCACCTTAGCCCTTTAACTTAAACTCTGCGCAGTGCGAACGGAGCACTGTTTGTTTGCAGGCCCTGTAGACCCTGAACCCTGGAGAAAGCTGGACAAGCAGGCCTTCAACAGCTCTTGTTGCAGGTTTTTTTTGCGGAGGTTTCTTGCAACAGAGGTCTGTATTTACCATCTTCCCAAAGTCGGGTGAGGAGCTTTGTGTTGAATGATCGGAAACGTAAGAAGAAGTCCTTTCCAACCCCAACAAGATTTCGTTACCTGATCGCGGCATGGTTGGTTGGACGAACTTAGTAGAGCAAAGAAGCCTGAACCTGGTTTGGAACTACAATCCCTCCACAATCCCAGGGATAAGCCTCTAGTTCCTTCAGGAAGCTGGGCAAGTAAGGTAAGCAATTTGTGGAGGGCTGCTGAGGACTTGAACCCTTCAGTGGTTAGTCCTACAGCCCGTGACTGTAGCTCTATTCCAACGGGCAAGGACTGCTACCTAGCCAAACGCAAATTACAAACAAGCACCTGTTTTGATACCCGCAGGGAGATAGGCATGCAACGCAGCACGAAGACCCTATTTTAAAACCTTACGATCCCCCAAAGAGGGCCCTCATGGAGGTTTATCAAACTCGCCAAACTCCTACAACACCCGCACAGCTCATGAAACAAGCCGCAACAACCCGGCATTACAACCCTTATGGAATAGAAGCGTGAAAAATGAGGCTCCGTCGACTATACGGAGTGCGAGTACGATTTCTGCCTTTTCAACGTCACAGCAGACCCTTGCGCCTGGCCTAGTTGCAGTCAGGGTTCAAGGGTGTACTGAGGAGCTTCTGGGTTCGAGTGGAGAGACTTGTTTTTGCCCTGGTGCTCTCTCCACCTTTCACCAGCACCACCCGGCGGGGTCTCAGAATCTTTTGGCAAAGCTGAGGTTGCAGGGTTTACAATAGGCTTTAGAGTCCCCCTAACCCCTAAACCCTAAAGGCCTCAGAGGGACTAGACACGCTTTGGGACGTAGATGAAAATTTTGGTTTAGGACGGGAGGAAGCGGAAAACCTCGGGTCTGAAAATTGAACTGGGCCTCTGCTTGGAGGGTTTAGGGTTTTAGGGTTTAGGGCTTAGGGTTTAGGGATTAGCATTTAGGGATTTAGGGTTCAGGGTAGTTCTTCAGTATAAGGCTTATAGAAGGATAGCCCGGAGTAGGTCTTTCTGTTGGATGCTTATCACTCTACCTTTGCCTCTTGCCTACGTATCAAGTACCCCGACCCACAAGTAGAGACTTAGATCGATAAATTTCGCTAAGCCCAAGACAGGGTTCCTTTAAAGGGATCTATCAGGATTCTACAAGGGCTCCTTTAAAGGGATCTATAAGGATTCTATAAATAAAGGGGGGGGGTTTAGGGTACTTAAAGGGTCATGGGCCATGTACCGACATAACTGACAGTGGGTTTGTTGAGAAATGCATAAGACCGTCATGCCAGGTGTTTGTAGGTTGTACCCGAATCTCGTCCTCAGACCCGCATTCCCAATGATTATGAAGGAACCCCTGGGCCTCGAACGAACAGCGTATTCTTGAAGCTGAACTGGTACTATCTGGTACTATTTCCGTAAAGTACGTACAGAACCGTTGGTAAGCCCCCAATATAAAACTCGTGCCCTCGCAGGCGAATACCATAACCTTGCCAAACAGCATCCGGACATCGTGCAGAGGCGTCACTGTTTTGCGAGCTGGGCCCTTGGGCTTTTCGGAGTGTAGGTTGCTTTGGACAAGGGCTTTTGAAGAAGAGGGTTTTGAGATTTGGGTCCTGAAACCTAGATGCCGAACCTGAGAGTCCTGTGTATACGTTGTAAGTACTAAAGTTCTGAACCTTATGCCCTGCTTCATCCCAAGTCCTAGGGCCTCTTTTCGCGCGACCGCCCTAAACTCTACACCCTCAAGACGAAAATAAACAATAATTAGGAGCCAGCACAGTTTAAAACGCTCAAGTTAAAGCCTTAAACCCTCAACCCTCAAACCCTATCCAGCCGGTCAAATCTTGCTAACCAGCCAGTCCAATCTTGTAGAGTCGTAGAGCTTCACGGCATTGTCTAAGTGTTTTGTTCAAAACTTTCGGACGGAATGCTCCGTCAAGACATTTCGGTCAAAACTCAGGCGCCCGAGCCCTATACAGTGGGTGTAAACCCTCATTAAACCCAAAACACCAAGCCCCAACCCCCAAACCCCTACACCCTAAGCAGATAGCCCGAAACTCGAAACCCTAAACCCTTAAACCGAGAAGCCTTAAACCCTGTAAACCTATAAGCCCTAAACCCTGAACCCTTAATCCCTATAGGCCCTAAACCACGGAGGCTCACTACTCGCCTTTCAGAGTACCAGCGGACGGCGGTCCCCCAACTGAGAGAGCCGCGGCCTCGGCTGTGTATACTGCGAGTTTAGGCTGTAAGCGTTTAGGACAGGGTTGTTTAGGGCTTACCCAGAGGCCCCAAAGTAGTTCCTTTTTGGGGGTTACCTTATAGGATTCTATATATGAACCCCCAAAAAGGAACTACTTTGGGGCCTTTGGGTAACGATGTTAGGGTTAAGGGCTTTAGGAGTTTCGGGCTTCGGGGTGAAAGGTTTTAGGGTTTGAGGATTTAGCGGAATTAGAGCAGGTCGTTTATCAAGCTGCATAGGGTGCGTACTTATGGTTGTGTAGTGTCCTTGGCGGCAATACTGTACATCATACATCCAAACCAGCCTGAAGCTTCCGGAAGGCTCCTGACTCTAAAACCTTAAACCCCCAGCCCTAAACCCTAAACCCTAAACCCCCACCCCACTAGATCGACACTTAAAACCCTACCTACACCTTTCAGCATCTGCCAGCGAAGGCCGTAGCCCTAAACTTCTGCCAGCAAAGTCCCAGGAAAGACTGTGGCTGCGAACCGGTCATCGTCAAGGGTGCCTGGCGTCCGACGCAGGGCGGCAGACAGGGGCACTCTTGTTCATCACAGTGTGACGCGGGGTAAGGCTTCAGGAATGTGGATTTAGGATATTCTGGGTACTCGGGTTTGGTGGGGTTTGTGGGGTTCAGGAATTTGGATTTGAATTTGTCTGGGTGGCGATGGAGGGGCTTGGGGTAGGTGGGCCAGCTTATCCCCGAGCGCGCGTTAGTGTTGCTTTCAAGTTCTGTTTCTTTGGTCTTTCCTCGAAACGTTGCCTCACGGAGTAGCACCTCTTCACCAAGCGAGTTAGACGACGATGCCAGGTTTTCTATGCGGCAGGTACAGGATGTCTAACCCTAAGGTTCCAGGTACGTACCCATACAGCATATACTTTGGGCCCAATGTACCTATATAGGGAGTACTTTAAGGCCAGTGTACCTGCTATATGAGTACATGGACCCTTAGGGTGGCGCCTCAAACCTTACTTGAAGCATGGCTCCTCTTGGTTCTGGTATGGAGGGTTTGCGATTGAGGCTTCCTTAACCCTGAAACCCCGAAGCATTAAATCATACTATTCTCTCAAGTTAAGGGATTTGGGTTGACAGTTTTGGGATTTTGTAAATTGGGTTCCAGACTCTAAGACTGACTGGGTTTAGAGTTTAGACTTTAGGGTTGGCCCTACAGCCCAAGTTTTAGCTGCGAAGTGTTCCCCGATGAGGTGCGACGCTCCTGACCCGGATGCCACATTGCACTTGCGAAGTATCTTTACTTAGGCCCTAAACCCTAAACCCTAAACGCTTTGGGGTGTCGGAGCTCTACAGTCCTTTGTATGCCGTTTGGTTGCTAGGCTGGTTTCCATTTCAAGTGGCAGAGGCCTTCCTGAGTTCTTCCGTCTGCGAACAGAAGCGGACGAAAGCACTTCTTTTGCATATGCGGGTTCTCTAAATTAGGCTCTTTTGGTGGGTTTTTGTTGAGAGAGTGCTATCTGTTCGGGATCTAGAGGCGGTCCGTCTCTAAGTTGGAGAACTACCCAAACCAGGCACTTGAGTACATTTTCAACACTCGGTCCGTCTGGGATCATGTTTGAAAACAGCTCACGTGCGAGTGCCGGTGGAGCCCTTCGCTCGCCTGGACCTCTGTGGCGGGCACAGAAAAGAGTCCAGGGTTGTCCGTGTCAGAGGTCCCTTGCACATGAATAGACAGGTCGGTAAAGTTGCCGTCTATCAGGGGTTTCTATTGAAGGGCTAGGGGTATGGGTCCCCTGTCCATCTCCACACTTTAGAGGGTCAAACGTTGAAGAATGTGGTCAGTTGCTTGGGCACATGTACGGGTTTTAAATGATCTGTCAACCCCAAGCCCAAAAAATTCTCACTAAGCCTCACACCTAGCGTAGGTCCAAGTGTAGCATGCCGCCAAATTATTGCATCCTCGCTAGCTGGAGCAATCGCTTTTGGCTAACAGGTTATCAGAATTTTTTGTCAAGTAGAGATGGGTAAGCTGTACCATAGGGTGTCGTATACAAATAACTCATCAGAAAACTCGTCCCGGCAGTGGGAGATGACAGACATCTTGAGACGTGAAGCAGGCAGTGGGGGCACAGGGCTTGGGCAGGCTTTGCAGGATCATTCAAAACAAATCAACGTCACCCACGGCTATCCCCCTGCGGGAATAGGTCTACGCCGGAAACCCTGATAATCACTTTGAGCCCTCAAGCTTAAATCCAAGGGTAAAGGGAGGGACCCTTAATGAGGACCCCTAGGTATTTATATACCCATTATATAGCCCATTATAGGGTAGGGGTCCCCATTAAGGGTCCCTCCTTTTCCCCTTCGATTAAGTCGTCCAGCGGATTCGCTGCCGAGCCTGGGGTTCCTAGAGCGCAACGGTGGCATGTTCCCGCAACAGCCTGGAAAGCAGTGCAAAACCCCAGGCATCTAAGGACTCATATACTAAGGCTTCTGGGCCCAAAGACCATACCATATAAGGCTTCGGGGCTATGTTGATGCCCAGGGAAAGAGACACAGGTTTGAGCAGCGCCGCCGACCTGTGCATAGCCACGAGAACCGCCGAGCTCCACAAGGGGGAGGGGGCCACACAGCCACATCGACCAATCTCTTTCTATGAGAACCTATGGTGTGTGTGTGTGTGTGTGTGTGAGACACGTTGCTTGAAGAATAAAGAATCCAAAGGCTAAGAAGCACTACACTCTGAACCTCATGCCAGGACGAAGCAGCAGAATGCGGCCAAAAACTTCTTCCGCAAGAACGAGGCTTCTCAGTGTTGCTGCGAGCTATTGTTGTCAAAATTAAAAGACTATGACGATGGTTCTTACTGTTATGTCATACGACAGTTAGCACTCACTATTACTATCCATGAAGACCTTTTAGGACCCTCATGAAGCCTTTCGAAGGCTTGGGGTGCAGCAATCTCCCTTCTAGGGCTCCTTCCGGGTTTAAAAGTAGGAACCTGAGGTTTCTCAGCATACGGTGCTTTGCCCATAGGCTCCATAGTAGTCTACTATTTGCTTAAGAACCCCCCCCCAAAAAAAATAAAAAAATATAATCCCTATATTATCCCTATAAGGAATATGTTTATGTTTTGGGGGTTCTTAAGCAAATAGTAGTAGTTCCTTTTGGGTTCATATTTAGAATCTTACAAGGTAACACCAAAAAGGAACTACTTTGGAGCCTCTGGTGGGAAAGTGATACTTCTTGTAGTATGGCTACACTGTTCTGCATACCTGTGCAGTACAATTTAGGATCTGCACGTCAGGAAGTGCGAGTACGGACCTGTACTTACCATAAAGCCTTGACTTAACCCCAAACCCTTATGGAACACTTTGAGTAACCTTTATAGAACGCTTGAGGGAACTCCTAGACGTTGCTCGCACGCTTTGGGGATCGACTTCGGTTCCTTCTCACAGTTTTACAACAATATCCAAACCTTATTCTAATTAGGCCCGTAGAGTAGGTTGCGGAGTTGTACCCCGAACTCCGTGGAGTTTATGGTCACGATAGGTGTAGCATCTGAAGCAGAGCATTCCTCAACTAGATGTTGTTGCAAGGAACCGAAACATCCTCCAAACTCCAAGCCCCTCAAGCACTAAAGCCTGTAAAAATATCCTCATCTCCAAACTCCAGCCCCGCGCCCGCTTGCGCGATAGTGCACGGGTTTCTGGAGTCACAGTTCTATAGTATGCATTTGGGAAGTCTGGGCTATAGGGGGATCCGGATGCCATCTCGGCTCGCTGTCGAGGGGTCTAGGTGGGCAGGAAGTATGCAGACCGTGTTTTGGATGCCTGGAACCGCAAGTGCCTAAACCCTAAGCCCTAAACCCTAAACCCTGCGGAGATCGGGTCGAGCTGTGGGGTTTCATGGGGCGTAAATCCTGCGCTCTACTCTGGGTAGCTGATGTTGATGTTGGCTCCGTTTAGATTAAGACGGTCACTTGCAGCATCCGTACAGCAGTAGCCACAAGTCAGTCTAGCGAGGAGTTGTTCACAAGTCTACCCGAAACCCTATGCCGTGAGACACCCGAGCCGAACGCAGAGCACCCACAATAGACTAGGTAGGGCTTTGGGACATTTTATATTTTCCCTTATTGGGCTTAAGAGGATCTTATTTACTATTTTTCAAAGGCTCCAAAAGCCCCACCTAGTAGACCTCGTGCGTGTGCCGTGGCCTTGGGCCGAACCGACACGCAGCACCCTCAGTCGGATGAAGGGCTCCGACGATGGGGGGGGTTTCCGAAAATTAGGGGTTCCTTGAAGGGATCTATAAGGGTTCCTTTAAGGGTTCCTATAAGGGATCTATAGGGTTTAGGGTTTTATCGGGATCCGGTCCACTATACATCCCAAACCCCACCCGTAGGCTCCATAGTAGTTCCTTTTTCGGATTCATATGTAGAATCCTGTAAGGTAACCCCCAAAAGGAACTACTTTGCAGCCTCTGGGTAAATCCTACCCCCCGAATTCCAGATAAATCTTGAGTCCCACGCAGCGAGCCCTAAAACAGCTCCTCCTAAACCTTGAACTCTAAACCCTGAGTCCTAAGCCCTATAAGCCCTGAAGCCCTAGTGCGGGTAAGCTGTCATTGAAGTTTCGTATTGCGACGGACCCAGTAATGCTTGAGAAAGAACGGTGAATGCAGGGGTCATGCAAAAGCTCAGGTTAGTGAACATCTTAAGTGTGCATAGGGGCCCTTAGGAATTTCGATGTTTTTGGGTGATAGTATGGGGATGCTAATACGGTTACGGTACCTGAAGGAGGTGGAGCAGAACTTAGAACGATTGTAGCATCGGCGGACTGCTCGCAGAGGAATCGAGAAGGAGTTTCTGTTGAGGGTATATAGGAGTACCCAAATCTCTGACTGCCCGATGAAGTTCCATGGGTTCATGTAAACCCTCACAACCGAAGCAAAGTGGCTGCACAACTCAAGGTGCAGAGCTTGCCGTCCTGAAACCCAAAGCCTAGTCAGGAGCCGTTACAGTCTGAAGGAACCATGGCTTGAGGGCTTAGGGAAGTTTGTGTAGAATTTAACCTTCGATCCTTTCGATCCTTCATCCCACATCCAAAAGCTCTGAAGCCTCAATCCCGCAAGGCTTTGCAGACCCGGAAACCCTAAACCCTAAACCCTAAACCTTAAACCCTAACCATCAAAAAGCCTGGCCACAAAGACCACCGAGCCCTTGAACTTCACTCCGAAAATCTGAACCTGAGTCCCTAACCCCAACTACTTCAAGGATCATGGGACTTAGTAACTAGGGTTCCTGAAACTTTCAGGGTTCCTTACAATGGATCTATAGGGGTTCCTTAAAGGGATCTATGGGGTTTAGGGTTTAGCGTCTACTTAAAGGATCATGGGACTTAGTAACTAGGGTTATAAATAAGGTAACTAACTATACTTATAATTACTTATAACCTCAATTAGGGGACTTATAACCTTACTTACTAAGTCCCCTGATCCTCCAAGTGGGGGTCAGGGCTTCGGGGAGACCACGAGCCCCCCCAAGCCCCTCAAGCCACAACTAGGGGTTTGTGATTTTTGATCCTAGGGTTTCGGGTAAACCCTGAGCCCCATAAACCCGAACTCATAGACCAGAACGCAGAGGTCGTTCCCATGGACTTGAATGACTGGAGGGCGACAGTCGCCAGAGAGACTCGGGATTGTAGTTAATCTAGGGAACGAGATCAGAGGAACTGATATACATGGAAAGTCTCAATATCAGGGTATACATGCATGTATGTATGTATATGCATATTTGTGTATGTATATGTGTATGTACTTGTACATGAATGTGTATATGCATATGTATTACTGTATATGCATATGTAGGTGTATGTGTATGGGCTTTTGCATGTGCATGGTCATGTGCATGTGCATTTGCATGTGTATGCGTATGCGTAGGTGTAGGTGTGTATGCGTGTACTCGTATGTATGTGTAGATTTATGTGTATATGTATGCGTGTGTATACCTATATATACATATATAGGTATGTCTAAATGTATAGGTATGTGTGGGACTACTTGATTTCATGGTGCCATCCCAGGATTGGACACGAATCAAGGATGCGCCAGCGAAGGCGCGGATGTGTATGGATGTCTGTAATTACTAGGTTACCCGATCTCCTGTTCAAGATTAGAACGTTCTTGTTCCTAGGGGGAGCCCAAAATAGCAAGGATGGGTGAGTGCTTCTGCAGGGTCTAGTTAAACGAGGACTTGCAGTCAGGAGGGCGTTTTGGCAACGTCGTTGGTCTTGTATGTCGCCATCATGGTTAGCATTGTTGGACTGAAGTTCATTAAACCCATCTTTGATTCCGGCAGGTTCATTAATGTAAGCGAGTGCACAGCTTCGCCAAAGCAGGGAACGCACATACCTTGCAACCCTAGATCCCCAGCCCAATGCGAGCATCCGGCAAATGAAAAAGAACATGCAAGAACAAGCGCAGCTGCGATTTGTGCCACAAATACACAACCCCCCCCCCTGACTCCCCCAAGTTACTCCCCCCAATCCTCAACTCTCAACACTCCAATACATACTTGCATCCGAACCAACTTGAACTCTGAGCCCCACATGTCGAGATGGAGCATGTTAGAAGCTCTTTAGACTCCGAAATCCAAACGTTTTAAAAGGACCCATAATTATAGGGTTTAGGATTTGGCCATAAGTTCTGTTCTAAAAGACCCATAATTATAGGGTTTAGGGTTTAGCCATAAATTCTGATGCCGTGACTTTCAATTCATCTGTGCGCAGGGCTCAGTACCGGCCTCGAAAAGCCCCGAACCCTTGGGCCCAGGCTTCTCCCTCGAATTATGCTGCATATGGGAGTTTCCGAAAATAGGGGATCCGAATTTAGTACCCTAATTAGTAGGATCCTTAGTATAAGGACCCCCAAAAAAGGTACCCCCTATTATAAGTAACCCACAGGGTACGGGGTGAATGGTTAGAGAAGCCCTAAAACTGCAAAGGAATCTATTCATTTGGGCTTTGAAGAACTGGCAGCAGGGTTTCGGTTAGTTTGGGGTTTAAGTATAGCATGAGGTGCCCGAAACTCTGATAATTAACGGCGCATACATTGGTTTCGGGTCTAGGGTACATCTTCAATCATCCCTGCCATATCAGCTTCGAGTTCTCTAATCCAAAGATCGAAGCAACGAAACCCACAGAAACACCCCCACCCGAAAGTGTATGTTCTGAAAAAAACCTAGGTGTGTTGTGAAATAGGGGTGTTGAGTCAGAGCCCAAAATCTTCAAGACCCCGGACCCTAAACCCTAAACCCTAAACCTTAAACCCTAAACCCTAAACCTCAAACCCTAAACCCTAAACCTTACACCCTAAACCCTAAACCTTAAACCCTAAACCCTAAACCGTGCTCCAAGTCACGAGGTGCGTGGAGACAGGGTTGCTGGACTGGCGGCCGTACGTCAGTCGGCAGAGGTCTCCGCAGAGACTTTTGTTGCTCTTTTTGAATTTGAATATCTGGGGTTTACTTAGGCAGGGTGCAGGTTTCAGTGGTTTCGGGAGGGTTTGGGAGGCTTTTGGGTGTTGTTGGGGTTTTGAGGTTTGCAAGGCTCAATGGTATCGGTTGAGAGACAGTCTTTCTCAACAGTCTTAGTTTTTCAGATGCTCTTCCCGTCCTCGGTTGATTCCCTGCTGATTCCTTGAGCATTAAAGACGCGGCTCCAATATCGGGGTCCTTGTATTTAGCAAGAGATGCTATATCAAACTCTATTGTAAGTGGTTGTTCTCTCTGTCCTGGACAAGAGATGCGTTCAGAGCCCAGAGGGTTTGCAGCTATACCACAACTACTGTAGGGGTTACCGCAACCCCGCAGAAGGCCAACACCGAACTCGATACATCAACAACCCTAGTGGAACCGGGAGCAAGTTGCAGGCTCTGAACTATTTGGAGCGCAGCCTACAGCGACTCGGCGATGTTCACCCGGTTTTCGATTTGTGGTTTAGGTTTGATGCTTTACAGGGAACTCCAGAAAGTTGGAATATGGTTTCATGGTAGGATACCCTATAATTTAGCATAGAAGGGTTAGGATAATCATATTCCAACTTTCTGGCTTTTACCTTAGGGTGTAGGATTCAGGGCTGTGCGGTTGGAGGAGCCGCTCAATAACAAATAGCACGGGGCCTCCCTCTGAGCCTGTAGGACCCAGACCTTCCAAAACCCCTTAATTAAGGAATATACCTTAAATTAGAGTAGGAACCTTAATGTGGTTTAAGGTATGTTCCTTAATTGAGGGGTTTTGGAAGGTTTCAGGCAATTGGGCTTAGGCTTTACTGTATGTTGATAGTGTTTAGGGCCTAGGGTGTAGCGTTTACGGCTTACGGTTAAAGTGCCAAGACCCATTCAGAGTAGAGCGCTTTCCTGTGGTTAGGGTTTAGGGCCAGGGTTCAGAGTTTAGGGCCGGAATTTATAGGGGTTTGTCCATGGAAACCTTGGATGTTGCTGCATTAGACTCCAGCCGTAGATCCTAAATCACGGCTGGTTCCCTAAGGGTCCTAGGTGTGTACGGCGGGATCTGCACCATATCTGGAGCCTTTAAATGGCTTGCAGGAGTCCCAGTCTCCAGGGCTTTTGAAATATGAAGACCCTTAAGCGACCCTGCCGAGTAGCCATTCCTTTCTGAGGGAGCCTCATTCTCATCTGGGAGTTTCCGGAAATGGGGGACCTTGATATAGCACCCTAAATAGTAAGTTCCTTATCATAAGGACCCCCGAATAAGGTACCCCTAATTTTCGGAAACTCCCATCTGAAGAGTGTTCTAAACGTCAGGCCACTCAATTCAAGTGCTGAGCTGCTCATGTAGACACCAACTTACTAGGCTCCCTTTTCTTTTCTTACAAGTATCTCGCATATATAATCTAAAAAACCCCAAACCCCATAGCCCTAAACCCTTTTCTTTTTAGCCCTGATCCCTGACCTTCGGATCCCTGTCAGGGTCTTTCAGCACTGAGCTCGGGGCCAGTGCAGCCTTGTCCTTTTTCATGGTTCCCCCAAAAGAATAAACAGACCGGCTAGTAGACCTTCTTCAATATTTCCTACTAAGGGATATAGCTACTATGACCTAGAGTAGGCCCTTATTCCCTTTTTTAGGTTTCAGGTTCCCTTATAAGCCCCTTTAAACCAAAAAGGGCACCCTTTTTATTCCTAGGTTACTCTTGGGTCTAGGGTATGGGGCTCTGTCTATTGTTTCTAAAAGGACAAGGGTGGGCCTGGGGCTGAGCCTTTGCAGGTCCAGAGATCCTTCGCGCCCCGAGCCCCAAAGCCTGTTAGGTAAAAGCCAGAAAGTTGGAATATGATTATCCTAACCCTTCTATGGTAAATTATAGGGTATCCTACCATGAAACCATATTCCAACTTTCTGGAGTTCCCTGTATGGGTAGTTCTCTGAATTACGGTCCCCAAAATATCACGGCACCCTGATATAAAGGACCCTACAAGAGACCCTAATTCAGAGAACCACCCACATGAATCCCTACACCCGAACAGTTTGGGTAGATTTTCCGGGGCAAGGTGTAGTGTAGTGAATGAGGCACTAATAATTGAGACTTCCCTTTGACCACATCCGTAAACCCTAAACCCTAGCCCCAAGCCTTGAGACCTGAACCCTAAAGCCTCAAGCCTAAACCCTAAACCCTCAGCCCAGAGCCAACAGACCTGAACATCCGCAACAACGCCGAGGATGGATCGGCAAGTTGTACTTACAGCAATCGCGGCGCACCACCGTCCGCGTGAGGCCGCAGCCCCCCAGCGAGATTTTGTAAGGTCTGGGAGGGTACTCAGGTCTGGGAGGGTACTATAAGGGTTCCATTAAGGAACTAGTGATTTGGGGTTCAGATTTTAAGAGACCCTAGAACAGCTTGAATGAAAGAATGTGTCGGCCCTGATTAGGATAGTGTTGCAGTTTTTTCGGGTCTGCGTTTCTGAAGGCTTTGACATCCAAGTAGCTGTTGCCATAGAGGTTCAAGTTACGACTCAGACGTTAAGTAGGTTTTGATTACGCCAGCACTTAGCACAGTGAGTAGCCTGTTTTCGGCAAAGGACCGGTTGAGGGTTCAACCAGGACTTCGGTATCGCCGAGTTTACCTCGAGGCTCCGAGTAACCAACTGGTAGGGCTTTTCGTCCCATATACTACGCTCCATTGTTGTTTGATTAAGGAGGCTTTCCAGAGGTTTTAGCTGTTTATGTCCTTTCCGTTGACAATAATCCAGGCCCGAAGCCCGCAACCCCATACAGTAAAAGCCAGAAAGTTGGAATATGATTATCCTAAACCCTTTAAGGTAAATTATAAGGTATCCTACCCTGAAACCATATTCCAACTTTCTGGAGTTCCCTTTAAGCCCTCGACCTCGTAATCTCCTGAAGAAAGCAGCGCGCCACATCCCGACATCCCGAAAAATCGACCCGGAAGTCCCAACATCAATGATCGAGGGGCCCAGAGACTCCAATATCCCTTAATTAAGGAATATACCTTAAATTATAGTAGGATCCCTAATATGATTTAAGGAATTAAGGGATATTGGAGTCTCTGGGCTTCTGCGCTGTGCAACATTCATGTCGATTACAGTGGAAGTGTCACTGCTCAGTGGCAAGACAGCTATTGTGCAAGCAGACTTGGACGAAACTGTCGAGACGTTGGCACAAAGGGCACAGATCGCACTTGGAGTTGGGAGAGGGCAGCTTCTGGACTCTTGTGGAGTCGTTCTGGACCGATGCACAAAGACCACCAATTCGCGGATTCAGAACGGTGACTCGCTGACTTTGCATGTAAACAGGGTGCAACTTCACTCCTCTGATCAGGCTTTTGCTGCCATTCTTGGCGATGGATCCGTGGTTTCTTGGGGTGATGCTTCGCATGGTGGCGACAGCAGTGCTGTGCAGGGTCAGCTGCAAAACGTTCAGCAGATCCAAGCCACTGATCGCGCTTTTGCTGCAGTTCTTGGCGATGGATCCGTTGTGACCTGGGGTTATGCTGCCTATGGTGGCGACAGCCTTGCTGTGCAGGCTCAGCTGACGAATGTACAGCAGATTCAAGCCTCTGGCTTCGCTTTTGCTGCCATTGTTGGCGATGGATCGGTTGTGACTTGGGGTGATGCTGAGTTGGGTGGCGACAGCAGCATTGTGCAGGATCAGCTGAGCCATGTGCAGCAGATCCAAGCCGCGGCAGTAGGTGCTTTCGCTGCCATTCTTGGCGATGGCTCGGTTGTGACCTGGGGTAACGCTGCACTTGGTGGTAACAGCAGCATTGTGCAGGGTCAGCTGAACCATGTGCAGCAGATCCAAGCCGCCGCAGCAGGTGCTTTCGCTGCCATTCTTGACGATGGATCCGTTGTGACCTGGGGTGATGTTGACGTCGGTGGCGACAGCAGTGCTGTGCAGGGCCAGCTCAAAAATGTGCAGCAGATCCAGGCCTGTCGCCGCGCTTTTGCTGCCATTCTTGGCGACGGCTCGGTTGTGACCTGGGGTAATGCTGCGCTTGGTGGCGACAGTAGTGCTGTGCAGGCCCAGCTGCAAAACGTTCAGCAGATCGAAGCCACTGATCACGCTTTTGCTGCCATTCTTGGCGATGGATCCGGTGTGACCTGGGGTGCTGCTGACTTTGGCGGTGACAGTCGTGCTGTGCAAGATCAACTCAAGAATGTGCAGCAGATCCAAGCCTGTGGCGCTGCTTTTGCTGCCATTATTGGCGATGGATCGGTTGTGACGTGGGGTGCTGGCTATGGTGGTGACAGCAGTGCGGTGCAGGCTCAGCTGAAGAATGTGCAGCAGATCCAAGCCTCTCGCCGCGCTTTTGCTGCCATTCTTGGCGACGGTTCGGTTGTGACTTGGGGGCATGCTGCGCATGGCGGCGACAGCTTTGCTGCGAAGGCCCAGCTGAAGAATGCGCAGCAGATCCAAGCCTCTCGCCGCGCTTTAGCTGCCATTCTTTGCGACGGTTCGGTTGTGACTTGGGGGTATGCTGCGCATGGTGGCGACAGTAGTGCTGTGCAGGATCAACTTGAAGCTGTTCACTAGGTCTGCATCTTTTTCACTGAAGTTGAGAATCTGAGCCACATCCGAAGCTTGCTTGCGCCCTAAATGCTAAAGTAGGAACCTGATTAAGAAACCTTGGGCCTTTTCCTTTTATGAATCTGTATCCTGTATTTTGGGGCATGTGCCACCTCTAGTTCATGCCCATAGGCTCCATAGTAGTTCCGTTTTGGGATTCATATTTAGAATCCTATAAGGTAACCCCAAAAAGGAACTGCTTTGGAGCCCCTGGGTAAGCCCTACATCCTACACTCTGGCTTGGGTCATTATTAAAGATCCGTTTTGTCATTCTTGGATTGGGTTTGCTGGCATTTAGAAGTGGCCCATTAGGATCGTTTGGGCCTTGCTGACTCTCAACGCCCAAACCTGCATAAGATCCTACACCCAAAGACGGCGCGCTGTGGCCCGGTCTTCAAGCTTCTCAATGTAACATGTACTTTAGGGACCGGAGCTCTAGCTGGCTCTGCAAGGGTATAGGCCTCGAAAAGTTCGATTTCGGTTCCAGCCCGCAACCCTTCATCCTGGAACCCGACCCCGAGTAACATCAATGATCGGGGGTTGCGGGTCTTCTACGCTTTGCAACGCTCATGTCGATTACAGTGGAAGTTTCACTGCTCAGTGGCAAGACAGCTACTGTGACAGCAGGCTCGGACGAAACTGTCGAGACGTTGGCACAAAGGGCACAGATCGCACTTGGAGTTGGGAAAGGGCAGCTTCTGGACTCTTGTGGAGTCGTTCTGGACCGATGCGCAAAGACCACCAATTCGCGGATTGAAAGCGGTGACTCGCTGACATTGCATGTAAACAGGGTGCAAATTCACTCCTCTGATCAGGCTTTTGCTGCCATTCTCGGCGATGGATGCGTGGTGTCCTGGGGTGATGCTTCGAATGGTGGCGACAGCAGTGCTGTGCAGGGTCAGCTGCAAAACGTTCAGCAGATCCAAGCCACTGATCGCGCTTTTGCTGCTGTTCTTGGCGATGGATCCGTTGTGACCTGGGGTGCTGCTGACTTTGGCGGTGACAGTCGTGCTGTGCAAGATCAACTCAAGAATGTGCAGCAGATCCACGCCTGTGGCGCTGCTTTTGCTGCCATTATTGGCGATGGATCGGTTGTGACCTGGGGTAATGCTGCGCTTGGTGGCGACAGCAGCATTGTGCAGGGTCAGCTGAAGAATGTGCAGCAGATCCAAGCCGCCGCAGCAGGTGCTTTCGCTGCCATTCTTGGCGATGGCTCGGTTGTGACCTGGGGTAATGCTGTCTTCGGTGGCGACAGTAGTGCTGTGCAGGGCCGGCTGAAGAATGTGCAGCAGATCCAAGCCGTTGGCGTTGCTTTTGCCGCCATTCTTGGCGACGGATCCGTTGTGACCTGGGGTCGTGCTTACTATGGTGGCGACAGTAGTGCCGTGCAGGCTCAGCTAAGGAATGTGCAGTGGATCCAAGGATGTCGCGGTGCTGCTTTTGCTGCCGTTGCTGGTGATGGATCGGTCGTGACCTGGGGCAAAGGAAGCTGTGGGGGCGACAGCAGTGCTGTGCAGGCCCAGCTGAAGAATGTGCAGCAGATCCAAGCCTCTGGCGCTGCTTTTGCTGCCATTCTTGGCGACGGCTCGGTTGTGACCTGGGCTAATGCTGCGCTTGGTGGCGACAGTAGTGCTGTGCAGGGTCAGCTGAACAATGTGCAGCAGATCCAAGCCTGTGGCTCTGCCTTTGCTGCCGTCCGTAACGATGGATCGGTTGTAACTTGGGGTAATGCCAGGTTTGGTGGTGACAGCAGTGCTGTCCAGGGTCTGTTGAAGAATGTGCAGCAGATCCGAGCCAGTCGCGATGGTGCTTTTGCTGCCCTTCTTGATGATGGATCTGTTGTGACCTGGGGTGATGCTGACTGTGGTGGCGACAGCAGTGCTGTGCAGGGCCGGCTGAAGAATGTGCAGCAGATCCAAGCCTCTCGCCGCGCTTTTGCTGCCATTCTTTGCGACGGTTCGGTTGTGACTTGGGGGAATGCTGCGCATGGTGGCGACAGTAGTGCTGTGCAGGATCAGCATGAAGCTGTTCACTAGGTCTGCATCTTTTTTACTGAAGTTGAGAATCTGAGCCACATCCTTTCAGAAGCAGGAAGGCCCGAAAAGGTTCCCGGAAGCGCGGCTTGGGAGGCAGCGCAGGTCCTTCGCGAAATGGCCTATTGAGTAGTGATTAGGACTTGAGGATTCTTCCACACCTCTAAGGCCTGAACCCCTGAACCTGTTAACCCTAAGCCCCAAACCCTGCAGCAAAGCTCTCATGGTTATGATGCATTATGTTGTCAGTTGTTTGTGCTTCAGTCCTTGCGGAGCTACGGTCGGTTCTATCCATCTATATATATATATATATATATATATATATATATATATCTTTATATACATATATACATATATATACATATATATATATATATATATATATATATATATATATATTATACAGGCCCCAAACCAAGCCCCGTCGTTTTGTGGGCGGCGAGGTGGGCCCAAGACCCGGTCACGAATTTCTGGAGACTGCCACGGAGACTGTGGAGGTTCCGGCGTGTTCTTTGGTTAGTTGGGTGGTTGTCAAAATGATGGTGCCTTTTTGGGTCCCTAATATAGTACGGCACCTCATATTTAGGGTACCCAATTAGGGACCCTAATTTTGACAACTACCCAGTTATAGGCCTTGGGAGGAAGGGTTTGCGCTTTAGGACTGCAATCATGTAAGTGTACTCTTTTGGCATCTCGAGGCTTCGGGGATTGGGCGCCAAGAATCGGAATCACTGGGAGTTGTGATTTCATTCGGTTTCAGGTGGCAAAAAGTTGGGTTCGTGCCAAGAGACCTAACTTCAGTTGGGATTTTGTAAAAGTTCGGGTTCATTCGGGTATTCCAGCAGGCCCTCAAAACCACATACACATGAGGATCTTAAGAGTTCACTTGCGGCATGGGCCCGCGTACTACTCAAAAGAAGAGCCCCGAACGCTAAACCTCACAGCTGGAGGTCTTTGTGTTTCTGCGGTCTTTGGAGACCGTATGGTTGAGGGTAAGGTTTGACTTGAAGTGTTTTACTCGGTTGAGCACTTCAGACGTTGGGGTGTAGTGTTGCGGCGAATGTAATCCCCCTCCCCCCCCCAGGACCAAAAGTTATAATCTGGTGTCACCAAGGTCAGGGTCTGATAAAGTTAGAAGGGAATTGGGGGGTCCGGGAGGTTTGGGGCGGGTCTGCGTTGCTCCGCGGATGCCTGAATTGGGGTCGGGATCACCAAAAGCTCGAAACCAAGCCCCGATCACTCCAAGATAACTACCAAGACTGAAACCCTTTCATTTTGAAGACTTTTCCTTCTAGCCTACACTCCCATCCACAATCGACCAAGTCTGAGGCCTGGTACTCTACAGTAGTACTATAGTAGTACAGCCACGAGTTTCGGTAGCGTTTCGGGCTTGAGGGCCAGGGTTTTGGGGTCTTAGATTGACCATCAGCAGACAGGACAATCACCCCAACAAAAATCCCCCAGCAAAAAACAAACACATTGGGCCACCCGTTTTTTTGGTACCGGCTTGAAATAGAAAACAAACTCACTATAGAGGCACGCCGGTTTAACCAGGCCCGCACCTTTTGGTCTAGGATTCAGGTTTCCAGATGTTGGGGTTTGTGCTTCCGGGTTTGGAAGTGAGGTGCAGGAAGGAACGAGGACTTATTAATGAAGACGATGCTAAACCCATGTACTTAAAGGGCTGTATACGGCTCTAGAGGGTTCTAAAGCAGGCTCTCCTGTACTTAAAGGGCACTTTGGGGCTCGATACTAAGGGTTCCCTTTAAGGGGATACAAACCCTAAACCCTAATCCCTAAATGGGAGTTTCCGAAAATAGGGGACCCAAACATAGTACCCTAAATAATAGGATCCCTATTATGAGGACCCCCAAATACGGTGCCCTAATTTTCGGAAACTCCCAAATGGTGATCTTCGGGCTTAACGAGGACTTGGCGCAGCTCAGCAACGCGGCCTTCGATCTCGGCTACTCTGCGATGAGGATGCCGAGCTCGGGGGTTTCAATTACTATAATATTATTATCGTATTATTATAGTAGGAATTTTTAGTATTATCGTATCAATATAGTATTATTATAGTAGGAATATTTAGTATTATCGCATTAATATAGTATTATTATAGTAGTATTACAGCATTATAGTATTATTATAGTAATATTCCGATATTATTAAGGTATATTATAGTATCATATTGTTATTCTTATAGTATTCTTATAGTATTATTCCAATCATCGCAGACATCGTGAAACGCCCGAATTTGATTTCTTGTGTTGTAGTTCTAATTCGTTTACCAGTGCAGTTAGGCATCAGCATGGTGGCGCCTTGGGCGACGAGAAGACCCGGCAACCTCATGAATTAGAGTTTTCGGTCCGTTTAGGATTTAGGGCAAGGAGGGACGTAGAAATTTTTGGGATCAAAATCACGAAAGGAGGTGGGATGAGTAACCTATCATTTTGCCGAAACGCCGGACCTAGCTGCTGAATGCCATAGTAGGAATATTTAGTATTATCGCATTAATATAGTATTATTATAGTAGTATTACAGCATTATAGTATTATTAGAGTAATATTCCAGTATTATTAAGGTATATTATAGTATCATATTGTTATTTTTATAGTATTCTTATAGTATTATTCCAATCATCGCAGACATCGTGAAACGCCCGAATTTGATTTCTTGTGTTGTAGTTCTAATTCGTTTACCAGTGCAGTTAGGCATCAGCATGGTGGCGCCTTGGGCGACGAGAAGACCCGGCAACCTCATGAATTAGAGTTTTCGGTCCGTTTAGGATTTAGGGCAAGGAGGGACGTAGAAATTTTTGGGATCAAAATCACGAAAGGAGGTGGGATGAGTAACCTATCATTTTGCCGAAACGCCGGACCTAGCTGCTGAATGCCAGGACTTTTGCCTTCTTACAATTCGACTTTATTAAGGGAGGTTCAAGGGGGGAGAGTACAAGGGATCCTGAGACTCAGGGATTACCAAGTTATAGTCTCGGTTTAGACCCTTATCCCTTAAGGCTAATCCCGTTATAGTCCGTGCATAAAAGAGCGATGCTACAAACTTGTAATTAACTAACAACTTTCCTTCGGCTTCTCATATTAATTACAGATAATGAAGGCGACCAGAACCCTGCTCCAATCATTAAGCCCCCCATATCATAGCACCCACATAGTATCCCTTGTAGAGTCCTCTCAACGGAGCTTTTAAAGGAACACTGTTCGACTTTGTAAGCCCCAAAGTTCAGACCTCAAGCTCCAGAAAACCCGGATCCCTTGCGATCCGTGCTCCTGGCAGGCTGACAGAGGTCGTTTGCTGCTCGTCTCAAAGGAGAGAGGCTTAGGGTTTAGGAGGGTTTAGGGTGTGAGGAGGGTTTACGATTCGTTCTGCGTCTTAAGGCATCGCGTTTAGGGTGAGTGCTGCTGCAGCCCATATAGTTATAAGAGGGATGGTTGCAGTGCCTTGCCTCCAACTTTTCGTTTTCGGGATCCCAGCAGATATTTATTGTGTGTGTGTGATTAACATCCGAGCGGACGAGATTTTTTGGGGCTCAGGTGTAGGTTTTACATCCCTCCGCGCGTTGAAGTCGGTATGGAACTATACGTGGTAGAGGTGCGAGCCAGGCGGGCCCATGAAGAGGACCACCCCAACACTGTGGAGTACTGCGATGATCCACCGGCGCCGTTGTCTACAAGACACCGACAACCCTACCGGGTCACCGGGCCGTGGAGCACAGATCAGTGCGGATGAAGACTTACTTTTGAGATGGTTAGTAGGGAATGGAGGAATGGGGTGCAATTATAACTACTATTACTACCATTCTTCCCTAAACCCTAAACCCTAAGCCCTAAAGCCATAACTACTATTACTACCATGCTTCCATTCCCTACTAACCAAAGGTAAGAAGAGGCAGCATGGACGGCTCGCTTCGAGTCGGAGCTTGGAGACCTGGGGAAACTCTTCACGACGGACACCGGCTGGAGCTCAAGGTCGGTTTCGGGGTACCCAGAGACTCCAATATCCCTTAATTAAGGAATATTCCTTAAATCATCTTCGGGATCCTACTATAATTTAAGGAATATTCCTTAATTAAGGGATATTGGAGTCCCTGGGTATGGGCTGGGATCCACTATGCCTTGGGTACTGCCCCCACTCAGCAACAGTTGGATACTAGTCGTAGTATGGTTAGACTACCCATAGGCTCCATAGTAGTTCCTTTTTTGGGGTTCATATTTAGAATCCTATAAGGTAACCCCAAAAAGGAACTACTTTGGAGCTTCTGGGTAGGCCCTCTATAGTAGCCCTATTATAGACTGTTACTGTATGGGGGCGTACCCCTAAACCAAAACCCTAAACCCTAAACCCTAAACCCTTGTTAGGGCCTGGTGAGGCTTAGGGACTTAAGGAGTTGGGGTTGGGGGTTACCCAGGGACCCCAATATCCCTTAATTAAGGAATATTCCTTAAATTATAGTAGGATCCCTAATATGATTTAAGGAATATTCCTTAATTAAGGGATATTGGAGTCTCTGGGTAGCAGGAGACCATTGCCTCGAAAATTCGATACAAATACCCTGAAGGCTCCAAGTAGCTCAAGGCATGTACTGCTTATAGACTGTAGTGAGACACAATGTAGGCATTATGTGTATATTTGCAGTCTAAGAGACCTACAACACACAATTTCTGCCAGTCTTTGTTTGGGGTTTGGATAAGTAATAACCCATTCCGAAAAGTTCCTCCTTACTTTACACCTGCTATAAGATGGCCCAGAACTTCATTCTTGAAGCTCGTTAGTCTTCAAGTGGGGCCTACTCTAGCATCCTCCAGAGCCCGATTCTAAGTACTAAGGCCCCATTTGGATCCCTGCAGTAACTTTATCGATTCCTTCAAGGAACCCCTATAGTCCCCCCAAAAGCAACCCACTCCCATCATACAGGCTCAGGAAACCCTTCGCATTCCACCCCTGTCTCGGCTCTACAGGGACTAGAGGCTTAAACTTCGGGTCTAGTGTTTTTGGGGGTTTAGGGTTTAGGCTTGAGGGGGTTTAGGATTTGGGGTTTAGGGTTTAGGCTTAAGGGTGTTTCAGGGTTGAGGTTTGAGGGTTTAAGTAAGCCTTCGACTTTATCCTCCGAGTCTTCCGGTGCTACCCATATCCCCAAGATAGCACTCAGCGCATCACCGAACCTCCTGAGGGATCCTATGCAAATGTACCAAAATCTAAAAGTAGCAGAAACCAACAAAGCCGTGCAGCCTCATCACGCATTCCGTGAGACTCTGTACAGAGAGAGGCACTACTCAACCCTTATATTGAAAAGCCTTTTGAAAACCAGCTGTAGCAGAGTAAACCTCTATTGAGTTTTTTTCCCGACTGACAAAACCCAAACCCTAAACCCTAAACCCTAAACCCCTAACCCCTAACCCCTAAACCCTAAACCCCTAACCCCTAAACCCTAAACCCTAAACCCCTAAACCCCTAAACCCAAACCCTAAACTCCTCAACACCCGACTCCTCGACTAGAAGCCCTTCAGTCAAAAAGCCCTTATAAACGATAGCCCCTAAACTACCCAGAGGCTCCAAAGTAGTTCTTTTTTGGTGTTACCTTATAGGATTCTAAATATGAACCCCAAAAGAGGAACTACTACGGAGCCTATGGGTTCACCCCAGTTCAGATGAGGCCGAGAGTTGGTCCACTCATCCGCCTCCTTGGCGCAAGGCGCCGCATCTGCCTGGAACTCTTCGGATGACACCCAGGCGCCCCAGGGTGCCCTTAAGGGATTCTATAAGGGTTCCTGTAAGGGTTTTTTGGAGTCCGTTCAGGGCCTACTCATGAAAGGTGTTCCTTGAAAGGTTCCTTTATGGGTTTAGGAGTTTGGGGTTTTAGAGGAGGTGCAATAGTGGGCGATGAGGGTTCTGCGGGGTTCTATGCGGGTTCCTATAAAGTTTCAGAAGGGGTACGAGTCATTGGACAAGAGTTTGGAAGTTTCAGGGTGTAGAGTTGCACAACCTCTGGGGGGCATGAACAATTCCCCCCTTTCGCTGAGACACCTTGTTTTCAGCTAGACTTCAACATCCAACCCTACAGTACAAAGCCAGTAACGGAGACCATGATGCAACCAGAGAAGTCGTAGAGACTTCGGAGGTGGGAAAGAGGCCATGAACAAAGCTCCATCGACTTTGGCCCTAAAATGACATTTTAGGGCCTAATTCGATTGAGCTTTGTTCACGGCCTCTTTCTCATCTCCGAACTAATGCTCAACCTTACAAGCTTGAGAACCTCAGCCCTCAAAGCCGAAACCTAAGTGAACTGAAACTCCGAACCCTTATCCTCCGCCCTGAACCCTAAACCCTGAACCCAAACCCTCAAGCCCAAACCGTGCACCCTGAACCCGAGATCCTAAATCCCTAAATCCCCATACCCTAAATCCCTAAACCCTAAATCCCTAACCCCGAAGCTGAAATCCTTCTCGCCATGGCAAGCAGGAGTCTAGCTCTCCATCTCCGCGGCCTTCGACCACCGCAGAGGCAGACGAGTGAGGAGTCGTAGATCGCAAGGCATCTAGGTCCTGGTATGGAGGCTTGAATAATTACCACTACTATTTTGGGGCTTCCTTATCATAATGATAATAAGTATTTTGGACCCCAAAACCCGACTCTAATTATTAAGGCCCCCCCATATTAGGTCCTAGGTATGGGGGGGGCTGAACAATCGGCAGCATCCCGAGAGTCCTTCACCAGAAGTCATTGATTATTTTCTAGCCCCCTGAATGGGAGATTCCCAAAATTCGGGGTACCTTTTTCTGGTGTCCTTATACTAAGGATCCTACCATTTAGGGTACTATATTAGGGTCCCTTATTTCGGAAACTCACAAATCCTACAATCTATGGAAGCCTGGATGGTTGCAGTGCGGTTTGGGGTTCATCTAAAATGATTTTGTAGGGACTCCAGCAAATACAGCTGACAAGTCTTTCGACCTATATCTACCGACAGAGCCCACAGAAAGGCCATCCTATTTCGACTATGAACCCGTAGACCGCAAGCCCCAAAGCCTAAACCCCAAACCCTCAAACCTCAAACCATAAAGTCTCAAAGCTTAAACCCCAAACTCTTCAAAACACAAAACCCACAGCCCACAGCACAAACCAAGATGAACTATCTGAGAGAACTCTTAGGAATAATGGTGCTACTTGTTCGTTTCTCTGTTTGCAACCCCCGACCCTTATCAACCTCTTATGAAACCTCAACCTCCATAGAACCCTTAAAGGGAGGCTTCGCGGCACGCGTATACAACCCTGCACTCCCCTGTAAGCCCTAAGCCGTAAACCTAACCCGTATAGTAGGTACTTAGTAGGTATTTGGGCCCGAAAAGTATATGGGTGGTTGTCAAAATTATGGTCCCCTTTTGACCCCAAAATGGACCCTAATTTTGACAACTACCCATATACCATACCATTACTTGGACCCTTTGGGTACGGTGGTGGGGTCGAAGTTTTAGCTGTATGGGTTTGGTGATCCGCTAAGTCGCTGGGCGCCACTAAGCCCTAAACCCTAAAGCCTAAAATCCTAAGCCCTAGACCCTAAACCCTAAAGCCCTAAAACTTGCATACGGCGCATCTGCGACGCACACTCTGAAGTTCGTGGCCTCCTCGGTTCTCCAACTTCTCAGTCCGAAGCCGTAATGCAGGGGTCTTAACAATTAGAATCGCAGTTTAGATGAGCTCGCCGGATGTGAGTATATATATATATATATATATATGTACCTGGGATTCCGGCTACTGTTACGTATTAACCTATGAGTTTATACGTATATATATATATATATATATATATATATATATATATATATATACATACATATGTTTGACTCGCGAAGTCCCGTAGGCCACCGGATATCAACACTTCCCGCGTGAAGCATGTCGTTTACCGTTGAAGTTTCACTGCTCAGTGGCAAGACAGCTACAGTGCAAGCCGGCCTGGACGAAACCGTGGACTCGTTGACACAACGGGCACAGACCGCACTTGGGGTCGGCAAAGGGCGTCTGCTTGACTCCTCCGGAGTCGTTCTGGACGGAGTGGAGACCCTGAGTTCGAGGATTCTGAATGGTGACTCGCTGACCTTGCGTGTGAACAGAATTCAAGTTCAGGGCAATGATCGTTCTTTTGCTGCCATTCTTGGCGATGGGTCCGTGGTGACCTGGGGCGCTGCTGACCGCGGTGGCGACAGTAATGCTGTGCAGGAGCAGCTGAAAAATGTGCGGCAGATCCAAGCCTCTGACAATGCGTTTGCTGCCATTCTTGGCGATGGATCGGTTGTTGCGTGGGGTGATGCCGTCTGGGGTTTATTTCGTGACAGCAGTGCTGTGCAGGACCAGCTGAAGAATGTGCAGCAGATTCAGGCCTCTGAAGCTGCTTTTGCTGCAATTCTTGGCGATGGATCTGTGGTGACTTGGGGTTCTGGCGAATGTAGCGACAGTAGCGCCGTGCAGCATCAGCTGAAAAATGTGCAGCAGATTCAAGCCTCCCTTGCTGCCTTTGCGGCCATTCTTGACGACGGATCCGTTGTCACGTGGGGTGAGTTCCTCTTTGGGGGAAGCAGCAGTGCTGTGCAGGATCAGCTGAAGAATGTGCAGCAGATCCAGGCCTCTGACAGTGCCTTTGCTGCCATTCTTGGTGATGGATCCGTGGTGACTTGGGGTTTTGCTGGCGAGGGTGGCGACAGCAGCGCCGTGCAGGATCAGTTGAAAAATGTGCGGCAGATCCAAGCCTCTGCCAGAGCTTTTGCTGCCGTTCTTGACGATGGATCTGTTGTGACCTGGGGTCGTGATGAGTTCGGTGCCGACAGCAGTTCTGTGCAGACTCAGCTCAAGAACGTGCAGCAGATCCAAGCCGCTCGCGGCGCCTTTGCTGCCATTCTTGACGACGGATCCGTCGTGGCGTGGGGTGCTGCTGACTATGGTGGCGACACTAGTGCTGTGCAGGCTCAGCTGAAGCACGTGCAGCAGATTCAAGCCACTGAGAGAGCTTTTGCTGCCATTCTTGCTGATGGATCCGTGGTGACCTGGGGAGGTGCTGAGCATGGTGGAGACAGCAGAGCTGTGCAGGATCAGCTGAAGAATGTGCTGCAGATCCAAGCCTCCGGCAGTGCTTTTGCTGCCATTCTTGGCGATGGGTCGGTTGTTACCTGGGGTGATTTAGGCGGTGGCGGCGACAGTAGTGCTGTGCAGGACCAGCTAATGCCTGTTCCGTAGATCTCTGTTTGCTTGTAAGTCGTTGAGCCAGGGTGGGTTGGCAAGCTGTCGTGCATCAGGTGAGGCAGCACACGAAAACCAAATGTTGACACACCTGCCAAGACGCTAACATTATCGAAGTACCGACTACTCCCCCGAATCCCTCTAATGCAACCTTGGGCTTCGCAGCAAGGAGTAGCTATGTGAACCTTCATCACGTGAAGCAGACGCTCTAAACTCTAAACCCTATATCCTGTGAGTAGTGCTTCCAAGGCTCAGGTATATCATGGGCATGTACTGCCTACATGTTACATTACCGTTCCCAATACCCTGAACTGCAGCCCCAAATCCCAACCCTTGATCAGAAACCCCGAATCGACAAGCCTACTGCTTGCGCTGACAACAGTCAATCCTTAGATGCTCAAGTGCCCTCTAAACCTGAACCCAGAGCCCCCAAAGCCCAAACCCTGTATACGTCTTACCGGAAATCTGGATTTCCAACATCACTCACGTATGTCTGTCTGTTTGCCTGTCTGCCTGTTTGTCTGTTTGTCTGTTTGCCTGTGTCTGTATGTATTTGTATGTATACATATACAAATGTGTAAATATGTAAATACGTACTGTATATGAGAGAGTCCTTAAAGAGGTAGGCTTTGGGAGATAAGGGTATACCCTTAACCTCTAATCCCTAAACCCTAAACCCGGAACCGTTATAGAAACCCTTATAAAGGAACCGGCAGAGGCTAGCGCTTAAACCGCGAAAGGAACCCTCACAGGATGCCTAAGTCCCGTATAGGACCCCCCTCCCCCCCCAATGGCCCCTTAACGGAGTTCTTATGGTCCTTAATAGTAGCTTTTTTTTTGTGGGTAGAATAGAGGGTAGCTGGGGGATCTAGGTATCAGAATAGTAGGATTCAAAAAAAAAGGAAGCCTAATAGTAAAGGCCCAGGGTTTCTTAATCAGGTCCCGACAATATCCATAAAACCTAAAGACCCTGAAGCTTAAACCCCGAACCGACTACTGAGAATATCGGGCCTGGCCTGCATGCTGATATCCGGACTCTGAAACCAGGGCCCCAGAGTAGGCCCTTATTCCCTTTTTTAGGGTTCAGGTTCCCTTATAAGTACCTTTAAACCAAAAAGGGCACCCTGTTTATTCCTAGGTTACTCTTGGGTCTAGGAAAGGGATGCTCTCCGTTATATAGTACCCTAAATGGGTTATTAGGGTAGCTGTACTAAACACCCCAGTTAGGGTGCTCATAACCTCACTTACTAAGTGTCTCAGGTTCCTACATTCGGACCCTTGTAGATCCCTTATAGACCCATTTAAGGGAACTCTAATAAAGTCTCAAGGTTTCTTAATCACGTTCCTACTGTTGATGATACAAATCCTGCATTACCCATAAAGGAACATAACATAATTCCCATAGTTTATGAAATGCAGGATTATACCATCAACCGTACATTCGGACCCTTTGGTTCCTACATCACCACCCTAAATCCCTAAACCCTAAAACCCTAAAGCCCTAAAACCCTAAACCCTAAACCCCTAAACCCTTTCTGTTTGATTTGTTTTTCGGTCGCCGCTGCCAGGTCTGGCAGCGAATGCCCACGAGACGGCGGAGCGCTCCTGGTTTGAAGCCTATAACTCTATTCTCATTATTAAGGCCCCTGAATTAGGGTTCCTTTACGCATTTGTAGGGTGCTTGTAAGCGTTCTGTAGTGGTTCCTGTCAGTTCTACAGGGGTTTTCGGGTTGTAAAGGGTTTGGGGTCGGGGGAAAACAACAGGAGGCAAAGGGGGTTTCAGAGGGTTTGATAGCATTCTTTGTGTACTTAAGGGGCTTATCTGAACCCTCACAAACCTACATTTTTTGATGTCAGAGCCCAATAGTTAGGGGTGGTCGGTCTACCTAGGCCGATGTCATAGGGTTCATGTTTGTGCTCTGGAGCTGCATATAGGCGTGTCGTGGTTGAAGCAAGATGGGAACTTGAAGGACTAAAGGATACCACGAGCCTTTTCGTGGCCTGGGGAGTTGCAACCTTAAGAATAAAGGGAGCCTAAGCTGCACTTGTGTAGGGTTTGGGGTTACAGGTTTTCCATACTTCTAACGAAGGGATCCTAACCTTGGCTACACTTTTGTAGGGTTTTGGGTTGCAGGTATAAGCCACAAGAAGAGCCGAAAGCTCGAGCCTCAGGTGAGCGCAGCAGGCTCTCGCCGGCGGAAGGCACCGAAAATCTGGGTCCTGCAGGGTGTACGCAGTTATTTTAACACACTATATGATTACCAGACACCCCAATCACCAAGCCCGTAAGGCCAGAAGCATCACTCTAAACATATATTGTAGAGCACTTGTAGAAGCCTTATAGAACCACAGCCGTCCAACCCCCAGGCACCGGATTCGACAAGCGCCTGTGGTGAAGGACCGGTTGTTGCTGGAGTTGCCCCGAGTGCCGGGCACCCTTCAAGGGATCAGGGGATGTCTTTTGATTAGACAAACCTTCAACACCAAATCTGCATTCTCTTTCATTTTGTTTTTGGGGTTATTCCTTCCCTATTACCTGTATACCCCAACACAGTTTGGAAACTGTTCATCAGGCCCCTATATTGTATAATCTTGATTGCAGGGTGTGGAGCACTCTACGTCGGTTTAAAGAGATGTAAGGGTAGTGAAGAAATGTCAAGAAGATCGCTATGCCCCAAACCGGAGCTTATAAGACCCCATTGAGCACTCTTGGGTTTACGGTTTAGGGTTCCACCCCATTGAGCATTCTGTGTGGAGGCCTAGGTCAATGTCCTATAACCTCTATACGAGTATCAAGTGCTCATGTATATGATATATATATATATATATATACACACACACACGGATGCAGGCACACACACACACACCCACACCCACACCCACACCCACACCCACACCCACACCCACACCCACACCCCCACCCACACCCACACCCACACCCACACCCACACCCACACCCACACCCACACCCACACCCACACCCACACGCACACGCACACGCACACGCACACGCACACGCACACGCACACGCACACGCACACGCACACACACACACACACACACTTACACTTACACACACACACACACACACACACACACACACACACACACACACACACACACACACACCTACCTACCTACCTACCTACCTACCTACCTACCTATGCATTGATGATATAGACCGGGAGCCTGTGTGATTTGCTAGACTGCTTCCCCTCGTAGGTTTAAGCATAAGGCCTACACCCGTGTAAGCCACCCTAAACTTGATACACTAAAACCAGAATCTTAAACCTTAAGCCCTAAGCCTCAAATCCTTCACCTCAAAACTTATGCAAACCATACCCCAGAAGCCCTTTACACCCAAGGCCTAAATCTATACCCCGAACCGTAACCCTAAAAACCTTAAACCCTTTTCCAAAACAAGTGCAGCTAAAGCTCAAGTTGGAAGGAGGTCTTTGGCGAAGGAGCTCCAGCCCTAAGCTGAGAGGGCCCTTGAGCTTTGCACAGGTTAGGGACCCAAAAAGCACATAAGCATAAGCATTTCATGGGGGTATCCCAACCTTATTGGGCTTTAGTATAAGGGGATTTATATGGGATATCCCTACCCTAATTTTTGCTTATGTGCTTTTTTGGGGCCCTAACAGGGGCGCATTGTGTGTTTTGTTTTTGTTCCGGGGGGGGGCAGGGGGTGGTAAGCAGGGTTCGGGTTTGTGCGGTGGGGTAGTAGGGTGTACGGCTTTGGGTTTAGGAGGGCATGAGGGGTTTCCGTTGAGGCTGTTATCAGGTCTTACAGGGTTGTGTTTGTAGAGACTTATCGGGGATTCTTCAAGGGGGCCTGGGGAGTTATTTATGGTTCGGATAAAGGTTTTAGAAGGGGTTTAGGGTAGAAGGGGTTTAGAGTGCGGCCTTAAGGTTGTTTTAGTGCAGGGTTTGGGGCTCAGAGCTTTCGGATTAGAGGTCAGAGGTCCCGCGCTTGGGGGGCTTAGGGTTAAGGGTTCAGGGTTTAGGGTTGAGCGTGCAAAGCCTGAAACATTGGACATTGAGCCCAAGGCAATCAGACAGGGGCTGGAACAGTTAGCAATCGTATTCCTTTGCAATTCTTATTCTTATATGCCACACTAGCAGTTATATACTCCAGCAGCCTAGTCGAGTTATGAAGCCCCCCTGTTGAAAGAGGAACCTTCTGTTTTTCAGAGCGCTATTCCCTAGACACCCTTTTCTACTGATTGAAGTCCCTATCCTAGCAGGGGGCTTAGCTAGTTGCTTGGCTTAGGGGATTTGGGGTTTAAGGGTTTGAGTTTCCGGTGTTTAGGGGCTTTAGGGTTCAGGAGCTTAGGCTTGCGAAGGTTTCCTTAGGCTTTACCCAGAGGCTCCAAAGTAGTTCCTTTTTGGGGGTTACCTTATAGGATTCTAAATATGAACCCCCAAAAGGAACCCTAAACCCTAAACCCTAAACCCTAAACCCCTAAACCCTAAACCCTAAACCCTAGCCTATGGGTAATTAAGTTTTAGAGTTGCAGTTTTGTTTCTTTTTTTTTTTAATTTGGGTCTCCAGATTGTAGGTCTGATTGCCTGGGGTTTAAATCTGGCTGCTCCTTGATTAGGGGTTTAGGGTTTAGGGTTTAGGGTTTAGGGTTTTGGGTTTAGGGTTTGTAAGCTTTGACACTTGTTTGACACATTGCCTAAACTCGTGTAGGTTCAGGTTTTTGGTGGATGCTTAGGAGCTGGGGGCGTCTTCAAAGCAGCCAGGGAAAATGTCCAAGCCTCCAACCCTGTATCCTGTAGCCATTCACCGCAATCCAGATATCGCGGAGGATGAAAGCATTTTTCATCACCCTTTCAAGGTTCCATGTACTGTGCCCTTGAAGAGAATGTGTTACGTCCCAAATACTATACTCTAATATCTCGGAATGGTCTTTGACATTCAAAGCCGTACTTGGTAAATCTCCGCTCCCGAACGTGTGAGTAAACAGAAACAGCACGTTTTTGGACATTTCATGCGTAGCGCATGTCTATTAGCGTGGAAGTTTCATTGCTCAGTGGTAGGGCAACTACTGTGCAAGGAGGCTTGGAAGAAACTGTGGGGACGTTGAACAAACGGGCACGGATTGCACTTGGAGTCGGAAAAGGGCTGCTGCTGGACTCCTCTGGAGTCGTTCTGGACCGATGCGAGGAGGCCCTGAATTCCCGGATTCAGAACGGTGACTCACTGACCTTATAGTGAACCTCGAAAGTTGGAACATGATTTTAGGATGATCGGTGCTGGGGTCTCTATACTTTACCTTAAGGGCATGAGGATAATGATGTTCCAACTTTCTGGCTTCTACTGTGCATGTTAATACAATCCAGATTCAGAGCTCTGATCGGGCGTTTGCTGCCCTTCTTGGCGATGGATCTGTGGTGACCTGGGGTGATGCTAATTTTGGTGGCGACAGTAGTGCTGCGCAGAGTCAACTGCCAAACGCACAGCAGATCCAAGCCTCTATTGGCGCTTTTGCTGCCATTCTTCGTGATAGATCCGTTGTAACTTGGGGAATTGCTGGCTTTGGTGGCGACAGCCGTGCTGTGCAAGGTCGGCTGACGAATGTGCAGCAGATTCAAGCCAGTACCGCTGCATTTGCTGCCATTCGTTTTGATGGATCGGTCGTCACCTGGGGTCATGATGGCTTTGGTGGTGAAAGCAGTGCTGTGCAGGGGCAGCTGAAGAACGTGCAGCAGATCCAAGCCTCTCGTCATGCGTTTGCTGCCATTCTTAGTGATGGATCGGTGGTGACCTGGGGTCATGCTGGCCTTGGTGGCGATAGCAGTGCTGTGCAGGCTCAACTGACGGATGTTCAGCAGATCCAGGCCTCTGGTGGCGCTTTTGCTGCCATTTGTTGCGATGGATCTGTGGTGTCCTGGGGAGAGGCTCACTATGGTGCTGACAGCAGCGCTGTGCAGGGCCAACTGAACAATGTGCAGCAGATCCAGGCCTCTGACTGTGCTTTTGCTGCCATTCTTGGCGACAGGTCTGTCGTGACCTGGGGACATCCTGTTGGTGGTGGCGACAGCAGGGCTGTGCAGGGTCAGCTGAAAAACGTGCAGCAGATCCAGGCCTCTGACACTGCTTTGCAGCCATTCTTGCCGACAGATCTGTCGTGACCTGGGGTGCTGCGGGCAACGGTGGCGACAGTAGGGCTGCGAAGGGTCAGCTGCAAAACGTGCAGCAGATTCAAGCCTCGGGTCGCGCTTTTGCTGCCATTGTTGGCGATGGATCGGTTGTCACCTGGGGTGATGCTGCGCATGGTGGCGACAGCAGTGCCGTGCAGGGCCAGCTGAAGAATGTTCAGCAGATTCAAGCCGCTCGCCGCGCTTTTGCTGCCATTTGTTGCAATGATCGGTTGTGACCTGGGGTGATGCCGCGCAAGGTGGCGACAGTAGTGCTGCCGAGGATCTACTCAGGAGTGTTGAATAGATCTGCGTCTGCTTGTAACTAATTTAGGGGCTTAAATAATTACCAACATTATTGTGGGGGTTCCTTATTCTAGTTACAGTATACTGCACCCCAGAACCCTACTCTAATCATGAAGGCCCCCATATATTAGGAGCTTCTATAGGTGGTGTTGGCAACTAAAACCCTACGGCCCCCTGTCCCGAAACTTGGCACTCGAAACACCGAGTCGTACTGCTGATGGACAAAATCCTGCATTACCCATTATGAGGAATATACCACAATTCCCATAATTTAGGGTCCTTAAGGTCATGCAGGATTTTGTCCATCAACAGTACGACCCAAAGGGCAGAACATACCGGATCTGGGTGTTAGATTTGCGGTTCTGGAATGCGCAAGTATTCCATCAGGCAGAGGAAGAGTGGCATGTATCGCTGTAGCAGCCGTATCAATTGCAGATCAGTGCGGCGAGCTCGAAACAGGTTTTGGGTCTCGATTAAGTGGTTAACTATCTTGCAGGCTTTGTGCGGGCCGGTTTTGCTTTTTTCACGGGAACTCCGACATCATAATTCGTTTTATGTCAGATCGGGCCTCTTTTTTGCTTAAGATAAGCTCGTATTGCAGGGATTCGGGAGATGGGTATATAACGGTATGTTTGTCAAGACTGATGTCGAGGATTACCTCGTTCTTTCTGATGCTTTACCTCTTTATTACTTTGTACTCTGCCTATATCTCTCTCTATATATATATGTATGTATATATATATATATATCTCTCTCTCTCTCTCTGTCTCTGTCTCCCCATCTTGATTTCGATTTGGGCGGGCTCGTGCCATCTTTCGTCTTCGTGTTTTCTACTGGTGAGCTTGGGCAAGCTGTCGTGGCTTCGGAAAGCTCCACAGGACCTCATGTTTAGGGTTTTAGGGTTTAGGGTTTAGGGTTAAGTTAGGATCTCCATTGTTTCCCGATTACAAGCATGGTTTGCCGTTGCCAGGACCCGAATTTAATGAACTGCTCGCCCTGGGTTTTCACATGCTTAACAGCTGAGAGGTTCCGAGTACCACTTTGGGCCGCAAGCGTTGTGAGAGGGATGGGGTCTATCATTGCATATGGTTTTTTCCAGAATTAGGGTACCTTATCTTGGGTCCTTTTAATAGGGATCCTACTATTTAGGGTACCATATCATCGGCAAAACAGCACGAGCGCCGCTCACGATCGTAAGAGGGCGGCCGAAGCTTTCGGTTTAGAGTTGAGGGTTTAAAGTCTACGACCAGGGCTTGAAAAGCACTACTACGCAGAGCGGAGGCCTCACCGAACCGAAGCCATACTTAACCTAGCAACCCAATGTATAGATACCTTGGTTTAGGGTTTAGGGTTTGAAATTTCCTAGTTTTGGGCCGGCGCCTTTTCCGGGGTTCGCTTCTCGGATGAGGTCGCGCTGGCGCGCGAGATAGGCGATCTCTGGTCCGCTGCTTGGCAAGACCAAAGTGTAATATCGGGGCTATATTCTGGGGGTTCCTCATTATCGTTATAGTAGAATGGGCCCCAAAACCCTATTCTAAGTCTTCAGCCCCCTATATCAAAACTCGGCTGACGATAGAGATTCAAAGGTTGTGGTTGCAGGTTCGCATTGCGGCCCCCAAAGGTGGAACATGCGCAGGGTTGCCCCAGACTTTGCTCTGAGAGGGGATTGAAGAATTATGTTCCAGCTTTCTGAATTGCGCTTTAGCCTTGGCCATGATATGGACAATCGGCTACCGTATTTTGACAAGCAAGCCCAAAAGCCCTCAACCCTAAACGCTACACCCAAACCTTAAACCCTAAGCCCCAAACCCTGCACCTGAACCCCAAAATCCTACAGCCTAAATGGGGGTTTCCGAAAATAGGGGACCCTAATAAGGTACCCTCGATAGTAGGATCCTTATTAAAGGACCCCAAAATAAGGTACCCCTAATTTTCGGAAACTCCCAAATGAGCCGTAGCCTGAAGCCCCAGTAGTTCACACCTGAGGTCCCGCAGATTTCCGCACTGACAGCATGAGCTCCGCTCGCTAGCTGATTTCGCGCTCTTGACGGCTTTGAGGGTGTTAGGTCGGAAGGGTTTCGGGTGTAGGGCTAAGGGCTTTGAGGGGGCTGGTAGGGTAGGAAGTGTTTCAGGGTCTAGGGCGTTGAGAGTTTTAGGTAGGCATACAGGCGTTTTGGGGTATAGGGTTGCATCGTGAAGAGATTAGGGCCTGGGGTATGGCCTTATTTGGGTTTATAAGGGGCCCTATATAAAGATATTTTTCAGGGTGTTTAAAGGGCAACCAGTGATAAAAAGTGTCTACTGGGGGATCCTTGTTGTAATGGGGTGATGTTCAGGCAGGCACCCCATAGAGGAGCTCATGTTTAGCAACTCTCGAGTGGGTTTGGTTGAAAAGTAAGAATAACTTTCAACAAGGATGCGACATAAGACCCTTGGGGTAAGGTTAGGGATCCGTGAGGTCTGAAGGGGACGCTTCGTGGTGTCCTCGTTCGGCTCCTTGTTGTGGATCAAGTTCTTTGGTAACGGCTTGGCCCGAGATTCATGCGTTTAGAGTTCAGAGATTGCGTCTGGGTGGTGTTGCCCCTTGCTGAAGGCAGCGGTGCCGTCCACCATTTATTTATTTGCGCCAGGGGAGGTGGCCTTCGACTGCCCTAGAGGCTGGACGAAAGGCAACAAAATCAAGAATAGACAGACTCGAACTGCTGCAACGACAAGACAGAGAACGAGACTGGGACATGCAATATGAAGGGCCGCAGCACTATCAATAGCAGCAGCAGCAGCAGCAGCAGGACCGCAGCCCCAGCACAACCACTAACACTGCAAAATCACAACCTCCATTTCCGCAACCACGAGCACAAGCAGCACAGCCAAATCATCGCCACAGCCAACTGCCAACGCCATGACCATTGTCATCACCATCAACTACAACATCATCATCATCCTGGATGATCATCATCTTCACCATCGTTCACACCATGTTGTTGTCGCTCATCTGCATCATCGTCGTCACTGTTATATCCGTCATCGTCATCCTACCCTTCGTTTCGAATTTCGCCTCCTCAGCAAAGCCATCGTGATCATCACCACCCAGCCGGCTAGAGATGGAGCAACCCAGAGGCCGGATAGTAGTTCCTTTTTGGGATTACCTTATAGGATTCTAAGTATGAACCTCCAAAAGGAACTACTATGGTGCCTATGGCTAGAGATGGAGCAACCTACTATCTCGGGTCCTGGTAGAGGCAAACCCTAAGTCCGGGACCCGCAAGCCACATCCGAAACTGCGGCATCGAACCTGCAACGCCAAGTCCTTCACCCAAAAACGTTAGCTCTAAACCTTCAAGGAAAAGCAGGGACACCAACAATCCAATCAAAAGCCTGAACCCTAAAATGAAACAAGGAACGAACTGAAGCAATATATACCTGGACATGAGAATGTTACCAGGTTTTTTTATCAACGCGCCTCATAAGGGACCCATAGGCAGGAGGTTATCTCCCCTATAGCCGGCCTCAGCAGATATTTGCGCTCGGCTGATGCCCAGAGCGGGCTTCACCGCGAAGCCCTGCGAAGAAGTGACCAAACCCTAAACCCTAAACCCCAAACCCGAAACCCTAATTGGTTCGGGGTTTAGATTATTTTAGGGTCAAGTGTCACTGATTACACTGTGCAAGTAAACGAATGTTTCCTGCTACTTGCCGTTATAGGTCTGTGAAAAGTACCCGTGTTGGATGTTTTGGAGTGCTATGGCTGCTAGGGTTAAGCCATGACAAAGTATCACTGAGATCCTGATTGTGACCTTCGGATACCGTGTATAAGTTCCAGCATCCCAAGTCGTTGACGTTGCGGTAGGCATCGGACCCAAGGTTAGTTGAGAGTTTAATTCCTTATTATTATTATTGTTATTGTTATTACTATTGTTTTTAGTATTGGGTACATGTTTCAGGGATTCGTCCGGGAGCATCGGGAGCATCTCGTAGGCATACATGAGAATGTACATACGTAGGTATACATTACCTATAGTCTCTGTTGTAGTTCCTTTTTTGGTTAACCAATTTTATGGCTAGGATCCTATAATAGAGTTTTTGTTAACCAAAAAATGGAACTACAATGGAGACTATAGGCACAGTTTAGCAGTCATAAAGACTTACACGAGCACATATGCGTGTATGTATATACATAGACATGCGTGTATATATTGAATATATTACATCTGTATACATGCATATATTCATGTATATGTATATGCGGTTTACATACACAGATACAGTTGCATACCCACGTTGAACGTATTGTCGGGAGCCTTAGCAAGAAAACTCTTGAAGTCATTCTTTTTACGTCCAGGAGTGCTTTAGCTCAAAGACTCCTCCAGCCGGTTACGATGAGCTCCCTGCAGATCCCGAATTTGTGACCCTTAGCTCGCGGATCCTGCAGTCTCTCGTACATGCTACACGCTTCATCCTAAACCCTAAGTGCTTCCTGAAGCCGCGAAAAGCCTAAGGCCTTTGAACCGAAGGCCCTAAGCCCAAAACTTCTATCACTGACTCCCAAGCCCCAAAGCCCCACATCCCTCAATGCCAAACGTCGTCCGGTCCCTAAGCTTTAAACCCCTAAACCCCTAAACCCTCAATCCTAAGACCCCCCCAACCCTAAACCCTCAACCCTAAGACCCCCTCAAACGCTCAACCCCAAACTCCCCCCAGCCCGAACCCCTAAAACCCCTCAGCCCCACACCCTAATTTTTGCTCATCCCGCCAAGGACCTCATAGTTAGGGCCCCAGACCCCTTAAGGACCCCATAATAAGGTCCCTGGAGGCATAGGGTTAAACCGTTTCTCATCCTCAGACCCTAAACCCTAAATCCTAAACCCTAAACCTCAGAGCCAGAGCGTTGCAGGCTCAGATGGTTGCGGACATCTTCCGTCCCCGCGTGGAGCAGGAGTTGGAGGCTTTGGACTTCGCATGGGGGTTTAGGGTTTCCCAAAGGGTCCTATGTACCAATATAGTAGAATGTAGGGTTTCCATATTAGGAATTACTATTATGACTTAGGGAAGTATCCCCCACAACAGTACATAGGACCCTTTGGGTTTACGAGGGTTTAGGGTAGAAAGGGTATATAGGGTTTAGGGTATAGGGTTCAGGGTTTAGGGTCTTTGATGGTTCAGGGTATACAGGGTATATATAGGGTTTAGGGTTTAGGATGGTCTTCAAACGTTCATATGCAGATTCCATAAGGCCTTTCAGGGTGCTATGACACCCTAACCCCTAAACCCTAACGCTGTAACAAGGGCTGTCCGACAGCCATCTTGACCTTGAGAAAACACAGCGTTTTCCTAGGTTTTCATTCTGTTACAATATAAACTGCAGGGCTGTTAAATAAAGAGGCTCATACATCAACGCATAGCAGGATCCTGAAGTTGTATGAGTTTCGCACATACGGTGTAGTCGAAACCTCGAGAGCACACGCTTCGAAGGCATCTGTTTTGGCACTTCAGATAGGCTCTGCATGGACCAGTCTTGTGGTTAGAGGGGTTCCGCAGTATTTAAACTGGGGTATGCATGCATGCATGTACATGTTTATGTATAGAAGTAGTTGTTGGGTCATGGTGCTGTAAAGGAGCTGTTCTCAAATTGAAGTCGAACATATTTCTTCTGTATACTTTAGAACCCAAACGGTTAGAGCTAGGCCAATTTCAATTGAAGTTGGTCACACGTGACATCTGACTACCATGCTGAATTAGGTTTCTATACTCAATATTCCTTCCAGTATATAGCTTCAGCAGTTCAGATGCAGCCAATGGCGATGCACCTGTTCTGGTAACACTAAACTCTGTGTAGATCCCGTATTTCGCAAATCCAACCTCCAGTTTCAATGCCAGGCGTTTTGGCAAGGTACCGACATTCTCAAAGGCCACTCTAGGGTCCCAGACCTTCCAAAACCCCTCAATTAAGGAATATATCTCAAATTATAGTAGGATCCTTCATATGATTTCAGGTATATTCCTTAATTAAGGGATTTTGGAAGGTCTGGGGTTTTTACCAAGGACTAGGATTGCCCGTAAAACCTGCAAGGATGCTGTGGGGGGAGTTGAACATGAGCCTTTCAATAGACAAAGGTCCCCTGGACTGGATCCTAAAACACCCTTAACCCTAGAACATGCAAGTGGTACTCTGGGATATTTGTGTGTAAATTTCTGGTCTATACATAGAAACAATATGAAGGTGCCGGTGTAAATTCAGCGGCGGCTTTTCGAGACCCTTAGAGCCTTAGGCCCGCAAGCCCGGACATGTTTGTTTGACCCTACACCCTCCAATCCAAACAGCTGCCTCGTGGGTGCACAAAGGCCTGCATCAACCCTCAGCCAACAAAAACTCGATTTTGAACCTGCAGGCTCCACCCAACATCCGATATATGCCTGAACCTGCCCCCGCCCTCCCATCCCTCCAAAAAAGACAAAACAAATCCTAAAGCCTCCTCCTGCCAAAATTCTATAGCCCAAACCCTATAAACCCTTAAACCCTTGAACCCTAAACCCAAACGCCTTAAAACCCCAAACCCTACACCCTACAGTAGAAGCCAGAAAGTTGGAATATCATTATCGTAACCCCTTTAAGGTAAATTATAGGGGATCCTACCATTAATCCATATTCCAACTTACTGGAGTTCCCTGTAACCCCCGAACCCAAAGCCTCCTTCTTCCAGGAAGAAGTGGAAGCCTGGCGGGTGGTCGACTTTTTGGGTGACCTCACAAGAAAGGCCCCGACGGACGAGTTGTAGGGTTGCTTGGGTTTAGGGTTTCGGGTTTCTGGAAGTTTAGGGTTTAGGGATTGGGGCTTAGGGAGGTGTAACGGCCTGCAGAAAGCGGGTATTATTGAGGATTTAGGCTTCAGGGTTTAGGATTTAGGCTTCAGGGTTTTAGGGTTAAGACTTCAGGGTGTTAGGTGACCTCACAAGAAAGGCCCCGACTAAAACAACTTTATAGGGTTCTGGTCCCGATATGGGAGTTTCCGAAAACAGGGGACCCTAATACAGCA